GATATCCCTCGTGAGAGTCTGTCAACGTAGTCCTTGAGCCAGCTTCTAGAACCTTCATTGCCTATCTCCGCCGCCAAACTCGCTTCAAACGCCGGGTTTGAGTTTGATGCAACCGCGACCGCTGCTGTTGTTGCAGCCGCGTCTTCCTGTTTTCGCGATGCGCTTGTGCGGTTAAAGTTGGAATCCGAGATTTCAGATTCGACGTCGTCGACTATGTAATCGAAGGAGCCTATTGAGTACGATCGGTGCTGATCGCCGGATTCTGGAATCGGATTGTTGCGACGGCTGATGGATCCGATTTCGAGACGGAAGCTGTTTTCTCCCGCGCCGTTGCTGTTGTTGCTGTTTCCGAGAGACGCGGAGGTGTGAAGAGCCTTCATCAGATCGGAATCGGAGGCGAAGAGAGGAGAACGGCAGAGCGGACAAGTCTGGTTGGAGACTAGCCATATATCGATACAGTCGGCGTGAAAAGCATGGCAGCAGAGAGGTAGAAGACGAAGCTGATCCTCCGGTTCGAATTTCGACAGACAAACGGCGCAGTCGCTGGAATTGGAGGATGCAGATCGGCGAGTGACGGAGGAGAATTTGAAAATCGGAAGCGAGTCGAGCACCGAGGAGGACCGTTCTGTTTCTGGAGAAACTCGGTGGCCAGAGAATCGGAGGGAGTCGGAGGTGACGGCGGAGGAAGATGAAGAGGGAGGGAGAAGGGAGCGGTGGCCACAGCGATTGAGACATCGGAGGAGAAAGCAAATGGAGACGGAGATGAGGAGAGTCATGAGAAGAATAAGGATGATGACTAATACGCTTGGTTTTAGACTGTCGAGAGAAGAAGAGTGAGAATCGGAGTTTCCGCCATGGCTAGGGTTGATGAGAGACTCCATTGAATTAGCTTACTCGAGAGAGAGAGAGAGAGAGAGAAACATCAAAAATAACTTCCCAACTGTTTATATTAATGGCGGTGAAGAAGAAGAAATAAGGAGAGGGAAGAAAGGATGGCACGTGAGGGAGTCACGTGAGGGTCATGGACTGGTCTTTTAGAGAGAAAGATGGGTAAAGGGGGAAGGATTATATAATGAAGGGGACGTTGGGAAAGAGGCAGAGAAATAAATGTTACCGAACCAACTCAAACTGTCGATATTTAATACCATAAAGTTAAAATTAAATCAATGGCTTTTCTTCACTTAATATGAAGCTTCAATATATTTATTTGTCGTTCCCCAAGGTATATATATTAACATCGTAAAAGACTAAAAGTGGCGTATTTTATGTGATATGTTTACACCAAATCCATGATGTTGGCTATTAGTATTGTTCTCTAATCTCTATATGTTTGGATTAAACCGTTTGATTAAGGATAGAAGTTTATCGACTGTTGTTGATGGATCTTCGTTTTATTTTCTTCTTTTTATTTGGAGGTTTTGGTATCATTTGTTGAGTCCTTGCTTTATGCTTACCTTGTTGAGCCTAAAAACAGATCGATACCCTTTTTGACATTTTACCTGATTCTTATGATAATTGTTTTTAACTTTATTTGGCTTTTTAAAAAAAAAAAAAATCTCAGCTATCATTATTTTCACACTATCTGTCCTTTTCTCTATATCCATTAGTAGTCTTGGTGCCAAGTGTTACAAAATCCGAGGTTTTTATATATGCAATATATATATATATAACCCGGAAAAAGTTTGTCTCGTTGCATTTGCATAGACGAAATCAAGCTTCAAGAAAAGTAAATCCGGTTTAAACGGGGAAAAGTACGAAAATGATCATCCTTCTTTTTTGGGATTAATGATAATCATCTTAACCTAGTCATCATATACAAGTAAAAAAATTGTTTTTACGTGAAATATTACATTTGCTTGTACGATTTAGTTGAAATTGTGGATCAAATTAATATAAAGGAGAAGTAGATATTAATGGTTAAGCAGAGTATTTTATACATAAATTTTGCTCTGTAGACTAGTCAGTAAAAAATCAAGAATTTGTTTATCATTCATAATTTTTTTAGGAAAAAACTTAAAAGGACGATAACACCGCTGAATTATTTGTTTGTGTTTGTATGAAAAGAATAGAATGTTCATAAACATTCTTATAGAACCTTAATTAATTCATATATGGTCGATTATATTTAAGAAAAGATGGTACGGGCCAAAACGAAAACAATACTATATTATATGAATTCCACAAGTTGGTTGGCTTAGAATTAAATCGGCTCCGCAGGGGACATGTGAACACAGCTCTTATTATAGGATATGCAAAATCAGAATGACACTTGTAATATTAAGTCCATCACGTAATGCATATATACAAGTACACGTGACTACTCATTATTGGATATTATTGTTTTCTTGGGTTATATCTGTATTTTGCGTAAAATAAGGTTGCCGTTGCACGTTCGTAGCATGCCTCCTTACTCCATTAAGCTCTAATTAAAAGTTCATATTTTGGAGTTTCCACGACTTCTATTTTATTTTATTTTTTTAAAAAATAATATGAAGATATATCAAGCTATCCAGAAACCATGCCACCATATACGTGAACTGCATGTAGATACAACCTGTCTTGAAGCTTTATACTAGTATTTGATTAGCGATTTAAATAACTTAATTTCTTTATTAAATTACTCGTTATTTGCAACCAATCATGCAAAGTTTTAGCCAAACAGTACCATTTTGTTTTGTTTTTGTGTTGCTCTTATCATTTGTCTCGAATGATCGTTTTGCGTTTGCCATTGACAAAATCTATTTCTTGATATGTCTTTGCTTGTAAATTGTGTTATCATAGAGACTCATAGTCAAGTTTCTTCGATTTGTTTAACACATGAAACATTTTTTAAAGGACATATTTATTGCTGTAGAAATTAGCTAGCTGCTATAAATGTAGATAATAATTTTAAGAGATCGGTTAGAGGGAAGAAATAAATTAATGAACGTCGTAAGAAAATGAAAGAAACATGGTGGTGTGCTCTTGTGTCTGTACCTCTGAAAAGGACAACAAAGTCATTAAAACAGACAACCTACTTTATTCATCTAAAACCATGAATATTTCCACGTCACCTTCTTTTTATATCTTTCCCAAATCATTTTCTATTTGATTTTACCATACTTTACTTGTATTGCACTCTAAGCATGTTCTTCTCTATCTAATCTACAACTAAAAAAAAAAACTGAATCTTCCCACTTAAATTAGTCTATTTCTTAGCTCCCTGTCTCAAAGTCAAAGGGTCCCCAAAAAAAGCAGGCTAAAGCCTAAAGACAGATCGAACAAACTGTGAATTACCAAGATGATTAAAGTGTAGGTTCAAAAGAATCTAATCAGATTTCAATGTGAGATTGGTCAGAACTTCTTCAATTCACAACCGCTACAAAAACAAATCAAAGGATCAATGTAACATATACTAAAGTACTCATAAGATGGGAAGTGGGGCTTAAAGACACTAATGAGGAGAAACAAGTGACATTATTAAATCAAAAATTTTAAAAACAAGTAATAATCATAGGTTTATCCTCATTAGCGGCAAGATTAAACAATCAGTCATTTCCAGACAAAACTCAGAAAACGTCTTAATTCCAGTTTATGCATTCTTTCCTATGTCATGTGTGGAAATGGCTTCAGTATGTTTGAACATAATGTGCGATCAAATGTTGAAATACCTTTCATCAAATCTGTAAACTTAGTACACAGCGGTAATGAATAACTAGAGTTGCCTCATTTCACTAATATATCAAAGATGCGACGTCTTAAACTCTGTATTGTTTTGTGTTCTTGGATCCTTGGAACTGTTATTTTTATAATTACTAATTGAAGACTGCCAAACAAACCTAGATTCCACTTGCATGTCGATTTTCTTTGCAAATCAGTTCATCCTCACCAAAAACTTGGGAGATCAGGTTGGTTTTAACATCCTCTCGTTCTTTTTGACAGAAGGTATACACAAAGTTTGTATTCAAGATCAACTTTTCGGAACTGGGTTTTGCTTCGATTCCCATGAGTTTCCAGAGAGCTATTTGGACAGAGGGTATTAGACTAGTTTATATTGGCCCGAAATACTTAGCCCATTGTAACCCATTTGGTATGTTCCAAATATTGGCCCATTTAGAATCAGATGGACGTATATTACGATACGTCCCTTGTATCAGATGTATTTTTCTTCGTCTCCTCTGGAATAATATACGTACCGTCCATCGTTTATTCGTTTCTTGCATCAGTTCACAAGTTTATAACAAATAGTATAAGAGATCAAAGAATTCTTCCACTGACTAGATATGGAAACGTGCTCTTCTATTTTCATTATTTATTGGTAGAATAATAATGAAATAAATCAGTAAATATTCCTAAAATAGCAAATTTTTAGGTACACAATAAAGTTAAACCACCTAACTGGCCACATAAACTCATAAAGAAACCACCTAACTTTACTAAAAGCAAGTTTATTACATGTACTCGTGCCTGTAAAATAAATTTAGGCTTAAAATCATTTTTCCATTTTGTGTAAATTGATTCGGTTTTTATGGATAGAACCCTTGTGTCATCTGTTATTTTTAAAAAGATTACTTAAACTAAGCCTTGTGTAAATGACATAGTCAATTTTAAGAAAAATAAAATACAATGTTATAAATCAAATTAACATTTTAATTTAAAAATTTTCCATTTGCGAAGAGTTTGTTCAGTTTCTTCGCGATCTCCTGAAACCTCTATTTTGATATTTTCTTTGCATTGACCGGAACAAAGTTTTAGCTACGAGTAACTTTACGAATTACCTATTTTACCCCTGAGAGTTCGCGTTATTTACTATGTAGGTGTTATTACTACCAGACTCTTTCACTATACCGTCGCTCTTTTTTTTTTTCCTCCTCTTCATCTCTTCTCTCCCCGTATTTTTCTTCGTCCTATAATCATGTCCGTCCAATAAAACCCTAATTTTATCTTCCTTGCGTCGTTTCACTCCATTACAGAGCTGTAGAATTAGCTTGATAGAGGGTGAAGATTAGGGTTTGTTATAGATGTCCTACAATCAATCAAGGCCCGACAGAAGCGAGACTCAATATCGGAGAACTGGTCGATCCACCGGCTACCATCAGCAGCAGCAGCAGCAGCAACAACCGCGATCTTCCACCGCCGGTTACGGTAAGGGTGCCGGCGCTGGAACTGCGCCCGCCCCTTCAACTTCTGTTGATTCTTCCGTATCCTCCAATCGCAGGTATTCAATCAATTCGATTTTTTTATTTTTTTTTCTTCTAATTACATACAATTAGAGAAGGATTCTCCTCGGACATGGTAAATTTTGCAGTTTATTAACCGGTATAATTGGGTATTTATGGCAGTTTCAAAAAGCCTAGCAATGCTCAAGGAGGGCAGGCTAGGGTGAATCTGCCGCCGGTGAATCATTCAGTTTCTAACAATCACAATGGTCCCAATGTACAGTCTCGCTCTCAAGGTATGATCTTTAGTAACGGAGCCTTCAATCTTTCAAATTTGGACAGTTTTGGTCAGTGCGCGTGTGTGTGTGTGAGTGATCGTTTCGCTTAGCTCACCTTTTTTCGTTTACTGTTAGTTTCAGGTGCGCCTGGTGAACCGGTCATTGGCGGAGCGGTCAATCCAACCAGTGGAGCTATTCCAAAGGCTGCAGCTTCGCAGTCTCCCGCCATGAATTCCGCGCCCAACGCCGCTAAAGGTAGGTTCTTTGCATTCTTCTACTTTTTGTTTTGTTTTGCTTTGCTTGTGTGACTAAATTCTCCTGTAAATGTATGAGATTTATAATTTGTTTTTTTTTTTTTTTTTCTGTGGCAGCGACTGGAGACCCTTCTAAAGCATTTCCTTTTCAGTTTGGGTCAATTGCTCCTGACTTAATGAAGGTTTATTGCTGTTCCTTCCTTCTGTTTGTTTTCATTTGTCCATCAAACACCTAAATCATCTGCCTTATTGCTTCTTCTAGATTCCTGCTCGAACTAGCTCAGCACCTCCGAATATGGATGAGCAGAAACGTGCCCAGGTCCACACTTAGTTTTTTTTTGCCTCTGCTATTAATGGGGTTGTTTCCCACATGAATGACTATTGGTTCTATGACCTGAAGATAAATAGCTTTGCTTCCTACTCCTAATTCTCGATGATTTGTCTTGTATTGTGATGGGTTTACTTGTCTGATGCTCTGTTCTTTATTTCAACGAGGACTTTATTTGGTGGCTTTTAATTCCACTTTGTGCTGAGCTTTGTCTTTCGTTAATGACAAAATTACACATTGTTTGCAGATGCAGCAAGCTTCATTAAGAACGGCTCCTAATTTGCCAGCTACTGTACCTAAAAAAGAAATACCAAATAAGGCTGCAGATAATCAGCTGATGAGGAAAGAGGGGCACAATCCATCAAGTGAAAAAGCTGATGTCCAAGTCCCACATGTATCCCCGCAAAGTCAAACACAGAAGTCTCCGATTACAAATATCCGCATGCCGTCGGTGCAGACACCTTATCAGCATGCTCAGGTTCCTCACCCTGTACATTTTGGTGGCCCGGCTATGCATATGCAGCCTGCCAATGTGGCTCCATCCTCGTTTCAGATGCCAATGCCTATGGCTTTATCTATGGGGAATACACCTCAAATCCAGCCGCAGCTGTTTTTTCAAGGTCTCCCTTCACATCCGATGCATCATCAGAGTTTGATGCACCAGGCGCAGGGACATGGGTTTGCAAATCCGATGGGTGCTCAGATTCATCCTCAGTTGGGCCACGTGGGCGTGGGGTTGAGCCCGCAATATCCACAGCAGCAAGGAGGAAAATTCGGTGGGGGACGTAAGACGACACCTGTCAAGATTACACATCCTGAAACACATGAAGAGCTGAGGCTTGATCGACGTGGTGACCCGCATCCAGATGGCGAACCAGTGGCTTCAAAACCATCTAACACACCTCCTAGATCACAGCCAGTTTCATCATTTGCGCAACGACCTGCTAATTTGGTGCAGACCTCATATAACTCCAATCCCATGATATACCCTCCGGTTTCTGTACCCTTAAACAGTGGTCCAATGTCTTCTACTCAGGCACCAAGATTTCATTTCCCAAATATGGACGGGTCTCAGAGGGTACAATTTATCAACCAATCTGCTCATACCGCTCCACAGCTTATCAGACCCGCAGCTCCTGCACATGTTTCATCTGACTCGTCTTTCTCTGTGAAAGCACGCGATGCCCAAAATGTGATGTCACCTGCTCAACCTGCAGCTGCGAAGATAACAGTGAAGCCAGCTGTTTCTGAAAAGCTTGGATCACCTAAGGCCAAGCCACATGGAGAAGTTAACATTTCTCTGCCCAAAAAGGATGTGGAGGCAGGTTCATTGACCTCTTCACAGCAGCCGAAACCTGGCTTTGTCTCCGGGGTATCAAATTCGTCCGCTCCGCCATCGAAGTCATCTGTGGAGACTGCTCCAGTTGCAACAACTGAAATTGGTAGAGGGGAACTGGTGAACGAGTCGAACTCAGTTGAAGATCCGAAACGAACATGTAAAGTGGAACCCCCTCCTAATGTGACTGAGGTATGGTACTGTCTTTTGTTTTTAGGTATTCTTCGTTAATTATTTTTTTTATTACATGCTAATGTTACTTTCTTTTTGCGTTGCTTCACCCAGGATCATGGACAGACTATGCCAGACCCTCTGGTTTCTGATCTTGGTACTCCTTCCAGCTGTTTAGCTCCCGACACAGAAACCATTGCTGCTAAGGAAAATTCATCACTTCCATCTACCAATGGGTTTAAGAAACAACTGATGGAGGTGTCTCCTAAATCGGATGCTCGAACGTCTGACTCGCGTGATACAAATACTGATAAAACTACAGAAGGGTCAAGCCATGCCTCGTCAGAGATTTCTGGTTCTTCATCGCTAGAGAAAGACCTAAAATGTGATGAGCAGACTGTTTCTGACAAGCACGTTGAAAGCTCTGTAATTTCTGATGAAAAACACGAAATTATACTAGGTGTGCTTGGGAAATCACAGAAAGAGGTGGATGGTGCCACAGACATCTGCTCTGACTCAGAAAAATTAGCTGAAGTTACAGATGATACGAGCTCTGAGCTTCCACATTCTACTCATACTCAGTCCTCTACTGGTCCTCCTGGGCATTCTGAAACACTGTCGAGACATCAGGGGGTAGAAAATTCTGGTGATAGTTTGAACTCTGTCCCAGCTACTCTCTCAAAGGATAAACCTGCATTTGAATCGAACACAAGAAGAAATACTTCGAGCAAAGGAAAAAAGAAGATAAAAGAAATTCTTCAAAAAGCAGATGCTGCGGGGACAACTTCTGATCTCTATATGGCTTACAAAGGGCCTGAAGAAAAGAAAGAGACAACAATGCCTTCAGAGAGCTCAAATGTTATTCACGATGCTACAAACCAGAAGCAGGCTCCTGCCACACCTCCGGCTGTTGCTGAAGCAACCGTGGATGCTGAACCTGTGAAAAATGAACCGGAAGACTGGGAAGATGCAGCCGATGTTTCTACACCAAAGTTAGAAACTGGAGATTATCGTGTGCACGCAAAGAGAGGTTCCTCAGACGAGGCCAGAGACAGTTGCAGCAATACGGAAAAGAAGTACTCCCGGGATTTCCTCCTTAAGTTTGCAGACCTGTTTACTGCTCTCCCTGAGGGCTTTGACGTCGCGCCTGATATTGCTACTGTCTTAATTTTGGCTAATATGGGTGCGTCTCATCATGAACATGATTCGTATTCTAACCCTGGAAAGGTTATGGATCGTCAAGCGAGTGGTGGTCGATCAGATCGTCGTCCCAGCAATATGGTTGTTGATGATAGATGGACAAAGAATCAGGGTTCTGTTCCTGCAGGATATGCAAATAACGCAGGTTTCCGACCTGGTCAAGGAGGAAACTCAGGAGTTCTAAGAAATCCTCGTATGCAGGGACCGATTATGTCTAGACCGATGCAACCTGTGGGTCCTATGGGAATGGGCAGAAATAGCCCTGACTTAGAAAGGTGGCAACGCGGTTCGAATTTCCAACAAAAAGGACTGTTTCCTTCTCCGCATACTCCGATGCAGGTGATGCACAAAGCCGAGAGAAAATACCAAGTGGGTACAGTTGCAGATGAAGAACAAGCTAAGCAAAGGCAATTAAAGGGCATCTTGAACAAGTTGACCCCACAGAACTTTGAAAAGCTGTTTGAGCAAGTTAAAAGTGTCAACATTGACAACGCTGTTACACTTACTGGTGTTATCTCACAGATATTTGACAAAGCCTTAATGGAGCCTACCTTTTGTGAGATGTATGCAGATTTCTGTGTGCATCTGTCTGGGGCGTTACCTGATTTTAATGAGAATGGTGAAAAGATTACCTTCAAAAGATTGCTCCTCAATAAATGTCAGGAAGAATTTGAGAGAGGGGAGAAAGAAGAGGAGGAAGCCAGTAGAGTTGCTGAAGAAGGACAAGTAGAACAATCTGAGGAGGAAAGGGAAGAGAAGAGACTCAAGGTTCGGAGGAGAATGCTTGGTAATATTAGACTTATTGGTGAGTTATACAAGAAAAAGATGTTGACTGAGAAAATCATGCACGCATGCATCCATAAGTTGCTCGGGAATGAGCAGGATCCACATGAAGAGAACATCGAAGCTCTGTGCAAACTAATGAGTACAATAGGAGTTATGATCGATCATAACAAAGCTAGGATCCATATGGATGCCTATTTTGAGAGAATGAGAATGCTATCCTGCAAACAAGAACTGTCTTCTAGGGTGAGGTTCATGTTAATCAATGCCATCGATCTGAGAAGGAACAAATGGCAGGAGAGAATGAAGGTGGAAGGGCCAAAGAAAATTGAGGAAGTGCACAGAGATGCTGCGCAAGAACGCCAGACTCAGGCTAACAGGCTTTCACGTGGACCCTCGATGAATTCGTCAGCAAGAAGAGGGCATATGGAGTTTAGTCCTAGGGGAGGAGGAGGAATGCTGTCACCTCCAAGTGCCCAAATGGGTGGTTTTCATGGACCACCTCAAGGTCGTGGCTATGGTAATCAGGACATTAGATTTGACGAAAGGGCAGCTTACGAGCCTAGGATGGTCCCAATGCCTCAAAGATCAGTAGGCGAGGAGCCTATTACCTTGGGCCCTCAAGGTGGTCTAGGCCAGGGAATGTCTACTAGAAAGCCTGCAGTACTATCAAACACTTCGCAGCCTGATGCTACCGGTGGTGGAGATTCTAGGCGACCGGGTTTTGGTTTGAATGGTTTTGGCTCACACAGACCTGCAAGTCCTGTTACTCACGGACGGTCAAGTCCTCAAGAGCGAGGAGCAACTTCTGTTCACAGGGACTTTTCAAGTGTGTCTCGTGCTTCTGATCCGTCATCAGAAGTTTCATCCGCCAGGCAAGTACCACAAGGGCCATCGTCAACAGTAAACAGCCCTCGGGAGAATGCTTTGTCTGAGGAACGGTTACGCGATATGTCCTTGTCTGCCATCAAGGAATATTACAGGTACTATATTTCTCCTTTCCGGCTGGTGATTCTATTATATAAAACATACAAACCAGTCAAATTTTCACCATCCATTAGAGATTGTAGGGTTGTTAGTTTCTATTCTTTTTGGCTACTGTGGTCACTAATTTACAGATTAAGCATTTTGTGTGAGTTTGGATTACTGTGTTCTTGTGCAGTGCCCGAGATGAGAAGGAGATTGGTTTATGCATGAAAGACATGAATTCGCCAGCTTTTCACCCAACAATGATTTCTCTCTGGGTAACTGATTCTTTCGAGAGAAAAGACAAAGAAAGAGATCTATTAGCAAAGCTCCTTGTTAACCTCGTGAAATCTGATGACAAGGCCTTAACCGATGTCCAACTAGCGAAAGGGTAAGTAAACAAACAAAAAAACCAAGAAAGATCTCTCTATAAGTCGTCACAATTTGATGATCAAACGTTATTCTTTTTTTGTTTTCTTTCTGAAAATCTGTTTGCTTTTCTTCTCTTTTTGAATTGACAGGTTTGAATCAGTTTTGGCAACCCTGGAGGATGCTGTAAATGATGCGCCAAAAGCAGCAGAGTTTCTTGGGAGAATCTTTGGTAAAAGTGTGACAGAGAAAGTAGTGACATTGACAGAGATTGGCCGGTTAATCCGGGAAGGAGGAGAAGAGCGAGGAAGTCTGATAGAGTTTGGATTAGGAGGCGATGTTCTTGGGAATGTTTTGGAGATGATAAAGACAGAAGCAGGAGAAGAAGCCTTGGTTGAGATTCGCCGGAGCTCAGGTCTAAGGATTGAAGATTTCAAACCTCCTGCACCTAACCGGTCTAAAATATTAGAGAAATTTACTTAGGAAAAAACAAAATGGAACCATCTTTTGAGGGTTCCTTTCTTTTTCTTCTTTTCTCTTATAAGTCCTCTTTTTTTTTTTAAGTGCTTCGATAAACTAATTTGTTAAAAAGGGGAGTTTCTCTATTTTAATATTATTATAGCAAACCTTCCAAAATTTTCATTTTCGTAATCATATATATATTTGACACTTTCGTCTAAAAAATAAGTTTGTCTTTTAGAGCACAAAGAGCTCATGAAGAATGTATTGTCGATGTTCGAAATGTTGACAGACGTAAATCATGCATATATCGAGATTTTACGGTATACAGAGATTGACTTTGTGAACTCTGTTTTTTTCTTTTGCTAAAGACCTTTGTGAACTCGAGGTCGAAGAACCTCTAAGATCAGAAAAGCTGATGGGTGCATTATAACACAACATAACATATGTTTTAGGGAGGTTATAACGACATTGGTTACAAAGGATAATGATTACTAGAGAGATGAACATTTGGTTATTTTAACATCATCTATAGATTTAAGAAATCCAAAAGGAATGTGCTGCTAAGATTTTGTTTCTTCTATTATATAATACAAACATAACATTGGCTTCCACATACAATTCTTATCCTCTTTTGAGTTTTATTTGAATTTAGTACAGATGACTTAAAATCAGATTAACAACAACTCACACCTAGTAAATAAATACACAAACATATCATTTGATGGTGATGTAGCGGTTCGTACCGTGCTTAGCCCAATGGTCCTTGAGATCGACCGGATTTGAGAGATCGTGATGCCCTTCTGCAGCTAGCCGGCTTAGAAGCTTGTTGAACGCACTCCCGCTCATTTTCCTTCCACCAACTCGAGCATGCCTCTTGTTGGGCAGCGCCGGTAATGGATACATCGATAGTGTGGTCGTGCAACACGATGATTGCCAACCTCCATTTCCCCATTTGTAGCACTGTCTTAGCATCCCTGTGCACGAACATACAGGTGGTGGCATTGTCGTCTCGTCATACACAACTTGGTTAAGCCCCACCATCTCTTGGCTTTTCCAGTCGGATTTGGATCCCATCAAGACATGCTTACTTGTTTCTTCTTCACCGAAGTCATGGGTCGTCTTTACAAACATTATCTTAGCCAAGTCGTCTTCGCTCTCTTTCTTAACCTTCCTCTGATTCTTTGGCCCTCTCTTGTTCGCAGCGGGCTTTGTCGTCGCCTTTGGGTCTTTCACTCTTTTGCCTCGTTTCGGTTTGGCAGATTCCAAGGCGGATCCGTTAGGTGGTGACGTCGGGAGACCATCGTTCGGCTCCATTTCTCTGGTCTCATATGCATTCTCACTCAGCTGAGGCATGTGGTGTTGATGATGATGATGCATGTGAGGATTGTGCATGTGCTTTACGCCGCGTGATATCTGACATCCCGGTGGACACGCCGCCATATTGGCAACGGCGGCAGCAGCACCGGCCATGGAGTTCTCACGGTATTGTAGAGCTGTGAGCGCACTGTCTCTCTCCATGATCGCGTTGTTGCGCTCCGCGATGGCCGTGTCTCGCTGGAGAAACGCCATGTCGCGTTCAGCTACTGCTGCTTTTTTCTCCGAGATCGCTAGATTTCTCTCCTGAATCGCCGCATCGCGCTCTGCTATTATTGACATCACTTGTTTCATCGACGGCTGATGCTGCATCATCCACTGTTTCATATCATAAGCAATATTATACATTCCTCCCTTAATAAAAAAAAAACAATTTCAAAAGCTGTGGTATTAAGTATAAACAGTGTTAAGCTGATATAAGCTTTGTGATTAGAGAACAAAGTGTCAAAGATACCTGGCCCTGAGCTGCTTTATGCCGACCATTCTCACGATGCCCACCATCATCCATTTGAGAGATTCAAAGTTGTTCTATGTTTGCGATATAGCTTCAACTAGAAACTGAGCAAGCTAATGGAAATTCAAAATAGAAGATTGATCCATCTTGTAACTCCTGCGACATAGCCAATCATTAAACAGTGTCACAAGAGCATTTGAAGCAGGTTGCTAGTATTAGTGACATAAAACTGACTACGAAGCAGGAAAGTTTTTTGTAATTGAATTCTAAAATTCGATTTCAGCAGAAATCTATACTGTTTGATCAAGTAGCAGCAACATAGACATCAAATTTGTAAAAGCAAACTAGGGAACATGGAAGTAAGGACAGATCGATTATGTCATGCTGTGAGAAACAACTTAGAACTTCACACTCATGATCCTAAACTCCCGCAATCAGCTCATACAACAGAAAACAATCATCATCAGTTTCAGTCAGTAAGTAAAGGAAGATTTTTTGTACCTTAAAATCCTTTTAAGACAGCTGTTTTGTAATGACTATGACCAGGAATTATGCAGCAGCAGTAGTGAAGACCATTATCTTCCTAATCAACCCCTGACAGAACAAACATATAATAAACAAACACATGTGAAGCTCGAATCGGATCAATTACAGCCAGGAGATGATAACTAAGTAACAAAGAGTGTCGAAACTCAGATAATGAACCTAAATCGAGTTTTTTCTTGTTACCAAATAGTACTAATGGAAATGCAACAAAACACACACACACACACGCAAACAATCGAGAAGTAGCTCTCGGGAACTTGTGAAGTGAGAAAAGCTCAGAATCTAGCACAGAAGTGATCCGATAAGGAGAATCAAAGGGATCATAATATAAAAATCGAAACAGCGAAAGGAAGAAGCAAAGGAGGACTCACCAGACCAACTCGTGGAGGGTACCGGTGGATTGAAAGGAGGCATATGAAGTGAAGATACAGGCGGATTCGGATCCAACGGCTGAGAGCAGACGGAGGTTTGGGAGAGAAAGGGAAAGAGTTGGGTGCGTTTAGGTCTAGGGTTGGAACAAACACGCCCCAGGGGATATCGTGCCACGTCCCCACCCTTCCTCTCTTTTTTTTTTTTTTTTTCTTCTTTCTTCTTATTTCTCATCTTCTTCTCTATTTGACTATTTGATTTTTGGTCAATTAAGTTTATTCTTCTTTACTTTTACGGTTTCACCTTTAGCCATTTTTAGTGTCAAATGATGATAGTTTTGGTTTGTGTACCAAAAATATATATTCCTCTCAAGTTTGCTATGATTTTCGATATGATTTTCGTATTAAAAACATTTATTTCGTTTTGAAAGAATCTTCTTAACAACATTTTATCGATGGCAACGGCGAGATTCTAACATTTGTTGTTGTCTGGTTTTCTCACTACTGTTGTAAATCAAAAAATTACTTTTATAACTTTTACAAACATACGAAATTTAGTCCGGGAAAAAAAAAGTGTGAGCCCATATTGTATTTGGGCCTATATTTAGATGAAGCCCACATGAAATACCCTAATATAACTCGTATATAAATACGAAGGGTTCTGGTAACTAGGGCTTCACATCACAAAAATTCGGCGGAGGTGATCTCGTTCTTCGGTTGAAAAATGGTGAGAGATCTCCCTTATTGTTCTTCGTTTCATCGTTAGGAAGTGTTCTTCTGTAGTCCTGGATTTCAAGTTTCTAGATGCGTTTATATAGTTGATGTCTTATTAGTATTCTGATGCACAGATCTAAGTTGCGATGATTTTCTTCTGATTCTATCACTCACTCTTTCCCTTTTTGATTCTGGATTTGGTTCCAATGTTGTACAGGCCAAGAGAACGAAGAAGGTTGGGATCGTCGGCAAGTACGGTAAGGCCTCTGTTTCCTGTTTCTTCTCTGTAACACCTCGTGATATCGTTTAAGATGATTAAGCTGTTAGAACATCTGAATAGAGAATTTGATTTAAATGATCGAGGAATTGAAAACTTGAAACGCGTTTTTGCATTTTGCTTGGTCTTGTAACTCATTTGTTGAATTAAGTTTTGCTTAGTGAAGATTTTAAACATTTCCTGTACAGAGACGTAATATAATAGATTAGTCTCTGTTGCTCTCTGCCTCCGTCGCATTAGTCACTTTTAGGATAAATACATTTTGTTGCTTCTTCTTCTTGTTTTATGTGTGTCTCAATCGTGGCTATATGTATTGAGAAGTCTTAACATATATGTGGTTATGTTTTTTCAGGTACCCGTTATGGTGCGAGTATCAGGAAGCAGATTAAGAAGATGGAGGTGAGCCAACACAGCAAGTACTTCTGTGAGTTCTGTGGAAAGGTAAGATTGTAAATCTGCTTTGTAAATGTTTTTTTTTCTGAATTTTGTGTTTGGTTTGACTCAAGTGAGAATTTAAGGAAGTTTGTAACAATGGTTTGCATTAATCATATTGCAGTACGGAGTGAAGCGAAAGGCTGTCGGAATCTGGGGATGCAAGGATTGCGGCAAGGTGAAGGCAGGTGGTGCTTACACAATGAACACCGCGAGTGCTGTTACCGTCAGAAGCACCATCAGGAGGTTGAGGGAGCAGATTGAGGGTTAATTCTGCTTTGCTTTTTTTATTATCTTTGTTTTGACAATTGAGTTTTTGAACACTACTATGCTTGTTGTTTTGAGCCCAGAGATTATTACTACATTAAGCAGTGATCCTCGTTTTATTCTAGAATGAATCTTTTTGAAATTTCCCATTTTTACTATGATTTCCAACTTAATACCGATAACTATCGTTATGAATTTAAAGCAAGTTTGCATATCTCAAAACGTTATTTTATTATTTGAATGTCAACTGAAATTATCTTTTACGTAGCGAATTATACTGTTGCTGAATTTCAAACTGTAATCTCTTACAGCGAAACTAAGGCGATCCAAAATCCTAATGTACTCGTTTTACGGATAAATAATAACGAATCTGCTCGCAATTAGGTTAATCCTTCGGTTGAACAATTTGTTGAGTTGTACATCGAATTGAAGAAAAAATAAAGGCTGAGAATAATTTAAAACTCAGCAATTTCTAAACAAACAACAGTAAAACCAAAAATCCAACAAACAGAGGGAAAATATTTCGGAGTCGAGATTGTCTCTGTCTTCTTCCACTCAACGAGCCAGGCTGTTGCGATAAGTTTCTTTCAAGAGTTTAACGTCCAACTTCACTTTAGCTCACATCCTTTACCCAATGATTGACTCTATGCTCCATTCAAACTGCTCACCCGGATGCAAAAACCGAGCCAACTTGTAGATGTATCACCCATTGAGAATGCAGAGCACTAGTATCATCATGGTTTGTGTACCTTAAAGCCAAAGATTCTTGGGACATAGCTCTGAGTTGGTTTCTGCGGCTTTAGGTTCCCGTAAGTCATCAAGAACAGGTGAGGGAATGTGGTTCCGAAGTAAGCTCCATCAATATCTGCAGAGATCAATTAAGGAAAACACTAAGACATGATAACACACTAAAATGTCTCGCTGCAGCATTTATTCAACATATACTGAAATGACGAAACAGAGAAAAAGGATACTGCCTTGGAATTTAGATCGCGGGTAAGACAGATCTTCGCATTTTGGGCAGTATATCTTAACGGTACTCGATCTCGGGATGTCGGATTGTCCAACTGGTAGACAAGACTGCCCGCAACAGAACACTCTCGGGCATCTCCCGAAATCACAGTTCTTGTACTTCTCCGTCTACAAAGAGATGATTCACAAGACAAAGTCGGTGTTAAGCGAATGACGAAATTAGAAGCACTAAATCAAGCGACGAAAAAGCACTAAGAAACTCTCTAACCATTGCAGCCAATCCTTTAGTAGTCAAAATGTAACGAACATGAATCAGACCATATAGCATTTCAGCAGCTGATTCCACCATTTCATTCTGTTCTTCAGTAAACATTTCACCTAAATTCCCCCAAAAAGATACAAGATTTCAGACCAAAGGCACTTCTAACTTTACTTGTTCCTTTTAGACAGACAAAAGATAGAAGAAGGGATCACTTACTGTTTGAAGACTCAACATCTAAAATGAGATCAAGTGCATAATCGTAGTAAGGAACTTGACCACTTAATCCACAAAGATTGAAATCATCTTGTATATAATCTTCATCGACTTCACAGAAGAAATCATTCCCTCTCAAATTACAAAACCACGAGATCCACGATGTATCATCACCATCCGATCCACTCACATCCGACCCTTCACTGTCTGTTTCCGATTCCACTGCAGAAAAAAATCAACCAATAATTTAAAAAAAAAAACAAAATGCAATTAAACTACCAATAAACTCTCCTAGATGCCAAAAAATTACCATGGGGAAGCTGAGATTTAGCAGTGGAATTAGATGTGAATGAAAAGGGTTCTTTGTCTTTAGAAGCGAAAAGCCTAGATGTGGAGGGTGAAGATTTCTCGAGTTTCTTGTTGAGAGCATCGTTGATTCGTTTCCGATCAATTGCTCCACCGAGGATCTCCGATCTCGACGACCCATTAACTCCTCCACTCCGTTCCTTGTACATGATTCGATTCCCTCAAGAAGAAAAAAAGATAAAATTTCGAGCTTAGATTCTCAACAAAGTCTCGAAGCTTGAGAGAAAGCGGAGAAAACTAGGGTTTTCCTTGTTTTTTTTCATTTAATTTTAATTTTAATTTAAATAATTTTGGTCACATAGTGGAGGACAGGACATAGGAGTTGTAAAGATGGTCTCTTCTTCTCCACTGTTTGTTTTTTACTTTTTTTTCTTTTTTTTTTTTTACCGTTCTCTTTGTAACGCCGATTTTCCTCTAATTTACAAGGAAAATAAATTTTACAATGGGCTTCTCTCATTGGGCCTAAATAATTACGAAATAAAAACTTACGGTTGGTCTCTATAGAGAGAAGAGACTCACTGCACTTTAAGACACATAAAGTTGGCAAAATGTTCATTTTTTTTTCTAAAATGTACTTATAGATCAGCACAACACTTGCAAACGTTAAAGTAATACACAGAAACAACTACGATAGTATGTAGAATGGGACGTGTTTAAATGGGTTTTTGGGCTCTAACTTTATACTAATGATTACTCACATAGTTAAATAAAATGCTACTCTAATTTTTTTGGATGAAAATTAATTATGTGGTAAATTCAAATTTGGGCTAAATGAGAAGATTGAGTTTGTCCGTAAAAAGCCATCGAGCAAGTGGATTTGTTTTGGATTTATTGATGAGACCACTAAAAGAAAAACATGAGTTTGCGAAAGTAATCCAATTAAGCCGGATTACTGAATTGCGAGTAAGAAAGTAAAACATGGGCTGTTTCTAGGAACTAAAACATGGGTTTTCCAAAATACATCAGGGTCGACCAAAAATGATGGGCCACAGATACGACGGAAACCATAAGTTTTGACGACAAATCAACAAAGTTTGACCAATAAAAATACTCCATGTGTAGAAGATGCATTTGGTCAATGGAGCTAGACCGGACAAAGGTCGTCGGATCATAATTATATCGCGTAAACAAGAAGGAAACTAGGAAAGTTGTTTAGGAAAAAAACTAAGAATTTGTAGTAGCACTAAGAAAATACATTAAAAGTTGGACATGAAGAGCACGAACTGAACTTTATACAAAATCTATATATAGTTTAAATCATGTTTCAGCATCTGAAGATACTCGAGCTTGTGGTGGCGTGGTGCACGACTTTGCATAAAGTTATACTATTATATCATCGATAACATCTGTATGCGTTACCTGTTAAAATTAGCCAAACGTATACTGTCTTAGCAAATCGTTATATACTATACAATGAATACTTTTCATTGTATATTGACCCAACCATAATTTTGGGATCTAGGATTAGTTTTTGCAAAACGGAGCCTTTGTCGGACAAAGTAGTCATGCCTCGTTACACCGACTTTGACAATTCCCAAGTCTTATATTTTCGTAGATTTAATAATACTGAAAATTTAGAAAAAAGTCTTTTTTTTTTTTTTTGCATGAAAAGTAAAGATCTAATAATTGGACGTGTTAGTAATTGAATGTCTAAAACTCTCTAATCACACGAACAAAAGGAAAAAAGGCAATTTACACGCGGGTCGGCTATAGTTCAACCATACCGGTCATAGTATTGGCCCACACGCCTCATGAAATTGTCGTCCCACGAGACCGAGATCGCATTAAGCTTTGTAAGACAACATTATTACTCCTACAAGTTTGTAGTATCTACTCGGGTTCGAATTCGGTTTAGATTTGATACTTCGGTGGTTTATTAAAATATTGAAACAAAAAAAACTAGATTTGAAGCGAATTTGGTTAAATCTGATCACATCTTTCTTGACTTATTTAAATACAATATAAATAAGTAAATTAGAGTTTCAACAATGCATTCCCAAACTTGAAAAAGCGTCAAAACATGCAAATGGAAGTGTGGAACCAAGATTTTTGCTAATCATATCATTTTTTTTTTTTTTTGATAACTTAATCATATCATTTTGTAAGATCACATTTCTGAAATTGGATTACGTAATTCAATAACAGTACTGAAAGAAGATTTCATCAGTCATTAATTTATTATTTTTGCTGAAGATTCAATTGTTCCATTAAGTTTTTCTTTGGAAAACAAGATTTCACAATTTCTTGCTAGCCATATTAGAAGTTTTGCTGTTAATAGCCTAGCTCTCTGTGCTGTGTTACAATCAAGATCCTTGGTTTAAAATTATATTTCTAATTTCTAACGACGAGTTTGTTAGTATATATAATATTGAGAAGTAAAATTTGGTCTAAATCGAAAACATAATTGGAAAGAAATGCCTAATTTGAAAGAAATGAAAATCAATTAGAAGATTGTCGTTGACGTCCGACTTAAATACGCAGGAGGAAGCGATGACCGCACGAGTCATTACTTCCGTTATGAAGCTTTGATTGCGATTGAAGCACACGCGCGAGATCCTACGCCGGCCGCTTTTATACCATGAACTTAAATTGAAATTGTTGTAATCTTTCCTTTTTCTTAAACCAAAAATAACTAAGAAACGGCCGATTCTTTATCAATTCCGCCGTCTGTCGCCGCCGAAACTCCGGCGACACTCGGTAGATCTCGAAACTTTCCGTCTCTCTCTCTCTCTCTGTGATTACTTGTTCCTTCCAAAAGCATTTTCTCCTTTTTCAATGATACGGATAAGTTTTGTGGCTCGCATTGTGTCTGTCGATTATCTGTTGTTTGTTTGTTTCTGATGTGTATATTTTTGGATTCTGCTGTTGATTGAGGAGATTTGGGGGTGAGCTAAAGCTGAACAACGAATAAGAAGAGAGAGAGAGAGAGAGAGAGATGGATGATAGAGGAGGCTCGTTCGTCGCCGTGAGGCGGATTTCTCAAGGCCTGGAACGAGGAAGCGTTTACCATTCTTCATCTGGTAAATCTCATCACTCGCGATTCCTGCTTGTACATCATTATACAATGCTTTTTTTTCTTATGGAACAAACGCGTTTTCGTCACTCAAACAAATACACCAATCTCTCTCTCTCTCTCTCTCACTTTTTTCCCACCTTTTCTCACTCTCTCTATCACTCTCTTCGCTGGCGATTGCCTTTTTTCTTTAGATTCGGTGTCGCAGATCTATGTTTCGCCGTGTTGCCTTTATTGCTCTTCTGATAGATTCGCGTGGCTATTATGTGTGTGGATCTTCTTTGTAAGTGCTATTTTTAGTATCGTTAGATCTCTTTAAATGATGATCCAGCTTTGCTTGCGTGATTTCTATCAATTGAGATTAGTCATCCGCAGATAAATCCCCCATTACACTTATCTTTCACTAAAATTGCTCATTAGTTTCCATGGAGCATGTTGCTAAATTCTTTGTTAGTTGTTTCAATGCTTCCGTTTTGATTGTGAAAAATGGCTGATGCTTGAATGACTTCTTTACTAAAGACATCCAAAGCTCATTTTCACGACGATTATAAATTTATTATTTTGCAGCTGAGGCTGTGGCTGGATCGGCAGCATGGTTAGGCCGTGGCCTTTCTTGTGTTTGTGCTCAGGGAAGAGATGGCGACGCCCGTGCTTCATTTGGTCTAACACCTGCTCAGGTACCATTTCCCTCTGTTTTTTTTTCTTGTTTACATTATAATGATAAGATTGCTTCTCCTCACATATAAGTTGACTTCTGGTTAGTGTTTTCAAATAGCTGATTGCCAATGCTTTGCAGGAGGAATGCATGCAGAGGTTGCAGAGCCGCATTGATGTAGCCTATGACAGCTCAATACCTCAGCATCAGGTAACGCTTTTCCTTGAAGGGTTTGTGTTTTTAAGGACTGCTCACAACGAACTTATGCCATCATACCAGCGTTTCAGTTTTTACTACATGCTATTGCTAGCTTCATATGTCAAACTGTGCCTGATTTACATAAACATTCGTTGCTACTTCATGTGCGTGTAGGAAGCTTTGAAGGAACTTTGGAAACTTGCCTTTCCCGAAGAAGAACTACACGGAATTGTATCTGAGCAGTGGAAGGAAATGGGTTGGCAGGGGAAAGATCCATCAACAGATTTTAGGTAGTGTCACTTGTCATCTCATTGTTATCGTCCTTAGATATATCCACTTCACTAGACTCACAGTGGATCATTCTGGCAGGGGTGGTGGTTTCATCTCTCTTGAAAACTTGCTGTACTTTGCTAGGAATTTTCCGGTATGCATGCCTTTACAAAACACCAACAAATGCTTTTGAAAATTGTCTTTTCTTTTTAAAATTTTCAATTCCAGTGACACTATATCTGGACATGTTTTTGTTTGTTACCATCACATGTTATTTCCATCAGGCAATGCCACTTAAGTTCCGTCACTCAATATCTGATGCCACTTGTTTGTTTCCTGCAGAAATCCTTCCAGGACCTTCTGCAGAAACAGGTTGGGGATCGTTCTGTGTGGGAATACCCTTTTGCTGTTGCTGGCATCAATATTACATTCATGCTCATCCAGATGCTTGACCTTGAAGCAGGTACAGCCACATTACTTATTCCCATGATTCCACAGATATTCCTTTTTGTACATGCTCTTACATGCATTAGGCTGCAATCTTGAGGCTAAACTAGCATAGGCACTACTAGTTTCGATCTATTAATTAGGCATTGCCTTTGGTGCTTTAGTTAAGTACCCTTGTTTGGCATCCTAGTTGTGCATGCTAACAATAAACACCCTTCAATTTTTCAGTGAAACCGCGAAGTATTGTTGGCGAAACATTTCTGAGATTCCTTTCGGGTAAATACTAGACAATGCTGATTAAATGTGATTGTTTGTCACAAGTTGGGTTGGAATAATAAGTGTGTGTATCCTTTGACTTGTGTTGTTTGCAGTGAATGAAACTGCGTTTGACCTTCTTTATTGCATTGCCTTCAAGCTAATGGATCAGCAATGGCTCTCCATGCGTGCTTCGTACATGGAATTTAACGTAAGTACTTTCTGTAACCTTATTCTAATATGATGAAAAACTTCTAGATTATACGCGGCTTTATTTGACTGGTCTTGGTGCTTCTTTATCTTGGCTTAAACATAATAAGTTCACCAAAATGAATAATGGTTAAAAGTGGTAATTGTGTGAATATGTGATTGAACAACACAGACGGTAATGAAATCGACAAGGCGGCAATTGGAGAGAGAGATAATGGTTGAAGACATAACACGTCTTGAAGAGTTGCCATCATACAGTCTCCTCAGTCAATAGCAATCAGTTTTACGAAAGACTACTTTGTAAGTAGAGAAATCTAACACCTCAACAGAGGAAACAAAGCAAAAAAAAGAAGTCAGTGTCTCTCTTTCTCTGTCTCCTCACTTCATCCTCCTGTCTTCGCTTCTGCGATTTCCTTTATACGAGTGTTGGCTGGCTCCATGAATTTTCGGGACATTGGCTTGTTATTTCTTTGAGGCGAGGTTAGCTTTTCTAACTTGTGGTGCTTGTAAAAACGCTGTTGGGCTTAATAATCATTTGGTTATATTTCAACTACTCTTCTTTTGGTTAAATTCAGATTTTTTTTTTTTGAACCAATTAGATAGATTAGTAGCATAGCGATTTGCTAAGACAGTGTGAAAACAAAAGACGGTTTGCTAGCTAAGACAATACATCTAAGATTTTTCGTTTGATTCAGAGAGCATCACATGGCCCATGGAACAATTTAGAATTATAATCATCATTTGGCATTTCCACATTCTATACTGAAGAGATGGCATCTCGGGCACCAAACGCTAGAAAGTGTATTTTACTGTGGTCAAATGTTATGTAGCTGTTGGAATACATTACACTTTTTCTAAATAATGATTAGATATTAACAGTTTAATTTTATATTGTTAACTATATTTTAGGTCTCTTTCTTTACACGACTTTGGGTTTTTAATTACTCGAACCCATCCTATTGACGCGCCAATTTGGCGTAGATATATATGCCAACTTGTATGTGTGACATAACTAAATAATTTCTTAGCGACCCTTGAGCAAACAAATTTTGCTTTCCCTAAAAATAAAGCCGCACAGTTTAAAGTTTAAACTACAAATTTTATTTATTCCACAACTAAACTCAAAGGAAAGGGAATTTCAGGTTAATGAAATATGATTTGAAATTTAGTCAATAATCATGTAGAACAAGATAATAAATGACACTGCGCTACGACCATTACCGATAAAAAAGAGAGAAAAGGTAGCAATGAGCAAAAGCAAAACCAAGACCAAAACATCATCGAGCGAGCAAGCTCTCTATATTTCCTTAGAAACCGATTACATCAGGGGGTATATATATATTAGAGGAGAAACAATCTCTATGGAGAGATATATACATAAAAGATATGATTGATGTTCTATATCTCTCTCTCCAACATCTACCCTGTGATTATCTCATCACACCGTACATCAACACCATCGTCACCACAATATTTCCATAGCTCATGACTCTTTTAGACGCTGTGTTTCTTGCGTTTTCTGCGTTCCCCGGCGATGGAGACGGAGAAGGAGAATGCATTGGTGAAGCGGCCGCGAGTATGGGAACAGCGAGTTTCATGCCACCGAGGCAGTGACCAGGAGTAGGGCAAAGGAAGTGCATAGTTCCCACGCTTCTTAGACGGATTTTAGTTTCTCTGCCGCCTGAGAAGCTCTGCGTCGGTCTGCTACCGTCACAGTTATCATAGTCGGGTTTATCCACGACGGACACTGAGTGTGAAGGACCATATTTGAATTCTGATTATTCAATACCAAAATAAACATAAAATCATTAGCTTGTTAAGGGGAAAAGAAATGAGTTTCTTGTAAAGCAAGTAAACAGCATGAACAATCTGTAAACTAAATGATTATTAATAAGTTTGCTAAGGGGAAAACAATGGTTTCTTGTGCAACTAATTAAACTAACATTTTATATACTGTACCTAGAGTGTCACCGACCCTGAAAATCTTTCCATTAACCCAAGTCGTGTAATTGACACCATTGTTCCAACCAGCAGTATCGCCGACCTGGAAAGTCACGGCGAAAACGGCAGGGACTGCGGCTAGCAGGAGGAGGAGAGCGGCCGTAGCAGTTGACATGGAGAGAGAGAGAGAGAGATGAGGAAGAGGGTAAAATGGTGAGATGAGTTATATAGAGGCTATGAGGACTACTACTAAGAGAGAGTTAGTAAAGAAGAAAGTTTCAAAAATGTCATGGCTAGATCAAATTGCCAATTCAATTCATCAAGTTTATCAAAAATGTTTACCAATTCTTACTTCTTTTCTAATTTTGTCGTTGTAAATGACGAAGTGCAATTACGTCAACTTCAATAATAATATATGAGATGTAGGGAAAATGATTTATTTATTGTAAAGTTGCTATTTATAATATTCACCGCCGGTCGATCTCGAATCTAAAAAAAATGATGTATAGAAGACTGAAAGTTCACCGTATAAAGAGGGGAAGTTTCGGATTCTTGGGTACTTCCAATTTTTTCTTTTATTGGCAGTTATTAATGTTTGTTATCAGCTATAATAATTACATGACATATTGATAAGTAAAATGGAATGTTGTTTTGTGATTTACTCAATAACCATGCAGAACATGAACATAATTAAATGGAAAAAAAAACCATTGAAAGAAAATAATTGATTATATATATCTTTAGCAAAAAATAGAGAAAGAAAATAATTGATTAAGCACAAGAGGAGAAGGTGGTGATGAAGTAGTTCCAAAGACCAATACCAAAAAAATATCGAGCCATAATAGCTCTCTCTCCTCACGACTCCACCCAGCAAATTTAGCTCATAACACGGTACATTAACAGCATGGTGGTGATCCCAATCATTCCATAGCTCATGACTCCCTTAGACGCCGCGTTTGGTGGCGGTGGAGACGCAATCGGCTCTGACTCCGGCGTCCCATTGGCCGGTGGAGAAGCATATGAAGGCGTTGGTGGCTTTGACTCCGGCGTGCCATTGGCCGGCGGAGAAGCAGATGGAGGCGGACCGGTTTTGGCTGGAGAAGGAGTGGGTGGAGAAGGAGGCGTAGATGGTGTAGAAGGAGGGGAAGGCGGCGAAGAAGGGGTGGACGGAGATGAAGCGGCGGCAAGGACGGGAACGGCGAGTTTCATGCCACTGAGACAGTGACCAGGACTAGGGCAGAGGAAATATTTTGTTCCTACTGTTGTAAGATCGATCTTAGTGTCTCCATTGGAGAAGCTCTGTGTCGCTCCGCTAGCGTCGCAGCTATCGTAGCCGGCTTTATCCACTACGGACAACGAGTGTGAAAGACCATATTGGAACTCTGAAAGAATTAAACTCATTAATTAGCTTGTCAGGGGAAAACAACTGGTTTCTTGTAAAACAAGTAACCTATATGAAGACTTTTAACCTAAATTATCATTAGCTGCTTGTTAAAGTGGAACACGGTATTTCTTAAGAAGCAAGTAGTCAATGTGGAGAGAAAAAAAAACAAGTATTTTATTTACCTAGAGTGTCACCGACTCTGAAAGTCTTTCCAGTGACCCAATCTGTGTAATCGATACCACTGGTCCACCCAGCAGTATCACCGACCCGGAAAGTTACGGCGAAGACGGCAGGGACTGCGGTTAGCAGGAGGAGGAGAGCGACCGCGGCGGTTGATCCCATTGAGACAGATGAAGAGATAGAGAGAGAGAGAGAGATGAAGTTTAATTTATAGAGAGATAACGAGAGAAATAAGAAAGAGTTGCGTTATATAGAGAGAAGATATGACTATGGTATAGTATTATAGTGAATGTTTGAAAAAGTCATGGCTTCAACTCTGCCAACTGTATTCATCATCAGCTGTTTTTTTTTTCTCATTTATTTTAACCTCTTTGTTATTATGTTTAAGTTCACCAATAATACTTTCTTCTTTTCATTTCTTCGTTGTGAATGACGAATTATCCATGTGCAAATTAACTCAGCCTTTTTCTCCTTTATGTATTGAACAAGATTCTATCATGTAAATCTCTATGTTCAAAACTTTATTTGTCAAAATCTACAAATTGTCAACTATGCCTTTTGGTTTTGCTAGCAAATTCTATCAATATTGGATGGTCTCTCGTTTACGCATTTAGCTTAGATCAATGTTTGAGGGATTTTAAAATGCAAATAGCACGTTTTGACCACTAAAACCCTGACTATACCAATTATTCTGAAATTAATATTCGGTGTAGAAGTCAGAGACAATAAGATAAAAAAATGAAACAAGATAGTGTCTGTCTACGTAAATATGAATATGGCAAGCAATTGAAGTTTAACAGTTTTACTCTGTTATCTAACCTGGATGTGAAACAGTGACATATATACGGTATAATAGAGCATTTATAGATCATATGTCTTATATTCTGAAATATATGAAAGAAAAACAGTAAATGATCGGAATGAGATCTTTAAATTTTATAGAACTGAAAAGAATAAGATAAAAGGAGATGGCTAACACGTTCTCTAACCTTTTTTTTTTCAATAAATCGAAGATACAGATTTTGTATGTACGGCCTTCGTTGAAAAAACGTCTTGGATTTTTTTTTAAAATTCGAATTTTTGTAAAGCAGGGAAATGTCTACGAGATTCAAGAAATTAAAAAGAAAGGAAATGCAAAATGGTGAATGATATCACTGACAGAACAAGAATCCCATAAAATATACTAATAGTTTCTACTATTACTTTAGCTAAAATAATAGTATAAACTACTTTTAAGATCAAAATAAATAATGTCTCTCCAGATTCTCTACTTAGTTTTCGAAGTGCTGTTGACAGTTTTATGAGAAAAACGTGTGAAACTAAATCAGCCAGAGATATGTAAATTGTTGACATGTTCTAAAAATGCTGTTTCATACTTTAATTTCTCACTATATACTAAGCACATCGCTTTAAAGTTCTAAAATTTCAACAATTGTAACATCCGATAAAATTTGAAACGCTTTACTAAGTAGTTTTGTTTTTTTTCACATAAAAAAATAAAGTATTTTAGCAACAAGTTTCTAATTTCTACGCGTATTTTTGACTAACGAATTTCTAAATAGGCGGATAAATACATGGCCAATGTTGAGTCTCTAAGGCCCATTATCTAAAGGTTGGGTCAGCATTCGGCGGGCCCAATACCGACATAAATCAAAGTCAACGCATTTTTAGAAGGGAGACTCAAAGTTTGGAAAATGTGTGTATATACAAAAGGAGGATGTTGTTTTTGAAGACAAACTTTGGGAAAATGAAGTGTGGCAGATGGGAATTGGAGACACCAAGTTGGATCTGTCTCTCTCAACTTGTCACCTCTTATTGGTTTTCTTGTTTTTTTTTTTTTTTTTTTTCATTTCCTTCTTTCTCCTTCCATTGAATCTCCCCACTTTCTCACACTTTTATCTTCTCCTTCTTTGTCCCTGTGAAGCACAAGAAAACAAATCATCACTTTTTTTTTCCTTGGTCCAAAGGAATTAAACTAAGTGATATGAGCCAAATACAGAGAGATAAGCCCAAGTTCAACCTCATATAACTCCAAAACCCCATTACTCTATTCTATATCAATCAACCAAAAGAGGATAGTTCATGTGTAGTAGTAATAAACTAATAAATAACTCCATTTCCATGAACCTGTACCAATAAACCAATTTTCAACCTTTTCTTGATGACGTCTATGCAGAAAACCGTTACCATGATGACTCTATATATACAGTATATAATATAAGTTTATCTAAAAACGAAAACATGCAACTAGCCATACACCCTTGACAGATACCTTTCAAGCCGATGTGGCAACTCTAAAAGCAAATGGGAATTCTTTATCTGAATGAATTATCTAACCATTCATTTTATTTTTGTGTATATGAACACAAAACAGGTAGTTTCCAAAACCGTAATCAAAGAGAAAAGAAGAAATGCTGACCTTTTTTTTAAAAAAAAAATCAGGGTATCTTCATGAGTATATAAATAAAAACGGGCTTCTCATGCTTGCTTACTATTACACAAGTAAGAGGACAGGCAGAGTGAGATTAACGAATAGAATCCTAAAGTATCTAAACAGTTTCTTGCCAAAAAAATCAATGGAGGATACAAATAAGAGTGTGCTTGGCGATTACTTTACCAGTGCTATGGGACTGACCGAGTCAGGTGTCCCTCGAGTGCCTACACGTTACATTCTTCCGCCTTCACAACGACCGATGCTCGGTCCAAGCATTGGTTCCGCTACCATCGATCTTCCTGTCATTGATCTCTCCCTCTTACACGATCCTTTGCTTAGACCCCGTGTCATCCATGAGATTGAAACGGCCTGCAAGGGATTTGGTTTCTTTCAGGTAATACTCGTGATATGGCTACATACACTACACATGTATCATGTATGGGTAGGTAGGACACATGACAAGCTATGCAACTCAGACTCATGCATTGTTACATTCCAAACAAATACAAGTTTGTTGCTTTAAGTGTCTTATTCATGTGTCTCTCTATATCTCAGTTCATTAGATTTCAGCCATGTGCTTCATTTTTCGGATCACTTATAACATTAACAAATCACGCTTGATATATAACTTGTAAGAAATGCAGTTTTTATCTTTTCAATCTCAACCATACTCAACAAAGTCACTTATAAAAAAATGACAAATGAAAAAAGACAAAGTCCTTAGTTTCTGTCTTTATTGTGAATAAAACAAGTAGCCATGTGATGATGCTAATTCTATTTATTCTTTATGCACACATACCATTAAAGTACACTACACTAGTATCATTTGTATCCCTATTGCATAACAAGTACATAACTCTGATTCGAACTTGCTTCCCTACAGATAACAAACCATGGAATACCATCATCAGTGGTGAACGATGCGCTAGATGCAGCTACAAGGTTCTTTGACTTACCTGCCGAAGAGAAGATGCTTCTGGTCTCTGATAACTTTCACGAGCCAGTAAGGTATGGCACCAGCATTAACCATTCAACAGACAGAGTTCATTACTGGAGAGATTTCATCAAACATTACTCACATCCTCTCTCAAAGTGGATCGATCTGTGGCCATCCAACCCTACATGCTACAAGTAAGTAAACCAATCTGAATATTAAACAAAACTTGTTCTCTTTTTGACTGGTATAAGAATCCGATAGACGTTTCAGAATTTGCTCAAGAGAATGGGACTAATGCGATGTTCTTAAAATGCTTTTCCTATCAGGGAAAAAGTGGGGAGATACGCAGAAGCAACGCATGTGCTACATAAGCAACTAATCGAAGCTATCTCAGAGAGTCTAGGATTAGAGAAAAACTACTTACAGGAAGAGATCGAAGAAGGCTCACAAGTCATGGCCATGAACTGCTATCCAGCTTGTCCCGAACCCGAGATTGCCTTGGGAATGCCACCACACTCGGACTTTAGCTCACTGACCATCTTACTCCAAAGTAGCCAGGGGCTGCAGATAATGGACTGCGACAACAACTGGGTCTGTGTGCCGTATATCGAAGGAGCTCTGATAGTTCAGCTGGGAGATCAGGTAGAAGTCATGAGCAATGGCATATACAAGAGTGTGGTTCATCGCGTAACAGTGAACAAAGACTTGAAGCGGCTCTCTTTTGCAAGTCTTCACAGCCTACCTATGCACATGAAAATAAGTCCAGCAACTAAGCTCGTCGATGAAAACAAACCAGCTGCCTATGGAGAATTCAGCTTCAACGATTTTCTTGACTACATCTCAAGAAACGATATCACACAGCAAAGATTCATTGATACAGTCAAGAAGAAGAACTCCTGAAAATGGTGTCGGTGACCGAAACAACCAATATCATACAGTTGCATGCATCTTGTATTTGATCTATGATGACATAAAAATCACTAAGACTATGTAAATTTTCTGCAAGTAAAATGTACTTTTGCTTATATACCACAAGAAAGCATAGCTAATTGTCATATAAGTAGCTGTGGGAAAGAAAGCAAAACTAGTCACTTGTTCAAACTCTTACAGACTTCGCACGTAATGATTTGATTACACTTTCAACAATTCTGAATTCTTGAGAGATCCTAAAGTTCCAAGAGTATCGTCACGAATTGTCCTGAAGCTTAGGGAGAAAAGGAAGTTGAAAAATACATTTTTTTTTGGCTTTATAGAAGCAACACAGTGTATTATGAAATCGTCATCAACAATCGTTCACTTAACCAGATACTGAAACAGCCAAGCAAAACCAGTTTTGGAAATTGACAATCTTTGTAATTCAAAACGCAGCTTTAAAAACTCGATCTTTGTAATCGGTACAACAATGGAATCAAAGACCAAACAGTAAATGATTCTTCAAAATGCATAAAAGTTACTCGAAAGTACGAGGAGGTAAGCTCGATTTCGTTCCAACAATGAAAAAAAAAAATCGAAGCACCGAACTGAATCACTTACGGGAAATTAATAACGATCATAATATTTCCGGCAACTCTCCGTTCACTTTCCCGCCCTAGCCTCTCGGCTCCGTCGTCTGATTGCCGGTTAAATTTTCACTCCGTTATCGCAACGTCAATTTTAATTTATCCTGAGAATCCTTGTTTTATTTACCCTTTTAATAGCAAATCCTTTACTATTTACTTATCGTAGACGTTATAATTAAACTGAACAAAAACACCCCTTTTTTAACCGTATCTGGAATTTATAACATTCTCGCTCGCTTTCCACTGACCCAAATGAGTTAAAAATGGAATAACAATGGGCGTGCGCGCATGATTTATATATATATATATATATTTTATGGAGTACGTAAAACCGTGGAATGGTATTAATCAGCACCACATTTTTATTCATTTGTTCGATACATACATATGTTATTACGTAGTGTCATACAAAATATCTGATGCGAACCAACCAAATTGGTATCGCATGTCGACGTAAGAGAGATTACTCAAGTTAGTATGAAGACAAAAAGCCTTCAATGTCTTTTTACTTTACATATGAAAGTCTAAGTCTTTAATCTCTTTTAAACAAAAGTCATAAACTCTATGCTTATAAAGAAAAAGATCTATTTTCTTTTTAAGATGTAGAGATTATGATGGATTAATCATTTAAAAAAAAATATCATATACTGTAACTAGAACAATATTAACGCAAACACTTGTCAAAAATGATGAAATAGCAAAAAGGTAATTAGTTAATCAGACCAGTTTTGTAATAATGGTTTGTAACAATTTTGCGGGAGGGGTGAATTTAGACAGAAACTAACAAATGGGGCTAAATCAGAACTAACTGAAATAAATGGGGCAGTTATAGATATTAAAGAAAATAAAACATTATATTGAACGCGCGGCCAGAAGGAATTACGGGAAAGGTCAGCTTCCTCGCCGTCTCTGCGCCTTGCTCTTGTCGTTGTTTTGCTTCTTCTCAGGGAGAGGAGAAACACACACACAAAAATGACGGAGGAAGAGGTAGCGATGGAGATGGAAGCTGTAGAAGCAGTTTACGGCGAAGACTGCGTCGTATTGGAATCATTTCCTCCTCATCTTCACCTCCACATCAAGCCTCGTACCGCCGAGATCTCTTCTCAACAGGTTTTTCTCCGTCTTTGATATATATCTGTTTGTTTATCGTACTGTGTTTTGCCGAATCGAGAATTGCGTCTTTTTTTTTATAATTGCTAAACTCAAATCTTTCGGAGAATTTTACGCGATTAGGGCTTGGCTTTGTTAGAATTGGCGTTTTTTAGCAACTCAAAAAGTTTTAAAATTTAAAGCTAAAATGGATGAAAATGGTTTGGATGCTTTGGAGTATGATTTGACGCAACTACACTTGTGACTTGGATTGGATTTGCCCAAGTTTTCATTTTTATGTAGCAAAAACTCAGTGATTATCTGATAAATCTACTGGTTATGATTGGCTTTTTTTATTGTTTTTTTTTTTAAATCTCTTTCGTGCTCATTTGACGACATTGTGGTAATGCTCACCGTAGTTTTGGTCTGCAGTTTGTGGAAGCGGTTGTGAGAATACAGGCAGGTTCTAAGGTATACTTTTGGTTCCATTGTCATTATTTTCCCAGGGAATCATAGCTTTCTTATTATTGAGCTAAAAGCGTCTTCTTTTTGTTGTTGTTGTTGTTACAGTATCCAGATGAAGCGCCTCAAATTAGTCTGATTGAATCCAAGGGTCTTGATGTGCAAAGGCAAAAGCAATTGATGGGCTTAGTTCAGGAGAAAGCGTCTGAATTATCATCTTCTCTAATGCTAGTAGCACTTTGTGAGGTAACAGTTCTATATTTTTTCTTGAATACTAGTAGCACTTTGTGAGTCACAAGCAAACGATGTACATGTATGTGGATAGATATATACTTATGCAACTTTGTTTAAAATTGGAAGAATCTCATGTGGACAAACACATATGTGTTTTTAGGAAGCAGTTGAGAGGCTCACGATTATGAATCATCCGGATGGAGATTGTCCACTGTGTTTGTATCCGTTATTCCCTGAGGATGTCGGGAGCAAACAAATGCCATTTATGAAGCTGATGTCTTGCTTTCATTGTTTCCACTGGTAAAGAATCGTTAAGCTCAGTTACAGTTTTTTGCTTTTTCTCTTATTTTGGATTATTAGTTTCCAATATGTAAGGTGTCCAACTGTTCTTTATTAATTTCAAGTGATCAGTGAGTGCATCATTAGGTGGTGGAATTGGCTTCACACTAGTCAGAAAGAAGCTGACTCAAAATCAGGGGACGCTAAACATCTGCGCAGAGAAACGAGTGATGAAGAAGGTTTGTACGATAATGTCTTTTTCATGAAAACTGGAATAGATCGGTTCTCCGAAAAGGAGTCTTAAATAAAATAAGTATTGCAGGTAGTTCTGGACCAGAAGATAAAAGCTTGGGAAACTGTCCAGTGTGCCGCAAAGTGTTTCATGCGAGTGATATTGAACATGTTCTCGACTTAGTCGGTGCTCAGTCATCTCAAGAGGTGAGTGAGCCATCAACTTCAATCCAAAAAAGCCTAAGACTCAACTTTTAATTAACTTGCATCAGCTTTCATGCTTTTGGAATGAGCAGGGTTCTGGTTTGATACAAGGTGAGGACGAAGACCCGCTGCTCCAGTCAGATTCAGAGAAGATGAGAAGACAGCGGTTTGAGTCTATTCTAAAGACGCAGGAAGAAAAAAGTGGGCTGGTTCAACCGAAGAAAAACATATCCGTTGTGCCCGGTATGTATCTTCCTCCACCAGCTCCTCTTCCATCATCGTCGTCAAACGAGGAAGAAGCCGATCAAAGTCAACAACAAGGAGAAGTAGAAGAACCTAAAGAAGCTGAATCAGAGACAAACTCTAGCATCTACACTAACAGGAGGGGAAGAGGGAGAGGCCGAGGCCGAGGGAGAGGACATAATAATGTCAACAGACGGAAGCAGAATTCGCAAGATCCAAGAAAACCGACGCAGCAGTGGGTGCAGAGAAGTTAACAAAACTCATGGATTGTATTGAAATCTCGATTGAGAGACATCAGACTCGGATACAAAACACAAGTGTATACACTTTCAGGAAAATAAATTATTGGGCCAAAAATATGTTTTTCCTTCTACGATTGCTCATAAGCTTCTTTCTCGTAAGCAAAATTATATTTCTTGTATAATATCATCTTCTGCAAGTTTTGAAAGTTGAAACGGATGAATTAGTACAAATGAAAATCGCAATGTGGGAAGAAAGCGAAAACCTTCAATCCCCTTCACCACTAAAAGAAGATGCAATGTTGCACAAGATTGGGCCTATTGGGCTTGGGTCTATTGGGCTTGGGCCTATTGGTCTTGGGACTATTGGGCTTGGGCTTAATCGCTTATAAATGGGTCACATCTCATAAGATATAGCTTAACCGGTTTATTATCTGAGTGGGATAAGAATGTCTAAAAAACATTTTAGCTTAACCGGTTTGTAGTGAATCCCATTCCACTGTCGTTCTGTATTCAATGGGCATAGTGTAATCGCCGGCGATTCTGCTCATATGTTCAATGTCCTTTCCGTCTGCGGTTGCCGATCTCTTGGCCGCGCTTGCTTTCCGGCTTCAGACTAGAAATCGAGTAGTCGAAGAAGAATCGGAGGAGGCTTCTTCGTCTATGGGACTGGCTATCTCGGAGCTTAACCGATCTTTGACTCTGGACACCGGCGGCGAGGATTCTCGGGTTAGAGTTTTAGATGCGGCGACATCTCTAATGTGCTTCAAGGCACCTCAGGTTAGTACTTTTACAGCTAAACCTCTTCTTCTGCAGTGTTTTCTATATACATGTCGCGTTTCTCACTCGTGCGTTTTTGTGTAAATTTTTCTTCGTAGGTTTTTGATTCGGCGATTGAGTATCTGGTGCGAACAATCGTTTCCGTCTTATCATCTTCAGTTAATTGTAAGGTGCTTAGGTATCAAAACGAGGAAAGGTTACATTTTGGGAGCTCGAATTTACCTCGTTGCTCTGAAGAATTGATCGAAATCTCCAATGATATAATTGATAAACTGGGAGCAAATGGTGAGTTTGGTTTAGCTTTTCCTTAAGCTTTTAAAAATCTTTTTTTTTCTCATATTTTTGTTCTGACTTGGAACTGGTTTATAGGAAAATTGGCTACAGAGTTGTTCCAAGCTGTTGTGAGATCGGCAGCTTCAACATCATGCAGCGTTATCTCGACTAAAAAGTCAGTGGATGGAAGAAATAAGGCTGTCTCCAAACTCATTGCTTACTTACCAAGAGGATCATCATCTATAGAGAACCACGAGATACCACTGAGGTTTGACCTCTTTTACTATTTCTAGTCTATTAGTCGATGGAATTTGTGAGACTGAAGCCACGCATTCTGCGATGTTTGCTCTCTTGTTTCAGAAAAAAAAGGTAGACCGGTCTCTCTGACACTTTTTGATGATCAGGATCATGTTCTGGTATCAAGATCCGTTGTCTTTGAAGGAAGATGTTTCAAGAATCTTGAAACATGTGCTGGAAAGGCCTTTCCTCTGTCTGAAGAAGGAGCTCTTCGAGAGGGAAGAGTGGCACACTATCGTCGTCTGCTTAGCGCTTTCTCCTTCTATGTTTATCAACACTAGAGCCCTCTTGCATAAGTGGTTTTTGCTTACGTGAGTTCCTCTTAATCCAATTCGTGTCATGGAAATCTACAATAACCTTATTCTGTGTAATCTATAGCTTTCCTTCGTTATTGCTTTCTTTCTAATGCAATTTCATTCTTAACGCCAGGGGAATTGCTTCAGTCTTTGAATTACTTGCCGCTTTGGTCTCTGCATTAGAGGACACAATTTCAAGACCATCGTTGTGGGGTGTACCAATGGAGCTAGCTTCCATGTTGCCTTTCTCTGATGCATACTTTCCTTTCCAGTGTCAACTTCTGAGAATCTTGGCTGGTCCTCTCACCTCCAAGTCCCTCGTAATGTTATCTCATACTATCAATAAACCATTCGTGGTTCCTGGGCTACAACGACATGATACTAATTGCAAGCATACTCCAGTGAAAGTTCAAGCAGTAGATCACAAAACCGAATGGTAATTTTACGTGAAAATGCAAATTGATTCCTATATATGTGTGTGCATATGTGTGGTTTTTGATTGATGTTATATCTTCTGGCAGGGCTTTGGCTATTAACTTCCCAGATTGGTTATATTTTGCTTCTGCTATGCTCTTCTCAGAAGGAAATACATTAGAAAATATACACCATAGATATACTTCACAAGTGGCTAGCAGTAGACAAGGATGTGACGTAAAAGGTCTCTCCATTGCCGCGGCAACATACATTGCATGGATTCTGAACCCTGTAAGTGGAACAATCCAAGAATCACTGATTAAGTCTCTCATCAGAGTCTCAGAGATATGTACTAGAAAAAGTTGCGGCTCAGAAGCACATCGTAGAGAGACTATAACTGGCAAGAGAAAGAAACCAGACAGGCTAGTCTCTGGCAAAGTAAAGTCTCCCAGTATTGTGGAAGACGTGGTGAGAGAATTTCACAACAAAATCACCAATTCAGTTTCTTATGAATCAGATTCTCAGAAAACGAATCCATCTTTCAGCTCCGGCCTCGAGAAAAACCTGTTGGTGAGAAGAGTGGTGGTTGGCGTACTGATTGCTTCTCCACATTCAGTAACAGATGAGGAGTATGAGCTGGTGCTGCACTATGCTGCAACTGGCAAAATTATCGCCATTAACAAACCGCGGATCAACGGATTTAAACAAGCAAAGGGGAGTTCTGAAATATCTGCTTTGTTGTCGAATGAAATCACCAAGGAAGAGGCTATTGAAGGCACACGCCTTGTTTTCAACTTAACCGATACTTTGGAGAGTTTGTGTGTATCAAGTTTCGAAGCTGAAGAGGAGGCGCAAGAGGTTATTAACCAGTTTAAGCTAAAATCCAGAAAGTATTTGGTCAAATGCATGGACCGCCTGATTCAACTTCACCGTGAAGCAGATGGAGATACAATACTAAGTGACCTTAATATCAGACTGCTACAATGGACAATAAAAGGACCAGAAGATCCGCAGTTCAACGAAGATCTTGATAGCATCGCTGCTAAATTGGCCTTCATATTCTCGTCCGTGTAAAGCACACTGTTTTTTTGGGAAAATGGTGATCAGATATGATGAACTTGTTTTAAGCACTGACACGACTGGAATGGGGATATGAATGGTGTTTTCAGGTAACTGAAATCGATTGCCTTGTTTCGTTTGTTTTCTATATAATCATATAAGTGGCAAAGCCTATTAAGTTTTCAAAGTGGCAACATTCTTGGCTAATATTTTATATTTCAGCTCCGCAACTGAAATCATTTGATTTGCCTGGATTAGAGCAGAGGAAATGGACGATTGAATGGTGAGCCTTGCAACTACTTGATCATGCTCTTTAATTCAACTAAACATAAGCTCTTCTTCACCATAATTTGTGTTTGTTTGGATTGTGTAAATGATTTTTTTTATCCTCACACAGAAACTAGGAATAAAGACAAGAGGGGACATGGGATATATTCTTTCTATTGGGCTGTGGGAAGGACGGAAGGTAACAAGAAGATACAAAAACCAAATCATGTGGTTTCACTTTCAGACAAGAAGTGAAGAGTTGTCAGATTCGAACTCGAGAGAGAAGAATCCGACGGACACGGACCCCACTCCCAACCACTCCACCCACTTGAGTTGGAGATCTCCATTCCAGTGGCAAATTCCAGAATCAAAGCGACGCAATTTATTACAAAACTCCGTTTATCTTGCATTCTCCTTATAATAACTAAAAAAAAAGGTTGTATTTTAACACTTTCGTCGTTCGATATAACCAACAAATAACGGCAGACATCAAACGCTATAATCAAGAACCAACCATTTTTTTGGGTTCTACTACAAAATTTTAAGAATTAAAACTTTGTACTGTAGGAATATCAACATACATGTATAAATGTAGTGTCCTATTTGATAGAGTATGAACGAGTGCATACAGTTTGAAGAGATTCCATGAACAAAGCAGAGAAACTTGTTAAAGCTTGGAACACACCAGGCAACCCTGTCTGCAGATTATTCAGAGTCAGGGCTCTCGTCACTTCTATTGCCTTTGAATGTTTCACCATCTCTTCCTCTACTCTCCTTTGGCAAACCGCAAGCTCCGATTTTTTATCGCTTAGCGGGTCTCGAGCGTCTAGCATGTGTTGGTTATCGGGTCCTGAGTCTGGTAAACCGATTCCGACCATTGAGTAAGACTGGTAATATTTCCTTTCTAGGTTTCTAAGCGACGAAGCTTTCTTCTCGAGCTCTTTCGATGCCGATTCTGTTCTTTTCTTTACCTTGTGTTCATCAGCTTGTTTCGCGGATATTACATGCACAACGTTGATGAAGCTTTTGATTGCTTCTGATGCCACTGTATCGGGAACACGGTCTAGAGCAAGTTTCCACTCATCGCAGAAGGCGTAAGCATCGGCTGGCTCTTTGTGGTGATTTGCAGCCGCGTCTTCGTGGCAGACCGGAAGAAGGGTCAGTTTGAACCAGGCGTGAACCGAGTGTATGAAGTCACGTTGGAACTTGATGAGATGACTGAAACTGGAGTGCCAAGAAGAGACGGCTGATTCTAAGTCACGTGTCGCTTGTCGGTGTAGCTCAGAGGTTGATACGCCTCTGCCTGATCTGTCTATGAGCCCTCGGACTTGCTGCACGATGCTGTTCTGAGTCTCGTGGTATTGATGCATAGCTTTCCACATGTACATAAAGCTGCATCAGGTAAACAAAAAACACACATGGATTAACTTTGAGTTAAATGTCTTCTTCCTATGATTTTGTCTAGCAAACAGTCTCAATATTAATTAAAGAATTCTCATATGGAGAATACCACTAAACCAGAAGATATACATTAATCTCTGCTGAAATTAGATATAATAAGATAAGCCTGAACCATATTGTTATTGCCTCTAACTTTAAGACATGATTACCACTTTACCAATCAGTTTACTAGTCACTTTGACAAGATAAGCTATAAAACTCAAAAAGCTAAGAACTAAACAGTAACAATAGATAAAAGAGGCAAGGGACCGTTTTTGTCTCACTCTAAGCATATCATTATCAAGGACCACATAATTTCTAAAAAACATGGCCTCAAAACTTGTCTCATAATTGTTCACCTACTTACTGAGTACACGAGATTCGATCAAAGATATGAAAAGTAGGTGGAGGTGAATAGTATACTGACTTTAAGAAACTAAACATGTATAAGATAATGATTGCTAGCCAAAAATGTCAAATTCAAGAAAACTGTTGGACCACACAGATAACACCACCAAGCAGCGGGTGATCCACTTGATTAGATAGAGGAAACGTACCCATGACAGAGTTCAACGAGTTGAGGAACAAGGTCGGTATCACGAAGACGGATTATGGCAGTAGATGTAGTTGTAACAGCTTGAGATGTAACAATTATCAGTGACTGTAACCTCGTTATTGAGGCCTTTGTCTTGTCTAGCTTAGCTTCATCCTCACCTTTATACTCTTGGCTTTGCAATTGTGATAGCTTCTTCTCGTGCTCAATCTTCACACCTTCTCTAGCCTGCAAAAAAATATTCATCAGTTACCACCAACAAACAGTCAATTGGTAAAATTCATCAAAAGTAAAAACTGTATAAGACCTTGATTTCTTCGTACAGCTTCTTCTCCCATGCCAAGAGACGGTCAAGAGTTGAACAGAGGCTCTTCACACTGTTGGGTTGATCCAGCGCCGTCGTGTCAATCCTGTACTTGACTGCCAATGGCGGCTTCGAGGTCCATGTCGAGCTCAGGTTGCTTAATATGCTACTCGAATGTATCACAGTTTCTAATTTTCACAATGGAGAAACCAAAATCAACTTTGTTGAAACTCAATATTCATCAAAGCATACGAAACAATTTCTCTAACTCACTCTTCAATTGGCTGAAACTTCGATCAAGCTGAGCTCTGCCGAGCTCAAGCATCTGAGACACGTGGTCGCCGGCGGCGGCCGCCTTGTCGAAATTCTCCTTGATCGCATCAACGATTTCTTTCAAATCCCTGTGCCTAACCACCATACTCATGTCGGCGATCTCTCTTCCGCCTCTGTCGCTACCGGAAGACATCGTCGCATCATCTGCTTTGTCATATCTTCCCTTTTCAGCGCCGCCGTATTCTCGCGGCATTGGTGAAGGTCGCTGGTGGTGGTGCCGACTCATCGAATCAGCTCTCACGGTAGATCCGACGTCGGAGCGTGTCCCGATCTCGGAAACTGACTCCCTCTCGTCGTCATCTTCCTCCGAGGAGCTCGTGGTGCTGTAGTGATCGTGAACGTCCCATTCGCTACACTGTACTTCCTCTCTCTCCGTCCCCTCATCCTCCTCCTCCTCCACCGCACTGCTCACTGATTCAAACTGCTTCTGCTTACTCGGATGGAAGAAATCATACTCTGACCTATCATCGCCGTCGGCGGGATCGCTAAACGGATTATCGGGTTTCTGTTTCTTCTCTTGAGCCTTCCGATCGAAGAATTCGGAATCGGGAGGAGAAGGAGGGTAGAAATTCTCCCAGTTCCAGACGGAGGAGGCATGGGATGGAGTGGCGGAGTAAGTGGAGTTCTGGTACGCGCCGGGATAGAAATTCGGCATGAAATTGGATCTCTCGCTCCTCGGAGAAGACGAAGGGCTTGACTCCGAGAGGATATGAGGCAGCTTTGGTCTGGGTTGCTGTTTCCTCCGTCGATTGGAAGAGGCGGACATGACTGGAGGCTGCTTGTGCTTTGTACTTGCAACGGAAGGAGATATCGGAGGAGGAGGAGGATGAACGGAAGAAGGAGCAGGCGACGACGGAACGCGTGGAGGGATAAGGTTGGCCGGAGAGTGTTCGGAAGGAGGAGGATTGAGGAAAATTGCTGGAGTCTGATCCGATACAGAGAGAGGCTCACCGGCGGCGAATGAGGAAAGAGCAGATCCAGTGAGACGAAGCGAGCGGCAGTAATCGGCGTGAGCGGCGGCGAGATGATGTCGCGCGTAGACAGCTTCCTTCATCAGACGGCGGCGATCCTTACACCGCCGAACAGTATCCTCGCTATCGAGTTTCGACGCCGCACATCCCATGTCTTCTCCTTCAGCTTTCTTCTTCGTTACGGTGGCGCGTGAGCTCACGCCGGCTCAGCATTTTTCAAAACAAAATCATACAAAAAGAGAGAAAGATAAATAGCTGTTTTCAGATTTTCCACTCTTCACTACTACACTGTACTCTCAGTTTTCTCATATTTATCGGAAAAAAATAAAACATAACCGACAAAAAATAAATGAAAATATCATTTTCCTCGACTGATGATAAACAGTGACTGTCATTAACCTGGACTAATCTTTACCTTTCGGTTTCTATATTTGTCATAGTTATAAAAAACTTGTAGAATAAACAAATAACACGACATTTTCTGACACAGTTATTAACCGTTACCAGAACCTACATACATTACAATATTATGATGATTAATCAGATTATTCACCGAAAGAACCACTATCATACTCAGCAACACAAAAAAAAAGACAAGTTGTGATTAACGAGTTTAATAAAAAGGCTCTTTGATAAGAATCAAATTATTGCGAAGCAAACAAAATTATAATCGTGGATCTAAGGCTTCTGAGGTGGCCCAAGATGAAAAAGCACCGATATAATGGAAAATGTAAAACAAAAACGGCAGGATAGTGAAAAGCTGAAGCTGAAAACGGTGAAAAGTCTAAACAAAAACCACATGCATTTTTCCTTCTTTTTAGCTTTATAGTTTCTTTACCAATCTCATTTTGTTCCAAAAGACTCATCATCATCACCTCCTTTGAAAGTGTGAAACCGACCCCAAAACTGTGGACCTTTTACAAATCAGACTCTGATTTTATATATTTAACTATAGGGACCAAAGAGCATCTAAATAGTATAGTACTCCCTCTGTTTTTTTTTAAATTGATGTTTAACATCTTTCACACATATTAAGATACAATAATTACTTACTTTATTAGTTATTTTTATTTTTATTTTTAATTACTTTTTTTGGTTTCAATAAAAATTAACTAATAATTTGTTTTTAATTTATTTTGTAAAACTAAATGCATTGATTAAAGTAAAAACATCAATCTTTCAAAAACAAAAGTAAAATCTGAAACATCAATCTTATAAAAATGGAGGGAGTAATACACAAATTGCTGAAATTTAAAGATAACACACACATGTGCATTCATTCTTATAAGGATACTGAATCATAAAGAACACATGAATAGCAAACCCTTTCGAAAAAAGAAATACAAGTGCATAGGAATGTTGCAATATATTAGCAACTAGACTAAACACAGTTAGCTGTGGAAAATGACCCCACATGTCTGTTTCCAACACATATACCGTTACGACTTTGGGACTAAGGATAGTTACTACAATGAGCATCCCGTTCAAATTGGAGTAAATACTCTACTGATGATTACCAAGCGTTGTGTTTGTCAATTGCCAAGCAATTGTGTAATATTTTTGTTTATTGATGCTGTGTTTGATGAGTTTATAGTTTCTAAATTCTTTCTGTTTTAGTTATTACAGCCATGGATCTTGCTCTGAGAACCTAATTAAACAATAAGAAACATAAGAAGAAAAAAGGCAAGAAACTTGTCGAAAGGACGTCCGGCGTACATAATTGTTGTTGTCCACTAAATGGTTCTTGTCTTCTGAAGATTTATAACGGTCAAAACTGCTTATGTATATAAAAATTAATGATTTGATTTTTGTTTAATGGAGGGTGTTAAGTTCTTAAGGATCTCGGAATATCCTGATTAGCGTAGAAAATAAATATTCCCAACATCATGGATCACCACTATCCTCATTTGTTTATTATAGTCATTAGATATTTTTTTTTTGAGTTTTTCTTATACACGTTCTAAGAATAGGAGGACCCCTTTTGTGTGATTAAGGCAACCTTGAGGAGGGTTGAAGTAAAGATTTTTTTTTAATCGAATTATTTTGACGCGTGTGCCTATTGTTTTTCTGTTTATTGTTGTCCCTCTAACCTTTTCAATAGGCAAAAACAGAGGTCAATGACCTTAGACATCGTGAAATTAACATCTTTAGTCAGATACTTTTGACTTTTTTGTGAATTTTCTTCTCCTGATTGTTAGGAGAAAGAGTTACAAATCTAGGATTCTTACGGAGGTAAAATGTTGTTAATAAAGAGAAGAAACCTAAGCAATAGGTTTAGTTTAGACTTTTTACAACCTTAATGCCAGTAAATGCTGAAAGGCCACGAAATTTGCATATCGTCCTTCTTCGTCTTCAATTGGTAATTATGGATATTCCTTTTCTCAGATCTTTTTTTTTTCTTCCTAATTTTAATTAATCTCCGGTAAATATATGACGGCTAGTTAAAAGACAATTTAAAAAAGAAAAAGAAAGTTGAATGATTCAGCTTTCGTCATGCATTGGGTTAATCTGGCCGGCAAATCTTTGAACTTGTTATTATATAGACCCTCTTGTCTTGTTTATGCTGTTGCCTGCATTACACATTTTGTCTCAACAATCCAGATTTGCCCCTCGTTTCCTTTTTGTGAAGGTCAAGCTTTCAAGGGCTAACGGGTGATGCTTTGGTGAAGGGTTTTTTTTTCCTGTTCTAGGTATGTGTTTATTCTGCATTAATCCTCGTCTTTGATTCACGTCTAAGTAGTTTTCGTTTGAGCATAATTTGTAGAAGAGATGATTTCTTCAGGCACAAGGAAAATGTATACTCTCTATAAATTGATGGATAAAAATAACTTGGCCATTGCAGATTCCATACCTAGATTTTTAGTAACTTCCGGCTCAAGCAAAAAGGAAGTTCGATATGACGGAAATATCAGAGTCTCTCAAGGCTATCACCACGGAGAGCATTGATCTGGAAAATGTTCCCGTTGAAGAGGTTTTTCAACATCTCAAATGCACGAAACAAGGTTTGAGTTCCGATGAAGTCCAGGAGAGACTTACCTTGTTTGGTTACAACAAGCTCGAGGAGAAAAAGGTTGGGAAAAATAAACTATTTCTTGATCTCTCTTTTTTCTGTTGTTGTTATGTTGATCTCTCATTATTTATTTGGTTCTGCTGCAGGAGAGTAAGATACTCAAGTTCTTAGGGTTCATGTGGAATCCACTCTCATGGGTCATGGAAGCTGCAGCCCTCATGGCCATTGGTCTTGCACATGGAGGAGTAAGTCTTTTGCTTCTTCTTCAACAATACATCTTTTAAGGTTCTGATTAAACTAACTTGTCTCAAATCTTCCAGGGCAAGCCACCGGATTATCACGACTTCGTGGGTATTGTGGTCTTACTTTTGATAAATTCAACAATCAGTTTTGTAGAAGAAAACAATGCCGGAAATGCAGCTGCTGCTCTCATGGCTCAGTTAGCCCCTAAAGCCAAAGTATAATTTTATTCCTTTTTTGTTGCTTTCATTTTAAATAGTAGATTATTTATTAATCAAGTTGTTTTTAGGCAATCCGAGATGGGAAATGGAACGAGATAGATGCAGCTGAGTTGGTTCCAGGAGATATAGTTAGTATCAAACTTGGAGATATCATCCCTGCTGATGCTCGTCTTCTTGAAGGAGACCCTTTAAAGATTGACCAGGCAAGTTCTGCTTCTGATGATGATGCCATTATCTCTAGCATTCTTATATCTCTCTTTCGACTAATCTTGGTATAGATTTGTCTTTTCTCCAGTCAGCGCTTACAGGTGAATCTCTTCCGGTAACCAAAAACCCTGGTGCGTCAGTGTACTCTGGTTCAACATGCAAGCAAGGTGAGATTGAAGCAGTCGTTATAGCGACCGGTGTCCACACGTTCTTCGGAAAGGCGGCTCATCTTGTGGACAGTACTACACATGTTGGTCACTTCCAGAAGGTTTTGACAGCAATAGGAAACTTCTGTATCTGCTCGATTGCAGTAGGAATGGTGATTGAGATCATTGTTATATACGGTCTCCAACAGAGAGGGTACCGTGTTGGTATCGATAACCTTCTTGTCTTGTTGATTGGTGGAATCCCCATTGCGATGCCTACTGTTCTCTCTGTTACAATGGCTATTGGTGCCCATCGCTTGGCTCAACAGGTTAACACACAAGTCTTGATGAGACAAGATTCAGTTGATTTTTGTGTTTCTGTGTAATGACACTGTAGAATCCATTTCAGGGTGCTATCACAAAGAGAATGACAGCTATTGAAGAAATGGCGGGAATGGATGTTCTGTGCAGTGATAAAACTGGTACTCTCACGCTGAACAAGCTTTCCGTTGATAAGAATCTCATCGAGGTTTGCATCTTTACTCCACATTCTACTTACTCTGTAGTTACAATGGAGAACTTATAATTCATCTCCTTATGTTACAGATTTTCAAGAAAGGCATCGACACAGATATGGCTGTGCTTATGGCTGCAAGAGCTGCACGTTTAGAGAACCAAGATGCTATTGATACTGCTATTGTCTCCATGTTGGCAGACCCTAAAGAGGTATTGATTAAAAGACTCAACTTTCACTAAACTATATTCAATGTTACCATGTTTAAAAGCTGCGATGATGTACTGATCTGATACTTTTAATATTTAGGCGCGTGCTGGAATACAAGAACTCCATTTTCTTCCGTTCAGTCCAGCAAATAGAAGAACTGCGCTAACGTACCTTGATGGAGAAGGCAAGATGCACCGAGTGAGCAAAGGAGCTCCTGAAGAGGTTATACATACTTCGCCGTTAACTTTCTTCATTGCCTCGAATTTCACCCACTGTTTCCTGAGATATTGTTCGTCATTCTCTAGATTTTGGATATGGCACACAACAAGTTAGAAATCAAGGAGAAGGTGCATGCTACAATCGACAAATTCGCAGAACGTGGCCTAAGATCCCTTGGGTTGGCATATCAGGTGAGACATAATCAACTTCTTTTTGAGTCAAGTGTTTAAAATGTGATATCTCAATCTGATTACATTGTGAAAATCCCATTTCAATTGTAGCAAGTACCAGATGGTGATGTTAAAGGTGAAGGTGGTCCATGGGAATTTGTAGCTCTTCTTCCTCTGTTTGATCCTCCTCGTCATGACAGTGCACAAACAATAGAGCGAGCTCTTCATCTTGGAGTCAGTGTTAAAATGATCACAGGTACAAAGCATGTCTTTTCTTCATCAGCTCACTGCTCGACTTTGGTTTCAATGTGTACTCATAGTTTGAATCATAATACTTTCAGGTGACCAGCTTGCGATTGCCAAAGAAACAGGAAGAAGGCTTGGAATGGGAACAAACATGTACCCTTCTTCGTCTCTGCTCTCTGATAACCACACTGAAGCAGTTTCCATCGACGAACTTATCGAGAACGCAGATGGTTTTGCAGGAGTCTTTCCTGGTAACCTTACTTTGCTTGTGAACTACGCTACATTTTGTAACAGTGATCTTTAAGCGATATCTGACAAACACCTTTATTTTTCCTGATTTTTTGTAGAGCATAAGTATGAGATTGTGAAGAGATTACAATCCCGAAAACATATATGCGGTATGACTGGTGATGGAGTGAACGACGCACCTGCCTTGAAGAAAGCTGATATTGGAATAGCTGTGGATGATGCCACTGATGCTGCTCGTAGCGCTTCTGATATTGTCTTAACAGAACCTGGTCTTAGTGTTATCATCAGTGCTGTTTTGACTAGCCGTGCAATTTTCCAGAGAATGAAAAATTACACGGTACACTAATTAATGCTTCAGCCTCATTGACTTTATTACCTGATTAAACTTAGGTTGACTCTTGTTTGTTACCTTATTTTTTGCAGATATATGCTGTTTCTATCACTATACGTATTGTGGTAAGTTTCTACTCCGGAGATGCATATCAGATTTACTTTGGTCTTATTTTCATCTGATGATAACACATTTTTTTCTCTCTGTCTTTTGTGTTACAGATGGGTTTCATGCTTCTATGTGTCTTCTGGGAGTTTGACTTCCCTCCATTCATGGTTCTTGTTATTGCAATCCTTAACGATGGTTTGTTTCTGTTAAACTAGTTTTCAATGATTCAGCTTAAGGTTGTTAAAACACTATCTCTGAAAAATTTGCTTTCTTGTTGAAAAAGGTACTATAATGACCATATCAAAGGACAGAGTCAAGCCTTCTCCAACTCCAGATTGTTGGAAACTCAAGGAGATTTTCGCTACTGGTGTTGTCCTTGGAGCTTACTTGGCGATTATGACCGTTGTGTTTTTCTGGGCAGCATACGAAACCAACTTCTTCCCTGTAAGCTATATATACACATTATATATCACTTGTCTTTGTTTGACTCTCATTTCAACTGTACAGCGCAGAATAATCTCTCTTTCTCTTTCTCCTTTTTTGTGGTAGAAAATTTTCAAAGTGAGAAACTTCAACCAGCACCATTTCGACATGAAAGACAAGAAAGTGGCTGCACATTTGAACGAACAGATGGCTTCTGCTGTGTACCTTCAAGTCAGCACCATCAGTCAAGCTCTGATCTTCGTGACCCGTTCAAGGAGCTGGTCGTTTGTTGAACGGCCCGGTGCTCTTCTGGTGATTGCTTTCCTCATTGCTCAGCTGGTACATATAGATCTTTCCTCACTCTCTTCCACTTACCTTCTTCTTCGTTTATAGTTTTGTTTAATGGAATCCAAAAATTGTGTAATCTTAAAAGGTTGCATCGACGATATCAGCAATGGCAACTTGGCCTTTTGCTGGAATCAGAAGCATTGGATGGGGTTGGACTGGAGTTATCTGGATATTCAACATCGTAACTTACATGTTACTTGATCCTATCAAGTTCGCAGTCCGTTATGCTCTAAGTGGCAAATCCTGGAACCGAATGATCGATCAAAGGGTCCGTGTGTAGATAAAAACATGTTTGACTTTGGTTCTTGGCTATTACGTGTTGGCCTAACAAGAACTGTGTAAACTCTGTGTTTTGTTTCCAGATTGCACTCACAGGCAAGAAGAATTTTGGGAAAGAAGAACGAATGGCTGCGTGGGCCACCGAGAAGCGTACACAGCACGGTTTAGAGACAGGTCAAAAGCCAATGTATGAGAGAAATGGCGCAACCGAACTTAACAATATGGCTGATGAAGCTAAAAGGCGCGCCGAACTTGCTAGGTTTGATGATTTCTTGTTTAACTTTCTCTATAGTATGTATATTAGAGAGATTGTTAGTCTCTATCCATTTTAGAGATGAGATCTCATGTTTTATTATCTTTTTTTGCAGAATGAGAGAGCTTCAGACATTGAAGGGGAAAGTCGAATCAGCTGCAAAGCTGAAAGGCATTGATCTTGAGGATGCTAACAATAACAACTACACAATCTGAGAGTCTTAATCTCTGCCTAATTCATTCTTTTATGTTTTATCTTCTTCTTTTTTTTTATTTTTTTCTATATGTATTACTATTCTTCTTGATATTGACATTCATTTTGATATCTTGGTGGAAGATGTCGCTTGTTGTTATATTTCATTTGATGCTTGTAACTCTGTTACGTTTATTTGATGGAAAATTCAGACTTGATTGGTTGTGTTCGGGTATTAATAAACTACACACATTAGATGTTTAACTCTTGTTTTGGTCTCTCTTCACTCATTATGAGACCTAATAAAAAAGTGTTCAGGTTGGGGAAGGAGTATAAATTTGTAAATTGTAATTGTAAGTGTACATTCGTTGTTGATCTTGCAAGTATTGGATCTAATAAACATTCTTATAGTTTACTTAATATACTACAACAGGACAACTTAATGTAAAAGAATAATGGTTACTAAAAGAAAGTTTTTAAGCAACACTTTCCGAAAGTCCTTAACGTAGCAAAGGTATAAGTTTTTTTTCTACTAGTACTGTATTACTTTTTTCGTACTAATTTAACCAAATATCTTTACTATAAATTACTTTTTTTTTAATTATTGATATTAAATATTTTTGTGTTGCAAAATGATTAGTTGTTACCCTAAATAGTGTTTGATTATAAAAATAGTAGTAAATAATAGATCTAAGGAAGTGTTATTGGTTATTGTATTTTAATAGATTTGAGAATTAAAATTAAATTCAGTGTTATTGATTCTTGTATTTTAAAATCTATATTGAAATACAGTATTATTGGTTCTATGATTTTAAAATCCATAATGAAATACAGTGTTATTAGTTCTATCATTTTAGAATCTAAATATTATAAGGATTTGAGTTTTAATTGAATTTGGAAGGATTTTTATGACTAAAATACAAAGACTCAAATACAAGGTCTAACCTTGGTATTACTGGATTTGATTTTTTTTTCCATTTTGCTGATTTTGAATCAATAAATTTATCAAATCCAAAGAAGATTTATAAATTCACCAAAATACAAAAACCAATAATCCTTAATAATTAAATAAGTAAATGCCAAGACAAATTGTGTTACCACACATCAACAAAGTAAAGGTTTATATTTTAAGATATAGTTGGATTATCACTTTTTTTTAATAAAATTAATTGTGTAAACAAATTGAACACAAATAATTTTTAATGATCAAATCAATTCAAATAGTTGGATATTATTAAAATCTAATGTAAATCTAAATGATTTTAAACTAATCTAAGTTTTAATGTGGATAAATACAAAAAAAAATGCTAAAAAAAATTATGTTAATTAGACATCAGCAAATTTATGCTAAGAATGATTTCGTACCAGAGGACAGATCCGAAGAGGTAAAGAGTGGATTTGCAAGTGGTATCTGCTAATGCTAGGGTGCCTTAGCAGATTATCGCAGTCTGGATGACGACCGACGAGCAGGATCTCCACTACCTCAGTCGTCATCGCACACGGCGTTACCGTTTCTCTCCGGCGACGAGAAATCGCGACTGTGGACGACAAATATGTTCTTGTTCTTGAGAATCGCACCGTTTTTCAGCACTGGGAACACAGGAATCGTCAAGAGAGCCAAAATCCATACACATCTTCTTCTACAACGGTGTGATTTTCTCTCTCCTATCCCGATGCCGTCGAAGAGTACGACCTCTGTTTACTCCTAACGGCTAAATAATTAATTCCTTAACCGTACGGTTCAGGTTTCATAACGATTCAATTTAAAACCTTACCAAAAGGTCCAGACCGGTTTAAATAAACCAACGTCATTGGAACGTTAAGTATCGTATGTTTGTTTCTCATCGAACCTGCTGCAATTAGTCAATTACTGTTGACAAAATTAAACCCACGCGATTCATCCGCACGTGGACTACAGAATCCAACCAAAAGTCAAACTAACTCACTAGCGCGTGCTTCGCACGTGCCTGACAGTTGATAAGAACAAGAGATTATTATTCTATCATCCAACACACAATCTCTCCGATCCTTCGAGAGACACAGACTACTTTCGCCGGCGGAGATCATTCCGGTATGAATCTGATTCAATTGTTACATCTTTTTTTCTCCCAACAAAACCCTAGATTCAAGATTCTTTTGCCGGAAAAGTGAGTTTTTTATACGTTTGTTCTCTTGAATTACAGGAAGAAAAATGACTTTTCTTAAGGCAGCAATTGTTGTTGCCCTGATATTCACTTTCCTCCTCTCACTCGCTTCTTCTGTTCCTTTCATAGTTCTGCATGGTAATTTTGTAATCTACTATATTCCCTTTTCGTTATTGGATCGTTTTCTAATGAATTGATACTGCAACAATCATGTTCTTATTGGTAATAATAGTAATCATTCAATTATTTCCATATTTTCTCCGTTTTTTACTTGAAGATTGTTTAGTTTGTTAGTGTCTTTAGGTATTTCGAATTCCCAAACCTCTGGAAAAAAAAAAGTGAAAAAAGTTTGTGTTTTTGCTGTCTCAGGAATTGGGGATAAATGCAGTAATGCAGGAGTAAAACATTTCACAGAGCTTTTAAGTGATTGGTCTGGTTCTCAAGGATATTGCTTGTATGTCTATGTCCTCTTTTATTTACAGCAAACATATTCAAATATGGCTCAAGCTTTTTTTTGTATCAATCCACTATTGTGTTTCTTTGTGAATTCAGGGAGATTGGGAATGGCTCATGGGATTCATGGACCATGCCTCTCCTTGATCAGGTCATGTCACTAGTTGGAAGAATGAAATTTGTATATGTCCCGGAAAAGAAAAAAAAAATCTGATTTTGGCGTCTTTTTTTTTTTTTTTGTGTTTTGCAGACAGCGGTTGTTTGTGAGAAGGTCAGATAAACTGCTTCACCAAAGTGTTTGATAATCTTGGCTCTTTGAAAATGCATTTCATTATGAATGTGTTTGAATACCACAGGTGAAGAGTATGCCTGAGCTCAGTGACGGTTACAGCATTGTAGGGCTTTCTCAGGGTAACATGATCGGTCGAGCTCTCATCGAGTTTTGCGATGCAGCGCCACCTGTAAGTCCCATTAAACGCGCACATATGTATATATATGCCTTTTGGTGTATGAATGTTTGGTAGGGAGATATGAAAGGGACATGCTTTTGTTCTATCTTATTATGACTGATTGTTGCGGTTAACAGGTTAAGAATTTCGTATCGGTAGCGGGTCCTCATGCTGGCACTGCATCGATTCCTTTCTGTGGCGTAAGTAACTAAGTCCCTCCTTTGAGTTTTGGTTTCTTGATTATGAGGGTTTGTGTTGTAACATTTTCTTGATTATTGCAGGCTACCTGGATTTGCATCATGTTGGACGGTATGATCAAAGCAGAGATCTATGGCGACTATATGCAGGTAGTACTATGTTGAGATATGGATTGTGTTAGGGAAGCGAAACTTTGTTAGTGACATCTGATTTGTGTTTCCAGGAACATTTGGCTCCTAGCGGTTTTCTCAAAATCCCAACTGTAAGTTTTTGAATGTTTTGGGTTTAGGCTTTCGGTTCTTGTTATAACCAAATGCTTTCATAGGACATTGCTGGTTACATGGAAGGATGTAGGTTTCTGCCAAAGCTAAACAATGAGCTTCCGGTTAAAAACTTGACTTATAAAGAGAGGTTCTCAAGCTTGGAGAATCTTGTGCTTATTATGGTCAGTCATCGAAACCTCTGCTATTATTATTATTAACTCACCAAGTTTTCTTTTGATGGTAATTTGTTATACATGGAATATGCAGTTTGAGCACGATACAATACTGATACCTAAAGAGACCTCATGGTTCGGATATTATCCTGATGGGTCATTTAAGGCCATTCTCCCGCCGCAAGAGGTAATTAAACTCTTTAAATCATTTATTATTGTTTCAAAATGGCTCTCGATTTTTGGCAAAGTGTTTGGATTTTGTGTTTTCCTTTTTTGTAGACCAAGCTCTATACCGAGGACTGGATCGGTTTGAGGACTTTAGACGAAGCGGGAAAAGTGAAGTTCGTGAACGTCTCTGGAAATCATCTTCAGATATCTCATGCAGACATGAAGAAGCATATAGTGCCATACCTCTGTGACAAAGCATCATCATCATCCATAACAGTGGCTTCTTCTTCACACCGGTGGCTTCCAAGTGTAGGGAACACGATTATGGATCTGATTGGTCCGGAAGTGGATCAGCTTCAGGTTTTGCTGCGTCATGTCTGAATACTGAATCTGATGTTCCTGGTGTTGTTTGTATTTCTTACTAAACACAATCGTGATTGGTTTGTAACTTGAAAGTAAAACAAGAAAAGCTTTGCAATATATATATCCTCTCTCTCAAAAGGGTCTACTGTATTTTTGTCACAAGAAATGAACACCAGCGATCCAATTGTGGTAATCATTGGGCGTAAACGAAAAACGATGACCATATGCGCATCAATTTTGCATTTTTATCGTACGAAATTTGACGGGCCATTGATTTAAGCCCAAATAAGGCCCATTACTCTACGAGCCCAAACTTATAAAAAAGACAGCAAATAAATACGTAATCACCCGCAGCCGAAGTTATAGCCCTAATTTACTTGTTTTTGTTGAATAAGATAAGTGTGTCACTCTCTAAAATCCGCGATCTCCGACAAAACTAACAATGGCTTCCTTGACCAGCGGTGAAGACGTTGGTAAGCTCTCTCTCTCTCTTTAAAATTGTTTGTGTATCAATATTCGTAAATAAAAAACAAAAGGAAAGAGAAAGATTATGCATTTGTTTAATGCGTTTTAAAAATTAGTAAAAACCATAATAACAAAAATTACATTCCTTTGTAAAAAAATATGGAGCTAATCTGAGTGGTAAATAATGCATTTGCCATGTTTGTGTAAAAACCTTGACAGAGAGCATGACATGCATCCTCTGGGACATGGAGGATTGCCCAATCCCGGAAGGTCTGGATCCTGCTTCGGTTTACGAGAATATCCAATCAGCTCTCGCAAACAATGGTTATGGTGGTGAGGTGACAATCCATGCTATCGGTGACAAGAATCAGATCCCTGGTTACTTCGAATCCGCCGGAATCGAGCTCATACGCGCAGGTGATTTGATTCCATTCACATAGAACCAAACCAAGCAGCCCTGGTTTTAAACACTAGTTAGTTTTGTCTTCAACTCGTATATATGTCTGTTGATATATATATATATATATATGGTTTCAGGAGATAGACATGCGAGACGTTTAGAAATGACTAGGGGCATTTTTGGCTGGACATATCATTATCCTGAGTCAAATTTGATGGTAATCTCACGTGACAGCTCGGATTTCTCCTCTTCTCTCGAAAGTTGTTGGTTAGATGCAGCTCTGAAAATTCTAATAGCACAGCCTCGAATGGCACCAAGAAGATGTCGCAACTGCAGACTTAACATTGCGAGTGCAGAGTGGCTTTGGGAAACCCTAGCTGTTGGAGGAGATCCCATTGTCATCAACGAACACCCTTCTCTCTGACCATCTCTAATCTCTCTCTCTCTTCTCTCTCTCTCTCTCTCTCTAGTAATTATTCCTCTTGTCTGTTGTAAGTTAAGTACACTTTCTCTCTCTCTCTCTCTCTAGAATACAGAACAAGTTGCCAAAATCAATGAATGGATTTTATCTCAAAAACCCAAAACCATCCTTGATTCTCCGAATTCTAGCTTCTTCTTACATTTTCATTATCACATCAATGTTATTCATTCTTATTCTGTAACGAGATTTTGAGATCTTTTTTTACTTCGGAAGTTCCATTGCATTGCTTATGTGTGTCTACTTTAGCTATAGTAAACAAACATTAATTAATAATATATCACTTTTTACTGAACACTGTCATCAATCTTGTGATCTATCAAGCTATTCGTTGTTTGTTTTCTTACTAAACACAATCGTGGTTCACGTGATAAAAACATTTCAAAATCCATCTCAAAAGGTGCCTATACTTATGATGAAAATGTCAAATATATATATCACATTAAATGAAGAGAGCCTTAAAAAGGGATGAAAAGAACACCAATGATGGATGATCCCTAAGGTTCTGTTATTACAGAAAATCTCAGAAGGAGATAAAAGAAACATTAAGTCCATCAAATAAATATATATATATATATATAACACAACACCTTTCTGTCTGAGACAACAGAGAGTCTTGAGGGGAGTTTTGCAGCAGGAGCCTCTTGAGTTCTTTGCTTTGGCTTGACTTGTATAGTTTCGAGAGATACAGAAATACTCTATCGCTATGATGAAATTATGCTAATAAAAAAGGGGCTCAAATCCTATTTATAAGAAACTTTCTTTCCTTTTGAAGTTTCTGCCTGGTAATGCTCCAGATTGCGTAGCACTATCTTCGCAAAGATCTTAGCCTCACGAGGCATATTCGCAGCTGCAGCTGCAGAACGCAAGACTCTTGCTTCTCCACCGTTCTGCATCAAGCTTGCGTGATGCATCGCGTGACGACCTCCTGGTATTGTAAACTGCAAATTCCATCGGTTACTACTTGAGATACAATTCGATTAAAACCACACATGTACACACACAAAATGAAGAAAAAGAATCATACCTGGAGAAGCGCAAAAGCTGCACATGCTTTGAGTACAGAGGAAGGGTTTCGCAACATTGTGACAAATCTTCCAATCTCGGAACCACTGCATCTCAAGTGGCCAGCTTCTGAGATTCGAGCTTTCTCTGTGACTTGTGCAAGCATAGATGGAGCAGATGATAAAGCAGCAGCTGCAAATATTTGGGGTTCCATGAAAGTTGTAATAAAAGCTTCAATGTGTTTAAGAGCCACTATTCTAGCACCAGCTAAGCTAACATTTTTCGCTGTACCCTCCGATGAACTCCCTATCATCGCATACTCATCCATCCTGTGTAGATAGATAAGATCAAAGTCCAGACTTAGCATAATTAGAGAAAAAATGTATCTTGAATGTGGATAGTATATATGATTTAAGCTTTGACTACCTTCCATCAAACATGTATGCTAATGCTAATGCAGCCATGAAACGAGCCATTTTGGAAATCGAAGACGAACATAGTTGAACAAGGGCTATAACTCCTCCTTCCGCCACAATGCGGAGAGCGTTACCAGGATTATAAGCAAGATTCCACAGAGCTCCTGCAGCAGTTTCATGTACATCCTGGAAGAAAATGTAAAGAAAAAGCTGAATGAGATCAACACAAAAGACCAGGGGATAAGAACATAAACGGAAACAAAATTGTTTATTACCTCAGCTTCGGATCGTGCAAGAGCAATTAGAGGCGGAATACCACCTTCCTGTCCAATTGCAATGCTGATAGAAACATACCATACAAAAATTATTTACGAAAAAAAAAATGCTTTTGCATTGATGGTAGCTAGCAAGCTGCATTAGTACATGCACCACCCACACAGAAGTAGAAAAAAAAATCCAAATGGTCGCACCTGTTTGCTTCTGAGACTGATAGACCCCAAAGAGCACCAGCTGCTCTCTCTTGCAGACCTGTGGATGCATTTGAACAGGACTTGGCAAGTGCCACCTTAATACATATAATCAGAAACAAGTGATAAGTTGCACGAAGATGAAGCTGGACACACATAAATGAAAAATGAAATAATGAAAAACAAAAACAGAAAGAAAAGGAAAAGGAAAACATAATACCAAGGCTTCAACACCACCAAATGCAGCAATGGATTCTCGATTCTTGTCATCGAATGACAAATTCCAAAGAGCACCAGCAGCTTCTTGTTTAACACCTTCATGAGGCGATTGTGTAAGCTGTACAAGAGCTTCTAATGAACCTGTCTCTTGTCCAACAGCAGCATTATTATCGTTGCTATCACCATGAGCAGCAAGATTAGCCAAAGCACGAGCCGCCTGAAAAAAAAAAAAATAACAGTTTGTCACAAACCCCAATTCAGACACTCACTAGCATCCATAACTCAAAATCACCACCACAAGCATAGAATCGACTTTTTTTACAAAATATCAAGGAAGTACCTGTTCTTGTGCTCCTTCATACTTGCAATTGCGAGCTAGCATCACCAAGGCATGCACACCTCCTGCTCTTGCAACTTCCGTGCTGCATTTATCGTCTGCTGCTAAATTCGCTAACGCCCCAGCAGCACGCTCCTAATCAGGACAAAAAGGTAGATTTTTCCTTTTAGAAAAAACAAAATACATATATACATAAACATAACAAAGTTGCAATTTCCAAACCTAACAAAATCTTTGTATTTATATGACCGAGATAATTCCATTTCTACAAATAAATTTTAAGAACTAAATCTAAAAACCCTAACACAAAAGTCAAAAGGAGTAATATTATAAACCAGTATGGTGAACAAGTACTACTTTTGACAATCAATCTTCTCAGATGACAAATCATGGTAATACTGAGCCGTAAGTATTAATTTTGGATATTTCCAAATCAAAAGTGTGAGGCTTTAAAAGTGGCAAGTGTGTACCAGAACTCCATCACAGCCACTTGGCCATCTAAAGATAAGCTGGACTAACGCATTCACTCCTCCAGCGTCAGCAATCGCGTTCTAATATAAAATAACAAAAAACAACAAGGTTAGTGATAAGGTTCATGTGTGTTTAACTCTTTTACAGTTGAGAACATACCTTATGCTCTTCTCCAACAGAGAGATTCCATAGTCCACCAGCAGCTTCTTCCGCCACAAGCCTATTCATAGACTTTGCCAAACCAGCAAGAACTTTGATCCCTCCTTCTTCAGCAACAGCCTTTGCAACTTTAGCATTTACCGACAAGTTTGCAATAGCCTTTGCAGCTTCTGACTGAAGACCTTCTCGCCAAGACTTGGCAAGTTTTAGAAGGAGTCTGATACCTCCATCTCGCATGACTGCTTCCGCTCTTCCACAGTCTATACTCGCATTCTCGTCATCCACAACGATGAAAGTCGCAAGTCCTGTGGCCGCTCTCTCTTGGACATCCTCTTGTGAGCTTTGCATTAAACTGAGAAGCAACGCAGCTCCCTGATTCAGCCAGAATTCGTTCAACCCTTGTGAATTGCTCTCTGCGATTCGTAGAAGCGTATGAGAAATGATCCACTCAACCCAACGCATTATTTCGTCAATGCCTTTATCCTTGCTTTTCAAATCTCTCCAGTAAGAAAATATATCCTTTGGCTTCTTTGAGATATCGGCAAATATGGAAGCTAGCGCAGCAAAAATGTCGTTAAACATAGCAAGCAAGGCCTTTCCTTTGAATCTATCGGAGCTGAAACTCTTATCATCTTCGAGCATAGGGCAGTTTAGAGCACACAAAACTTTCAAGCTCCGCGATGATTTCAACAGCCTGAAAACTGCAATATGGTCGATGCTGGTTCTCGAGACATCCAACGCCGTTAACTTCGGAAGCTTCTCCCAGTTCTCTGCTGCAACATTCCAGTTCATGTTTGACGTCCCGGCAACAGAGAGGTAGCGAACAGATACCACCTTTCCCAGCGCTTCTTCGTTGATGTTCAGGCAATCTAAGAATCCAAGATCACTGAGCAGCGAGCAATGTTTGGCCAAGGATTCAATTGCCTCAGCACTAACATCTCTCATTCCAGAAAGACGAAGCTTTTTAAGCCTTGGGCAGCAAAAGGCTATGACTCTTATAGCATCACTAGTGATCCTCTCACAGAAGTCTGGTCCAAGCTGGAGGCTCTCGAGTGCTTCATGGCGTGCCGCAACCATAGACAATGTAGCATCTGTAATCTTCCTACAATAGTCGCCGCTTATTTCAAGCAGACTCCTTGCTCTGAGTTTACTTATGGCATCAGCAGAGTCAAGCCCACGAAACCTAACCTTCTGAAGATCAGCACACCTAGTTGCGAGAGAAGCTGCCACTGAAAGATCAAACTTGTGGGCACGAAGATCCAATGAACTCCACAAACAAGAAGAAGCTCCAAGGCTTCTCCATGTCTTACAGGTCGATGCTAAGCTAGCTCTATCACGATAATTCATCAGAGTAAACAGATGAATCACCGTGTCGTAAGGCAAGGTAGTCCAATCCACATACTCTTGAGCCTTAGGTGCTAAATCCTCATCGCCAATCACAATATAGCTTGGTGAATCAACCTTCTTCTTTCCATCTTCCTCCACTCTCTGACGCACCCTACGACTCATATCTTGATCGGATGTATGTATGTATACACACTCTACTGAGCAATCCTCTTGCAGCTACAACAATCAAATCATCATCATACAGATCATACTCCGCCTACAGAATCCAAACCTGTAGAACAAACAAACCAACAAAAAGATTTTAGAACAAAAACTCCCCAATTTGGAAAATTTAGAGACCCAATGGCTCCAAAACTAAAATCCCATTGCTAATACAATAGAAATCAAATTCAACAAACCCGAGAGAACGAGAATGCTTGCGAGTTTATGACCATTAAAACCCTCGAATAGATAAGCAACGAGAAGGACTTTAGAGAAACCAATCTCAGGCCTAACTATTCCAATTCAATTCACAGAAACTCCAATGGAAATAAAATATAAAATAAAAGTGAAGGAGTGATGATGGTCGGAGAGAATTCAAGCGAAGAGCCCAGAGCAAAGTATAAACACACAAGAAAAGACGAAAAGGGCATAATCAAAACACATTAAAGTAATCACCTTTCGAGCAAAAGAAGAAGAACTTTCTCTTCCCTTATTCCGAGCGACAGAGAAAGAAGGAAGAAATTGAGGAATTGGGGAATGAGGGTGAAGGGAGAGAGACGAGAAGGGCGGTGTTGAAACAAGAACTCATATAGGCAAATTGTAATTGTAAGAGAGCATCAATCACCTCCTTTGCACGGTACATATATATATTACCAATTACCACTCCTCTTTTCTTCTCATTTTTTTTTCTTCAAAGTAATTATTGATTTGCCATAAACTTACCATTTTCTTTGAATTGTTTTAAAATTTTATGGGTAACTTTGTTTTGACCAGTGTTCATATTAATTGTATTTAATTGTTCAAAAGTTAGTTTGGTATCTAATAATTCAATAATTTTGTAAAACTAGTAATATAGTTTTGACTAGAATTTTTGCATGTTATATATATTAAAAATTTATTATTAACTATCAAAAAAGTTTTCGCACGTAAAAATATACAAAAATTTATAAAATTTTACTTATACTAATCTAAATTTCTAACATATAAATGATAATTTTTAGCATATTCACATCAAATTTATAGATGTATATGCACACATTTTTTTAGTAAATACATCTATATAAAATTTGTTTTAAAAATAATTAATTGTTTTTTTTTAATTTGTTGGTGAAACTGATATTTGAGATTATTTCAAAATTTGTAGTAGTATTATCACATATACACATGAGTGACATGTGTATTTTGACTATAAAAGTTAAGATTTTATTGTATAACTAATTAATGGCTTTTATGATGTTTTCTATTTTGACCAAAGTCTTTTATGGTGTTTCTTATATAATTTAAGTTCTTGTTTGTTTTTTTAGTAAAATAACAAATATCATAAAGCATGAGTGACATGTGTTTTATGCCAAAGAGAGATTTTCTTCTATAATAGTTTGATTCAAAACTAGGACTCATACAGAAACGGCAATTGTACCAAATCATTTTAATTTCCCGTTACTTTAAGAGTAAAAATCCAAAAGGCAAAAGCTGTAACAATTACTTTGTTTTTGTTTTCTTTTTAATCGAAATAGCTAAACTAAAACCAAAATAACAAACCGAATCAAAGACTCCTTTAGAGCAAGACTTTGCTTATTTTGTTATGACTTTGTTTATTTTGTTATTTTGGGTAAGTAGAAGAGAGAGAGAGAGATAGACATTGCTGATTGCTATTAATAACAACCTTCTTTTGCAACTCGGACTTTATCTTGGATGTAGAAATTTAAAGTATTTTCCAACTATGCAACAGAGAGTTTTTAACTTTTAACTAAACAAAAATGTCCCATCCATAATTTTCATACAGTACCAAGTTCTGCAAAGTCTAGAGAGAGAGAGAGAGAACTATAGTTTTCTACAACAAAACTCTGATATATAAAGTATAGAGATCAGAAAGATGATGTGATGTGAAGCTACACAACGATGAAAGCTTTTTTTTCAGCGTTTTCGATCTGCCTTCCATTTGTATACCGGTTTACCATTTGGGTTGAGTATCTCGTCTTCACGTAGCTTACGTTTGCGACCCTTTTTCTACGCATTATAAAAGACTTTAATCAGAGATGCTCCATAGCGCAAAACATTACCATAGATACCAACAGTCATATGATTATGAGATTATAAAATGATATCATCAGTACCTGTAACTCCTTCTGCATTGACATATCCATGTATAGCTTCTCCAAATCGTTTGCCCTGCTCTTCCGTGCCTCGAGATCTCTGTATGATCTCTCCATTTTCCTGGTTTTTAAGAAGTAGAAGACCATATTGAGTATTTGCTTGTCCGTTTGATACCTTTGTAAAACATCATATAATGCGTTTCAAACACATACTTTTTGATATCTCTCGGAAGCCGTATCGCAGAGATATCATCACTTTTGCTTCTGGTTTGTAGCTCCAGTTCTTTAGCCTCCTCTCTGATAAAGAAAAAAAACCAGAGGTATAGATCATAAGACAACACAAACTTTTGAATGTTAAAAAGGTAAGGAGGTGCCTATATGAACGAACATTCATATGAAAGCTACACCAAAGTAAAGAAAGCATTATATTGTTGGGAAGTAACCTGTCTTCTGCATAGTACACATGTCTACGGCTCGGCAGAGCCTCAGTGCATTGCAGTGATGCAGTAAGCTTGTCGATTTTCTACAAAAGGAGAAAAATGGTTATAGCATAAATTGCAAACAGAAAGCTCTTGGATTGTGAACAAACAGGAAAGACAGACTTACGTTTTTCTCACTCTGCCATTTTTGGAACACATATCCAATGTCTTGAGTCTTCATAATCAGGAGCTCTTCTGCATTGTATTTATTTACCTCTTCCCTGAAAAAAACAATAACTTTGTCAAAATTTACAAACCAAGAGTAAGAGAATACATTGAGGTTAGGAAATTCGAGATGATTACTTTCGTTTGTGAACTCCACGATCTGTTTCACTATTGATCATGTTAAAGTAAAACTCATCTGGATTCTTGAATGCAGCCTTCTGCCTAAGTTTCTGCAGAAAATTAAGAATAAAAGAAGAAGGCGTAAGAGAAACAGGACTGATGCCTTCTATGGTTTTTTAAGTTCCTTAATTCTATTAAACCAACAAAGGCGTAAGAGAAAATGTGTCAACAACATATCATAAGAAGAAAAGTATACCTTTTTAATGTTTTCCTTTTGGTGGTAAGCTTTAGCTCTGATAACATAATCCTTATGCTTCTCGAGGAGGCCAAACTTCTTCCTCGCTTGCCTGATAGGGTTTAAAAATTCAGACTTTGAAGAAGATGAAACTGGGAAATAAACGAATGAAGAAGAAAGAAGGAAAGGAGCAATAATCAGCTTACGGTTGAGATCGCTCCTTATGAGCAGGCCGTGGAACAGCATTACGTAGCGACGACATTTTTGATGGCTTTCACGCTGCAATTACAGTCACAAACTTTGTAGATTCAAACAGAGTTTTTAAACATGAACATAGAAACGTCTGAACCTAATCCAACCGAACTAAACCCTACTCGAGTTCATGTGCTTAATGAATTTGAAACTGCAACCTAATCTTAAGTCTGAATCTAATGAATTCTAAATCTTAACTACAAACTGAACCTAAATTGAAAAAGAAAAAATCGACGAGAACGAAAAAAGCCAAAGTTTCTCACGTGAAGTAAAGGGGAAGACTAGATAATTGACGACTTCAAGGAGAAAGCGTAGAGAAGATGATGATGGTGAAGTTGCCGAGAACACGACGATTTTCCGATGACCTGCAACTCGTTTTTTGCGAAGGAGAAGAGAGTAGAAAAGACGGCGACACGAAGAAGTGTGTAGGGTTTTTTGTGGTAAATAAAAATCGAACCTTCTGGCTAAGACAAAAGGTTTAATTTCTTTTTAATGGATACGTTATTACTCATTATGCACTCTTCGAAGTCAAAATTACTCATTAACTCCTTAATTTGCAAATAATAGTTTCCCGTTTCTACAAATATTTATGTTTTACGGTCTTTACATGAATTCACCAAAAAAAAAAACACATTCAATTTCGCTCCAAATCCTATTGTATCTTTGGACGATTTATTGATTGTTTGGGGTCTTTGGTAAAGACTGCCAAAAAGTTGGGGTAGAAAATATAAAACAACGAAAAAAAATATGGAAAAGGAGAGAGAATGGCACATACTTGAAAACCGAAACACAGAGAGACAGGTAGAAGACAAAAAAAAAGCTCCAAACGCTTAAAACGTGATCAATCAACCAAGCAACAAAAGTATACTGCAATTACTGCAAAAAGGTCGAGACTTTACATGATCTTTACCTCTCCATGAATCTCATAAGATAATGCCTAAGCAAAAAAAAAAAAGAAACGATTTTTAGGTTTTTGTTTCTTTGCAGTTTTAGAAGTTTCCAGTAACGAAGAACAACCACCAGTTGGAAGTTAATTGCATGTGACATCTGAGTAGAATCCTATTGTCCTCCTCTGACAGTTCTGGATACTAAGCAACTCCACATCGAAAACTTCAAATTGCTTCGAGCTGAAGAAGGTCGAAGGTCCCACCTGGTTAGAGATGATTCCTCAGTTAGAGAGCCAGGTGATGAAAAGGTAAAGGAACATTTGTTTTTACCAAAAAAAAAACATGATCAACCTTAGATGAAAACAGACAGGTTTTACACAGTAAAAGACTGATCTAATCTACATATGTCATAAACGAGCTTTGAATGTCAAAATCGAGCAGAGAGCTTGAATGAATAGTTCAGCAAAAGTTTACTAGTAATCAAAGTTTATAGTTTAGAAAAGCCGTGTTAAGGTATATAAGCAGGAACAAACCGGAGGTCCCAATTCAGGAGGGATGATAATCCTTCTTCGTCCACCAGGCTTCATGTCACGAATCCCCATTTCGAATCCTGCATCATCATCATTATCAGTAAAAAGAATAATTTGAACAGAGATGATTCCTCAGTTAACATCATACATATCAGAGAGCAAAAGTTTAATACTTATAACTTGCCTGGAACAAGTGCATTGGTTCCCATTCGGATTTTAGCAGGAGAGCCTTGAATGTAGGTACTGTCTATTCTCCTTCCGGACTCATTGTATCCAATATAGTGAAAAGTCACCTTTCAACATACCCAAACAGAAAATGGCTTCTTCATATTCGAGAAATGATCTAAACTAGTTGAGATTTCAAGTTAACAAATCGAACATACAGTTATAGAGAAAGTACCTGCTGGCCATCTTTTGGGCAATCACCTTCACCAACATCGAAATCTCGATAGATGAGGCCTGAATCAGCCTTTATGTAATTATCTGAAGCTACTACCTTAACCTCAAAACCTGCACTATATCAGCAAAAACATGAAACACAAACAAAAGAAGAATAAGTTCCAATACTCTTTTCAGTAAGAGTCTTAAAAATGGAAACCGTTTGTTTGTAAGGAGGTAATAGAAGCTTAAACCTTCTCTAACAAAGTTTGGAAATTCGTCAGGAGCATTGTTCTCTCTCTGTATCCTCTTGTTCTGTTCTAGTAACCGTCTCTCGTCGTAAGGGCTCTTAGATTTAGCTTTCGCAGATGAAGGTGATGCCGTAAACAAACACGGCGAAGAAACCAGGACATATACAAGATTTCTCCGGCTCAAGCTGCAAGTACAAAGCCTTAAACATTGGCACAAGACGATTTCCAGAACAGACCAAAACGAAGATAATCATCTTTCTCAGAAAAAAAAAGCAAATTCACCTTTGGCAATTTGGTTCTTCACTCAATGAACAACATATCGAGCGTTTACTCCGAGATTGCGAAATCCCTTGAGAGAGTGATAACGACAGTTTTTCACCTACAAGAATTTTACAAACTTAGTTTTTGTTTTGCCCAAAACCCATCTTACAAAATCGGAAGATCAATCAAAGAGAGAGAGAAGAACTCACATAGAAATGTAAGTCTCGGAGAGAGAGGAGTTGATAAAATCGTCACCATAGCGCCTTCTCCCTCCGGCGATTCCTGCAGAATCCCATGTTTTATCCCCCAACTCTTCTTCTGCGTTTAGTTTCATGGATAATCTCATTTTAGTCCCTCTATTTCGGTTTTTTACAGCTTAGACCCAGAAGTTTTCTTTTAAACCACTACTTCCGTGTCACTCACATTCTGGTCTTTGGTGGTCAACAGTCAACACATAGTTGAACGTAATAAGTTTTTTAAAAAATCATTGTATTCAACAACATACATTTTATATGGCCGCTAATTAAATAACAAACGGTAAATTATTTAGCGTCTGTAATTTGTTGGCGCTCTAAATTTACAACGAACACAATAATTTTGATCCGGACAATAATTTTGTGGGCTTAAATGTTAAAATAAATCTAAACCGTCTATTTCTGTTGTATCTCCATCAACGACTCACCGTTAGCTAAAGTACCCATAATATAGGCCGGCATTTTCGGCCAAATGGGCTTTAGATTATTAGTATCAGACAGAGAAAGCGAATAATCTAAGAGTTGGGTTTCTTAATAAAATCAGTGTCTTTCGTTTTGTTTGAACTTTCTACGACTCACCGTTAGCGAAATTACCCATAATATATAGGTCGAGGTTTTCGGCCAAATGGGCTTTAGATTATTAGGGCCTAATTAGTATCAAACAGAGAACGCGAATAATCTAAGAGTTGGGTTTCTTAATAAAATCAGTGACTTTCGTTTTGTTTGAACTCTCTACGACTCACCGTTGGCGAAATTACCCATAATATATAGGCCGAGATTTTCCGCCAAATGGGCTTAGATTATTAGGACCCAATTAGTATCAGACAGAGAAAGCGAATAATCTAATTGGGTTTCTTAATAATATCAGTGTCTTTCGTTTTGTTTGAACTCTCTATTTCTACATTTGTATTTCATGGAGTTTATTTATATGTATGTGATGGAAAATGTGTGATTAGGATGAGTGATTTGTGTTCGTAGCGATATATATGTTCTAACGATTAGTTTGTTTTGTACGTCCTAATTTCTTGATCCTGAGTTACATTAATCATGTTTTATTTATTACATATATATGTTTAAGATTTTTTCTACAACATATAAAACAAAATAATATTTTCAATTTTTTTATACCACATGTGAAACAAAACCTATATTCTCAACTTGTTTATATTTATGTTTTCATAAATTATGGAAATATATATTTTGTTCCAAATGTGGTAGAAGAAAGCTGTGAAAATATATGATTTATTTCACATGTGGTAGAACAAAACATATATTCTCACTTTTTTGTAACATATGTAGAATAAAACATATATTTACACATCAAAATGTTTTATTAGCACAAATTGAATGAGGCCCTCTTGTAACCAGAGAGAATTCAGAATATTATTCTAGAAAATAATTGTGATGTTTCTAAATACTGACATGGAAGTAAACAAGGAATGATATAATTCCGGATTCTCATCAACAACAATGCCCGATAAATAAATATTACATCAATAATACAAGTAAATGAAGCCAAATGGTGCTTGGGAGTGTCATCTGAAATGGCTGTTTCTGATAATGCCAGTGCCTCCTCCTCTAGGTTGTTCACCGGATGTGAGTTTCTGCAACCGAATCTGTTCTCGGAATTTGGCTATGAACTCTCCGGCCTTTCTATCAACTTCGTTATGGTCGTGGCTTGCATTGCTCTGGCTTTCCCAAGCAGCTTCTTCTTCTTCCTTTAAGGTAGTTACTTGAGGTTGCTCGGGTTCGGTCTCTGTCTCTTCCGTAACATCATCTTCTGGCTCTGATATTGCGCGAGCTTCTGATAACTTCTCCTGGTGTGGTACAATAGATAATTCTTCTTGCCATTGTCTTCTCGGCTTTGTTCTTCCGCGGCTTTCTACTACTTTAGCTTCTGCCCGGTCATCAGATGAATCTCCATCTGTCTTTAGATCTTTCCCATGGCGATCAGATCTAATGGTCCTCACCGACTTTCCTCTCAACGAAACTTTACTAGAAGCTCTCCACGATTGTGCTTCACACCTCGGACTGTCTGATTTCAGTTCCTTGTTATTATTACCAGGAGTGTCTTTCTTTCTGGACTTGTCGAATCCCACAGGGTCATCCTCTGAGTTTCTTGTGGCATCTTTCTGCGGCAAAGTGTCTTGACCCCCTCGTGAAGAACGCATTGCACGCCTTGAAGCTTTAGCATTCGTTGGTTGGAACAGCACATCTAAAGCAGGAAAAGATTCACTGAACTTCTCGTCTTCTGCTGTCAACTCCAAAGAGTCGTGACTCCGTCCCTTCTTGACCCTACGCTTGTTGTGGTCAGACTCCAAACCTTTCCCGATATTCTCTTCAAACAAAGTGGCATCACTCTTTTGCTGAAGGTCCCGTCTTCTCGCTGTGGAACCGTCACCAACACCAACGGGAGATGAGATGGAATCAGGAGGGTACGATCTGCGAGACTTGTTCCCTCTCCGGGAGCTTTCAGCAGTCAGTTTAAGTGATTTAGATCCCGGTTCCTTCTTACCTAAGAACTCTGTTCTCCTGCCTCTGGCTTCTTTCCCCTCGATCTCATTTTCAAAACCCCGCCTTACATCTTCCTCCAACAAGGAACCGTCGCTATAGTGCCGAGAATGTGAGACACGCCTGTGAGTATCATCGCTTACAAGCTCTGGCGATGGTGGAGATGGTGATGGGGGCAAGGATGGCGAGCTCGACCGTGATGAACCCTGAAGACTCTTTTCCTTAACCGATTCCTCCACATTCGAGTTTAACGACTCCTGGGAAACAGAACGAGAAGGCGAGAATCTGTCCTGAGTTTGCGATGCAAAACTAGCTTGTGACGACGAAGAAGAAACAGTAGTAGACCGAGAAGACCTGGATCTAAGGGTTTCATCCACAGGTAGAGGCTGAAAATTGGAAGGATAGTTGTCTCCCATTCCCATCATTTCAGGTCTAGCATGCCATGGAACAGGTGAAGAAGGAGCAGCCACGACCTCATCAAAGCTTTCATCAGCCACAAATGACTCAGTTCCATCATGAAAAGAGTTTTCATCTACAGGAGGAGCTCCATTATCCGCCAAAGCCGACCTTAAACTCCTAACAGGCAAGCCTAATGGCTGGTGCACAACGTGGCCATCAAGGCCATAAGCTGGTCGAGCAACCACAACCTTTGATCTTCCCTGAAAATACTGCGAACTCCAAGCTTGGACTTGGTTGATTTTACCATATTCAGACGATTCTTCCAACTCGCTTTCCGCAGCAAAAGAATCAGATTTTCTCTCCTTCACCACCACAGAGGCTCGAGCACTCACGTTAATCGAATGACTCTCACTCCTAACATCAACAAAATCACAAGAATTCTCCAACTCTTCGTCGAAAACAGACGAGACCTGGAAGATTCTAGATACATAAGACAGCGAAGACTCATCTACACGGCTCATCCTTAAATCAATGGCGGTCTCCACATTCCTACGGCTAAACAAACCATAAGCGACAGCAATGCCGACGAAAAGGAGGTGAATCAGTTCCCAGAACCTGGTGAGCACAGTCTCGCCGACGAAATCGGGAGCCTGGGAAGGGAACAACGGCAAGGCGAGGAGAAACATAGCGAACAGAACAGACTTACAGAAAAAGCCTCCGCCGGTGGATTTCGGAGGAGGCTGGGTAGGGGAGACAGGCGGGGCGGCGACACTTGGCGGAGACCGGCGCTTGGTGTAGGGATTGGGAGACGCCATTGAAATCGGAGATCTCGAGTGGAAGAAGAAGAAGAAGTGTGGAATTGGATAATTAGGGATTGAGGGGATTCGTAGGGTATGTGAAGGAAGGAAAGGAGACTTCGAAGCGACGTAAAAGACAGATCTAACATTAAAGCTGTAGACGAAAGAGTGAGAATGGAAACTATCTGCAACAGCTTAAAGCAAAGAGAGAGAGAGAGATAAAATTAAAAATGTAAACAATTAGAGGAAAGAAGCTGGCTCGTCACAAGACCGTTGCCGAGATTTACGGAACTGACCTTGGCATTATTATCTGCTCTATCAACATACGACGTCGTATCAACAACCTTCAGAAACGCCAGCGTTTTGGGATTCTCTCTTTAACCGTTGAAAAAACTCTTGACTGGTTTGATTCAATTGAAACTAATTTGGTTGTGGTTTGGTTTTGATTCGGTTTGATGAGTATGGGAATAGCGATGGCGAAAATGGGTTTGATTTAACTGTCCACCTAGAGTCTATATACACTATAGCCACATGTGGGTAGCGACCTTCAAAGCCCATTTATTAAAATTTCTGTATAATTATCCTTTTCACCTCTACCAACAATATAAGCTTCGAGATATCTTCGTCGTACCTCTCTCTTTCTCTTTTTCTCTGTCGGTTGAGATCTTTTGAGATACAACAAAAGTAAATCGTATCTTCAGTGTTCTGCGAGAGATTCTAATGGTCTGACTTCGTCTATTGTGGACCCAAACGTGTCCAAATACAGACCAAATGTTATGTTACGTCACGTACATGTCTCGATATTCGTATTGGCTAACACATTTACTTACATTTACATACATGCAACAAACAACACACTCCTGCTCAATCACAACGCCTTCATTGCTTCTTTACTGTTTAGTTCTAACTAAATAATCTAATAATCATCTTTACTAAATCCTTTTCTTAAGTAATAAGGAACAACCCAAATAAATAAATAAAAACTTTAATTAACGACGCTCAGTTTTTATGTAAAAATCTTTTCTTTTTTTTGTTGATTCGATGCGATGGCTTTGCACTTTTACTTGGATGAATAAAAATTAAATGAATTTGTTCGGAAAGTGTGCGAAATCATAAAATAATGTATGTTACAATTAATAACAAGTGCCAGTTATCCAGAAATTAATAAAGGGTCTCTTCTTAATCATTCTACAATTACAAATCTCGTAGATTCTTTCTTTTCCTTATAATAGAACTATCAATATAGAGAGATAGCCGTTAAAATCAAAAGGAGACAAGAAAGAGCATGATCACAGACTCTTGAAAAGACATTCCAAGATCGTTTTACATTATAATAAAACCCAAATCACCAGAATTTTAGGCTAAAACTAAAACTCTACCGAAACAAGAAACAACAAAATAACACAGAATTTTTCCTAATGAGAACCAGCAGCAGGTCGTTGCCGGAGAGGCATGGCAGCCCAGGGACTCATTGGTCCCATCGGAGATGATGACGTCATCACAGGAGGAGCCACCGATGACGAGGATGACGAAACAGCGACTCGCTCACAAGAAGGGCACATTGTGAGAGTTGTGGGAGGTTTCATGTGCATGTACAAGTGTGGCGAAAGCTTTAAAGCCCTAAGCTCACTAACTTCCTTCTGCAATCTCCGATTCTCCTCCGTCAGATTCTCGCAACATCTTTTTAGATATTCACAATCGACTTCCGTTTGCTTCAGTTTCGTCCTATACACACACACACAGCAAAAGTCCAAAACCTTAAATACCCAATGCTTTAACCGAAACTTAACCGGAAACGAGAAAACCTGAATTAAGCAATTTTTTGGGAAACCCGGTTACATACCGAAAAGTCTAACCAATTTGAGTACAAATCAGTTTCAATATGGTGGTTTTTATAATTGAACCGGAAAACTGACTAACTCGAACTTAACCCTTCTAATTAAGGTAAGAGAAACGGACAACGATATAAAATCACCATCATACATAGCAATAACTAAATATTTTGCCTTTTCAGATTCTTATAAAATTACGAAACTACCCCCTAACTAACGTCTAAAGAAATTTTACCTTGCCCTTCGATTTTGGAACCACACTTCAACTTGCCTAGTCCTTAGATTCAATTGCTTAGCCAAAGCCATCTTTTGCTTCTGCGTCCACCAATGACAAAAAAAAGGTCAATAACGAAAATAAAAGTTGGATTCTTTTATAAAGAAAATTACAACAAACAAAAAAAGAACAGCCACCAAAAAAATGACTTAAATGCCACTGACCGGATTGAGAGTGCTATGTTCTTTAAAAGTCTCCTCGAGGACCAGAGCTTGTTCTTTAGATAATCGGAGTTTCTTCCTCGAACCGTCGTCTCCGTTCCCGCCGCCATCTTCATCGTCGCTACCACCGCCACCGAGTGAGCAAGAAGCTCTCTCCGCCTCGTTATCTTCTATTATTCTCCCTCCTCCCACCGCAGCAGTCACCATGTCCCGCTCGCCCCTCTTCCCGCAAATCACGCTTGAGACGGTGCTATTCGGAGACGAGACTCCGGCGTCTTCCTCAACGTCAACCACCACCATCGATGGAGCTCTGTTCACGTCGATTCCCCGGAGGAAAGATCTCATGTCTGAGTTCCTCTCTGCACGTTACGTCAGTTAATTTCTTGATAGACCAGATTCTTGCATTATCACAAGATTATGTTCATCTAAGGATAAAGATCACATAAATATCTTAAAAAAGGAATCAGTTATAAGAATCAAAATCGGATCAGATCCAAAACAAAGTTATCTTAAACACAAAGAAACATATAAGAATAAACATATCATGTCGACTTATATGTAACATATATTAACTAATAACTAAGGTTTGGATTCAAATTCATTGCTAAGTTCAGGTAAAATCTGGAAAAAACTGAAGTACCTGAAGATTGAAACATTTGAATCCAATTATTCTGAATCTTCTGAGGATGGCTATAGTGGCTCTGCATATGCATGTGTGATGAGGATGAATGAGACGCCAGAGGCATTGGATTCAACCTCGAAGACGAATCCTTCTGATTAAAACCTAAACTCAAGCTCAAGCTTAGCCCCAATCCATCATCTCTCTCTCCCATTTCTCAACAACACACACAAAAAAACTTTTTTTCCCTCGATGTTTTTTTTTCTCAGCGAAGATGAATAAATGACTTCTCTTACCTCTCTCTCTCTCTCTTAAAGATGTTGTGCCACTGCCTCTACACTTGTGCAACAGTACAGTTTGAAAGATATGGCTTATAGTATGAGTGTATATTTATAAGCAAAAGAGTTTTTCAGACAAAGAGATATGGGGTTGTGGGGAGGCTTAGGGTTTCAATGATGACTTGTGTCAGAGAGTCCTCTGTTACCTCAATGATGATATATACTGCATAAAAACCTGCTTTTTTAACTTAACCATGGTTAAAATAAAACCAGGAGTTATTACTTTTCCCCCACACCTTGTCATTCAACCACGGTTAACTATGAAAAAAGTCCAAGTCTCTTGTCCTCTCTCTCTCTCTCTCATCTTCCGTTTTGTAAATTGTAAATTGTGTAACTATTCTTAATTGCAGAGGAACCTATCAGAGCGTTTTCAAACATTGTGTAGATTTATTTATGTAGTATAATAAAACTCACCAAATCCATTCATTTGAAGATTTTACTATATGTGGATAAAAACATTTCTCAATCTCTTTATTAAAAAAGAAAAAGAAGAAGCTGAGTTTTTACATTATTACATAAGAGAAAATTATTAATTTTGAAAAAAGGGAACGAGATTAGTTTAGCCGAGTTTCAAAGTGGGGAAAAGAAAAGCTCTTTTTCAAAAACCCACAAGCTTAATGGCCTTTTTGTATGTGGCTTTCATTACGAAAGCGGCTTTCTCGCTCGTTGACCGTTGACGAATGAGAGAGAGAGAGAGGAGAAACGATTAAAAAGCTGCGGTTGAAAACAGACCGGACAGTAGAATCCACGCGCTGGGGAGAGTGGTGAAAAAATATAATAATATCATAATAATTAATGAATGATCATCATCAGTATCATCATGAACATTATCATCATATTCATGCCTTATTGTTATCATCATATCCCTTACTCTTCTCACTGAACATACGGGTCCCACGTATATCTCAAAAGACAACCTTTTTCGCAGCTTTGCTTTTTCTGTTTTTTTATCTTTTTGCATAATTTTGTATAAAATGAAAAAACAATATAATAATAGAAGTAGTACTTTACTTCCCAAGCTAACATGGGATCATTTTCATTTATATCGTTTAACAAAGTCATACTCACTCGTAAATGATTAAATAATTAGATATCATGTGTTCTTCAGTTTGGCTTATATTGTCGAGATCTTACTTAATTTGAAGTTTAAACTATGTCTTTTACTAATGTATAGTATATTGGGGATTAATGAAGAAGAAAGAAAAAACTGAGGCGTGAGATAAACGCGCGAGTGGGGGAGCGTAAGAGGGAGAAAAGAGGCGGTGGGCTCAAAATGGGTATGGAATCAGGAGGGGGCAGAGATACGGTGTCGTATCGATAGGTTACAGAGAGCCTAAGAGAGCCCTAAACACTGCATGGATTGGAGTTGTCTGTGAATCCAACATGCATTCCCATTCCATGCCTCCCTTCTTCATTTATTGTTCCTTTTTCCCAATGTCATTTTTTTCTTATTTTTTCTTTAAATTAAATTATTTCAAGTTAATATCAAATGATAATTAAGTTTGTCATTAATTTCATCTGTCAGTCAAACATATATAAACGAAAACGCACGACAAGTGGTGCTGGTAGATTTTATGGCTGAAGAAGTAATTTTTTTAATTAAATTCTGTTTTATTTGTTTTTGGTTGATAATGCCATCATTACTTCTGCCTTCAGGTCTCTTCAAGACTTTCAGCAGTTTCACAGACAAGATAGGTCAACTTTTTTAATTTAATTTTAAACGTAACTGAGTACTTAATTATAACTCCATCATACTTTTGTTTTTTACATTTACAAATAATCAAAACATAACCCTTCTTGTCATTTGGTTTCCTCCATTTATAACAGTTCAACAGTTGCCTAGATTCTCAGACAAAACACAAAAGCATTCGTTAAAGAAGAAAAAAAAGACAAAAACCTTTTTTTTTTACAGTTTACTAAACCAAAATTTCTCTTCATTTTTTTCATTCCGGGCTTTATGACATTTTTGGTGATATTTTTCTTTATATTCGGTATTGAATATAGAAAAAATTAGTTATATTGTATAGTTTGAATAGTGACATTAACCTCGTCTTTTGGGAATATTTTTGTAAACTATACTATGTCAATTGTTTTTGAAATGTATATATAAATCACTTGAATCTCTTGAAGCAAAACTGTACACAGTAATTGGAATAGATTTAGTATTCTAATATTATTATTTGACAAGTTCTATTGGTTATATGAAACAAAATCGACTACTTATCTCGACCGATATTGAAATACCATCGGATTTAACCCAACAAAGAAAGAAAGAAAAATGAGATAATTGTGGACTAAAATAGACTTTTTAATAAATCACCATTGTTGTCATGACTTCCACAAGTCCATCATTTAACCCATGACTATCCCAATGTTCATACGTACGTTAGGTCGTAAACCGTGATATTCTATGTATTCAAATATGCAGATTATCGAGGATTTGAAATTGAAAGGTCCAGATCTCGAGAAAATCGTTGATGTTTAAGCATGTGACTGCAATTACGTAATAACCTCTCTTCTTCTTACAGAAGAGAAAATGACCTTTCACTAATGTCGTCTGCTTTATGTTATGTGATTAAAAATTTAAAAGTTTGAAGAAAAAAGAAAAGGAAAGAGAGATTCTATCTCGTCATAAAATAATATAGATCGACTTGCTAAATTAGAAAGTATAGTTTCTCTATTTTTCTTTTGTTGTTCAAATACTTCTATGATTACTATTATAATTCATTCCAGAAGACAATGAATCGTATGCATTTCCATCATTTTTTTTACTGATATGGTGCATATTAAAACATTGACAAAGAGCGCAAGATATTAAAGAGACCCAATATTTGAAGAAAAAAAAAGAAAAAAAAAACTGATCCCATGGAATTGTCTTGTACAAAGATGAAAACTAATAAATTTACATATCGTCTTTTTTGGGCTCCTTGGTAAATTCATTCAACCATGTCTTTGTAAGTTCAAATAGATCAATGACAAATTTACTGCTGACTAAAAACATCAATACTTTTGTAAATGAATATTAGTTCTTTTGATCGATAAATTTGAAATTTCACTGAAAAAAAAAACATCAATACTGAAAATAGAGACATTTAAGATAGTATATATATGTAGGTTAGTTTCCGTTTTTGTTATCGAAATGTCTAGTTTTTGATAGCAACTTCCAGGATAGTACATCTATAGTTTTTCTTTGTCAGAGTACATGTATACTTTAACTAAGAGCCGAATTGTGAATACATTTTTATGAAATGGGATTCTCAAAAGCCTTCGTGAGTTTGTTCCCAAAGAGTTTAAACATTATTTTTAGAAATATACATTCCCGAAAAATCAGTAGCATAATGTTTTTTTAAAAAAAGAGAAATCAGTAGTTCTCTTTACAAAGTAAAACAAGAAGGTGATTGATTAAAATCATCGTTTCATATCTTTTTTTTTTACTGCTTTAGTTTGTTGGTACAAGATCAAAGTAATATAATACAGAAAAAATGATAAGCATTGAGAAAACATATTAACCACAGAACATGGGTTAGCATATTTAAACTCTTTTTTTTAAAAACATGTAAAACTTCATGAATTCATGTTGCATTATATCAATATAATGGAACTTCAAAATTAACAAAATTTAAAGTTCTAAATTAGCAAAAAATTATGACATAAAGAGATTCAACTTCTAGCACTGGGCATACTGGAGTTTAAATATTTGTTTTGGGGAAATCAAAATTTTCGTTAATTATAAATTCACGTCAGGTGTTTATCCAGTGTACGTAAGAGGATATTTTATATACACGTGCTAACGAGACGCGTTGATACTTGATATCCTCGACAAGTATAAAGATTGGACTTTAATTTATTTATATATAGGAGTTAGTCACTTACTTATAGTGGAGAGATCATGTTTTACAATAAATTACTACCATGGGTATGTGTTCACAGATATTTTCAGACATTCAAAGCACCGCCTATTAATGAGCCACATTTAAGATTTTTCTTTTCTTTTAATGACATCCCAACATAAAATCTGAAACCAACTTTAAGATACAATTTTTAAATTTCATAGATGAAAACTTCTTTTTTAAAGTTTATGCTCTTGTTTTATAGACATAAATAAATGAATAGAATATAAGGAATCTGGAAGAAAAAAAGGTGAGCAAGGCAAAGGCCAGGACAGGGCAAGATCTAAGAACAAGAGGAAGTGGGAGGTCATGAATATAGTCACGACGTCACGTGCATGAGCATGTGAGAAGATGTCTACGTGGCAACATGTGGTCCCCAGTGACCACACTCGTGCGGTGTAATATTGTTCCTCGACGACCAGACATCCCACTTCTCAACAATCATTTGGACCCATTTCCTCACGCGCTCTACTCTCCGCGTGTACATCACCAAGCAGAAGTTTGAAGTTTTATTTTGCAAAATGTGGAAATGAATGATTTTACAATATTATATATAGCAAAGACACAACAGAGTTACATATGTATAATTGTGGTGAAACCAAAATACTACGAAATTAATAAAAAAACATTGTGAACTGTTAAAAAAATGTCATATTTAGCAATTCTCCATTTAGCTTTTTACCAAGACATCTAAAATAAATCTGAATTCGCAAAACTGATGCACAAATTTTAAAATATACTTTGTCCGGATCATAAATATCAACATCTGTCGACTCATGCGAATTTAATTTTGTAAATTTCTTGTCCATTTTCAGTGGGTAGTAAATTTATCATACCTCATATGTGTATAAAAATATGCATTTCAATAAACATGATGATAGCTTAGTAACAAACTGACAATCATTATGTTGGCTCATACCACCACAATTATTCTCATCATTTTATAGCTTCGATAGCAGCATTGTATATTAAACTAATTCAGTCTAGACTTTCCTAAATTCCAAATCATGAAAAGTAGAATTTGCATCTTTGATGTATGTGGCTGGGATTTGTAAAAGAATGGCCTCTATTAAAACCAGAGTTTTGGTATCATTCAGACTTAACCCGTTATTAATTTGAATATATCTGTTTATTATTTTAAATGAATTTCCATTGCAAACGATTTGTCTTTTTATAAACCAGAAAGGTCCAGGTTAAAATCCGTAGTCTCTTGAAATTGGGGACCAGTAGTTGATGATATCCTTTAATCATATCTTCAGTTTGCGAAAAATCTCGAACTTTGGAAGATGAGCTTCATCTTTATAGATAGTACCATGCAAGCAACGATCACATTCACATGTATAATTCTTCTTTTGTGTTCTTTCTTTTTCTCTCAGAATATATAGTTCAGTTTACAATGAGACCTGACATTTGTTGTTTTATTTATCCGGGAGAAATTTTACATCGATCGTTTGTTTTCAAGTTCGTACGTACGTAGGAACGCGTAATATACATGTCTCGTATAGTATAACTATTCAAATACGGCATATCGACAGTATATATAAACTGAAATCTCCTAGTACTGTCTCTGTATGTTCGATATACGTGACATAACCAACGTATTTATAATCTGTTTTGCATGTAATTTCATTATATATGATGCTATGAAACGAATATCATAGTGACAACTCATCATTTTTAATGGATTTATAGAAAACTTAGCTATTAAAATTGTAGATGCGGCCGGTGACATCAAACTGTTACATTTTTGATGGTACAACATATTTTGTAAGAAATATAAGCAGAATCGGAGTAATAAAAACTGATGATACAAGATACAACTTCTGTGTATATATTCGGAGATATAATAACTTCTATACATGGCTGATGGCTCTATTCTAAAACTTAAATAATTTGATTCAATGATAGGGAAAAATCACTCTCTGCGAAGGTACTTTTCATCACTAAATTACCATAATTTGGTTCAGTGAGTAATTAAATGGGACATGCAGATCCAGTTGCAAGGGACAGGAGCGAGTGAAGGCCACGTGAAGGAAGATGTGTAAAAGAGCATGGGTTGAGCGGAAAAACCGAAAAAGATTTATCAACAAAAAATTAAATAAATTTGAGGGGTGTATGTCAGACTAATCACGTGGACAGTCACATGACATTATGTCCACGTGTCATGACACGTGGTCCTACCTTCTTACCCCCTCGCGCGTGTCTCATTGTCCCTCTCTCACCGGACACCCAATTTCTTTCCCAATCATTTGATGCGATTTGCTTTTTCTCCTTAGTTATTTCCATGAAATTACGCTTTTATCCTTGGGCCATCACCCACTCATGAGCTTATCAAAGCCTCAATCATGGGTTTTGTGTGTTTGTACATTATTTACAGCTGTACTCCATGAGACTCGCACGTGGACGTCGTCTCTATCCTCTTAAAGTTAAAGTTCCTCCTTGACACTACTACTACTACAACTGCTTCTTTTTGGGTTTGAGCAAACCGGACTAGTTACACAAAAAGACTTTAAAAAGCACGTTTGTTACACTCGTGGCCACTAGGATGTTCATCAAAGTCAAATTTGTTCGATCAAAGAAAAGAACCAAAGCAATATTCTTTGGGCCTTTTATCGGCCCACTTTAAAAACAAATGCACCATGAGCGTCAACACATAGCCAGTTTGCTGCTTATTATTATAGAGCTATTTCAAAGCCCATCCAAACTTTTTATCGGTCCACTTTTCAAACAAATGCACAATGAGCGTCAACAAATAGTCCTGCATTATATTATTATTATAGAGCCATTTCAAAGCCCATCCAAACATATTAGAGATACTAGCCTATTTGATGGCGAAGCAATCTTGGACTTAACCAGTTCAAACTCTGAGTGGCAAAAGTGTATTTTTTGGGTAAGTTGCAGGGGTTCCCCGGTCATTTCTGTTAACGTCTAGAGCGGAGACGACACACGGGAAGAGAAAGGCTGACCGGTGGAGAAACCCTAATCCCCAAATCGACCATGTTCATGGTTAGATTGAAATTCGCACTGATCTCGCGTAAAATCAGCACGGTGGCGAAACATAGAAGAGTCCCGTCGATATACAAGTCTCTGGCCATCGGACAAGCCCAGAAAGCCGTTACAGACTACCTCCACACCACTAAGTCTCTCTCCTACACTTACGCCGAGCACATTGCCACAAACGCCACGGTTTCGATCCGGAATCTCATCCTCAAGCTTGATTTCTCTGTCCCGACCTTCCCCAAATCGCTTCGGAAGCATCTCAGTTACCATCCAATTAACGAATTCGAGTTTTTCTTCGAGAGCATCGGCATTGATTACAGCGAGGTTAGCGAGTATTTGCCTGAGAAGAAATTCTTCTTCTCCGAGGACCGGAGTGTGTTGGATGCAGCTTGTGCGTTATCTGGATTCGGGTTCCCTTGGAATAAGCTGGGCAAGCTGTACAAAGAGGAAAGGTTGGTTTTTCTGCAGAGTCCTGAAGAGATTGGATCCAGGCTGCTTAAGTTGAAAGATATAGGATTCACGACAGTCGCTTTGATTGGTATTTGTTTAGCGGTTCCTCGTACTCTGTGTGGCGGTGGAGAATTGGCTCCGGAGATTCGTTATTTGTTTGTTAAGCTGAAGAGACTGTTTGAAGAATTTGATTCACATCATCTTTGTGAAGAAACTGTGGATTCTTGGTACGCCATTAGTAGGAAAGTTAGGGTGTTTTACGAAATGGGGTATGAGAATGAGGAGATGTGGGAGTTGATGGGTAGAAGTAAGTCACTTTTTATGGAATATCCAGAAGAAGCTCTGATGAGAAAGACGGAGTATTTTTGTAGATTTGGTGTTGGGAAAAAAGATGCTGCTCTTATGATTCTTAGATATCCCGCTATTATGAGTTTTGATCTTGAGAAACCGGTGATCTCAGTTACAGGAATGCTTAAGCATTGTGGATTGAGCCAGGATGAAGTGGACGCTGTTGCTCAGAAATACCCATACGTTTTGGGTAGAAACAAAATGAAGAATCTGCCTCATGTGCTTAGAGCACTAGATCTGCATGAAAGGATCTTCGAAAGGTTGAAGAATGGGAATCAACATTTGCTCGCTAGCTATTCGTTGATGGATCACGACGAAGGCATAGACAGAGAATATCAAGAAGGCTTGGAAGAGATGCAACAGTCAAGGTACAAGACACACAATGTTCAAAAACTGGACTTCCTCCATCAAATAGGTTTTGGCGAAAACGGCATGACCATGAAGATACTACAACATGTCCATGGTAGCGCCAAGGAGCTACATGACAGATTCGAAAGCCTACTAAACAGTGGCCTCGATTTCTCAAAGACATGCATGTTGATAAGATCAGCGCCAAAGAGCTTGAACCAGAAACCGCATAGCATACAAGATAAGATAAGGTTCCTCTGTGACGAAATGGGATATTCCTTGGAATACCTAGAGATTTTCCCAGCTTATCTCTGTTTTGACCTGGAGTACAGAATCAGCCCAAGGTGCAGGTTTCATAAATGGCTCGTGGAGAAAGGGTTAAGCGAGAAAAGCTATTCAGTCGCAAGCATTGTAGCTACCAGCGAAAAGGCCTACATAGCTCGTCTATATGGGATTCATCCAGCAATCCCGAAACATTGGTTCGAGCGTTTCTCCTACAGAAAACCCAGAAACACGGCATCCTAACATAACAACAAAAGACTCATTTGGATCTTGCAGCAGATTCGAGCAATGCCTCCTTCAAGTTTCCCAGATTTCTGCACTGAGACCTATAACGTTACAAATCCTCGAAATGGTAACAACAACTGCGAGTAGAGATTGCAGAACACTTGTGGGTCTATGAATGAGGGGGAATTTTGACAATTTGTGGTTACCACTTGGGAGATTTCGTTTCCGTACATTTACTTCTCAGACAACTTATCACACAAATGGTTTGGAGAAGTTTTACAATGAGCTAGCTTTCCGTCAACGGGATGCATCATCCTGCACGTGTCGGGGGAGTCGTGGCAATGACTTGAGTGCAAAACGTGGGACGAGATAGGCACACGTGCGAGCGAGTGAAAATAATCGAGTTTCTTTGTTATGTGTACTTCCGGGGAATAGGTTGACTAAGTTATGTTCTGAAAGCCTTGTAAAGCAAACAATCGATCGCGTGCAGGTCACGTGCGTCCTACGTTTGGAGGCATTGTGCTCAGTGGGGGCAGCGCTTGTAATATCGACGATATAGAGAGGGTAAATTTGACATTTAATGCGTTTCTATCCTTTTTTGTTAACACTTTGGTTTTGGGATTCAGCAGTAACATAACTGCCGCTCTTCATTTTTCTGGTTTTCTCTCTCTCTCTCTCCCCCTTCACATTCGCTCTGTGATTTTTTTGAATTCTCTTTCTTTCTCATCCATCATTAGGGTTTTCGCCTTTTGCCGATCAATTGATTCTTAGATGTTTCGTCAATCCATGGCGTTTCCTCCGCCGAACCATAGTTCTGATCCACCGCCGCCACCGCCGCACCCATCTCCGCAGCCGCCGGTTGTGAACGTGAGCGAGAGCTCAAGACGGCAACATATTGCAGCTTCTTCGTCGCCGGTGAAATCCCATCCGCTTCATAACTTCCCGCTTTCTGATCTCAGGTGGGCTATGAATCACGCCAATACTCATCGGCTCCGCAAAGCATCTAGTAGATCTCCGCTTCGCGAACCTAATCCTGGGAAAGGGAATCTGGTGAGTGAGGAGGTGAACGAAGCATCAGGTTCTTCGTCTTTTGAATTGAGACCGGAAAAGAGGAAGGGAAGCGCGTCTGGTGTCAGTGATTCCACCGCAGATCGATCTGGAACGAAGTCAACGACGGCGGACGGTAGATCGAAGATCTTTATCCGGATCCGTACGAAGAACAACGAAGAAACAGCTGATGTCGCCTCAGCGACTGATACCGCCACCGATACCGGTACCGCCGTCGTCGCTGTCCACGTGACTGATGATTCAGCCGAGCCGGCGATCGATGCTGACGTATCGATTGGTGAACGGATCTCCGATGGTGGTGGCGGTCAGGAAGCAGACGAGTTTGGTCCGAAGACTTGGAATCTGAGACCGAGGAAACCACCGCCGACGAAGAAGCGGTCAATAGGAAACGGCGGTGGGACATTGAAGAGCTGTAGCGAATCATTGCCGGAGAACAGAGCTCAGGGAACGGTTCGAACGGAGGCAATCCGATCCAGGAACGGCGTGGATGCCAAGATTGCGACGACAGAGAGAAAGGAGAAGAAACCGAGGTTATCGATCTCGCTCTCAAAGTTGGAGATAGACGAGGATATCTACGCGTTGACCGGATCAAAACCTAGCAGGAGGCCAAAGAAGAGAGCCAAGAACGTGCAGAAGCAGCTTGATGTAATAAAACCTCAAACTTGTTTTGGATTTACCTAATTCACAACCTTACCTAACAAGTTTGGCTATTTTGTATGATTTTCTTTCAGGTTCTTTTCCCAGGTTTGTGGATGGGTAACGTATCTTCAGACGCTTACAAGGTCTCAGAACATGCTTGAAAGGTATAGGTTTTACCCTGTAACGTTTTGATGAATACTATATTTTGTTTGCTGTAAGTTCTAGTATAAGTGGGATAAACGAACTCTTCTCTGAATCTCTTAGGGTTGATTGAGAAGGATGTGAAGTTAATCTTGTTGAATTGGCTTCGACTGAAACCAGATATGGGCGTTGAAGAAGCCTTTTCCACAGATTAAGGTATAAAAGTTGTGATTCAATACTGTTTCTCATTTTAGGCAGACTAGTGTATTCTCCTTGGTGATTTTTTGTGACTCAGCGCCTTTTTGCTGTCCTATGATTTTGTAAATTTATAAGTGAAACTTGATTTCCATGAAGTTTTTTTTTTTTGTATTTTCTTGCTTGGACGGTGTGGTTACATTTGGTTTCTTAGATTCCAGACAGTTAGGGATATATGATACTCGTATATCTTTAAGAGTCTTGCAGAATTGAGTAAGTACTTTTTTATGAATCAAATCTTTAGGTAGAAGTTCCCATATTCAATGTTAATGATTTGCGTCTGACTTTGTATGTGAAGGAAGAAACATTCTGTCTCAAAATTCCTGGTTTGGTCTAAACGATTGAGGGTTATTAGTGTAATGGTCTGAAGTTGCAGTGATAACGAGTTTTAGACTTAATAAATGGAGTCATTTTTGTATAAAACTTCACCTTCTTCCTCTGTGTGGGTTTTGATAATGCAGAAATGCAAACCATTGATCGCTTCTTCAAGCACTGGCGTCATTTTTGGGCGTGCTCTAAGTAGTGAGATACTGTCTCCAGGTTTCAAAGCACTCAATCCAACTTCAGCTTCAGTTTCGGTCCTAACCGGCGTCAGTATGAAATACGAACCAGACTGCCCCTGACCCGGCCGCCTTAGTTACTGCCACTGACGTGATGATACCTTATTTATTTCTGTTGTGGACCCTTTTGTAATTAATTAGTGGACAATGTATTTTGATTTTCATTTGACTTACGCTGAATATAATAAAATCAGAGTTGCCAACACAATTTTTTTTTTTTCCATTAAATTTATCGACATATTCTGTTTTATGTTAATTAATTATTTATATTCTTATATCAGTTTAATTTTACCTGTTTTTCATGAATTAGTTGAGGAAAAGATGTGTCAAATATGTAACAGTAATATTAATTACTTACAATATTTATAGGGCTTCTACAAACTGTAAATTATCCCTATTCAAAGTAAGCTTCAAAATTTGGATCCAGTAAATAATGAATATAATCTGGACTTTAACCGTCGAATATTATAATCCTGCATTCTTTTTTTTTATATAGTTTATAGAAGGAAGGACCAAATGCTTGCTTCGTCACTCCATTCATCATCAGTTCATCAACCTCCACTTGCTTCGTCCCTTGGTTTATCCAACTCTTCATGCAGTTAAACCAATTTTTTTTACGAAGTTCACAAATTATAAGGACAGATTTTTACAATACGCTATCATGCACTAATTATATATGTTGAAAACAGTTAAAAGAGATGTAGTGGTTGACCGTTGACCCACGAAGAAGACGAAGACGAAGAAGAGAGTCTATACTTGCTAAGAAACTAGTACAAAAGAAAACAATGATGATTTCATCCAATAAATTCCGAAATAGTTGTTCTGAAATTTCAAATAAATTCATCCAAAACATCAACCATATACCTAAGTGCCTTTTAAAATTGTCAACATTTAACAACCAAATTATAAGTTTTAAAAAAAAAGAAACATGATCCCATTAGCCTTTAGATTGTAGTACTTCGTCCATGCTAATGCTGTAAAGCCTGTCTAATGCAATTTAACTGATGATATTTCTGTGAAAAAAAGTTATCGTATCATGTAGTGCTTAGTGGTCTCTACGAGTCCACCCAATTTGGAGTATATGAATGTAAACTTCGTAGTAAAGTTTAATTAATGAGTCGTCATCGCAATTTCTTGTGTTGTAAGCTTCCTTGCAATTTCCTGTCTCGAACTAAGTTTTCTTGGAAAAAAAAGACTCGTTTCAAATTTGATTGTCAAAAAGAAACTGCTTTGTATATCTCTCTATATATACACTTACCATCTGTACCAGCAAAAGGCCACACAGAGAAAGAGCAATGGAGCATGCTAAGTCTAACACCGATGGCCACCAAAACGTCTTCGTGATGCGTCACGGTGATCGAATGGATGATTTCGAGCCACTCTGGATTTCAACCGCCGAGAGACCGTGGAATCCGCCGCTCGTTCACGACGGTAAGGTTCGAGCCTTTCAAACCGGTCAAAGGATCCGATCACGGATCACGTTTCCGATTCACCGTGTCTTCGTATCCCCTTTCCTCCGCTGCATTCAAACGGCTTCCGAAGTTATCGCCGCTCTCTCCACTGTGGATGTCGATCCTAAAGCCTTCTCCATCCCTTCGACGATCAAGGTCAGACATCATAATATCTTGTTGATCCTTTTTTGACTGAAGCAGTTAAGGTGCTTAAGCTCTTTCTCGTATTCTTTCTACAGGTAGCTATTGAATATGGCTTGTGCGAGGTACTGAACACAGTGGCTATTAAGAGTGAGGTTGCTCCCAAAGATGGAAATTTGGATTTCAAGTTTTCAGATCTTGAATCCATGTTTCCTGAGGGAACCGTGGATCATAACGTGGATATGGTTTATAAAGAGGTAATCTCTAAGACTTTTGTTTCTTAATTAATCTTCTTATACTTCATTTCATTTGAGTGTAATATTGATGTGTATAGTTGTTCTCGATTCCATGTTGGTTCTGTTTAGTTACCACAATGGGGAGAAACTGTGGATGGCTTCAAGTATCGATATGTTCATACGTTGAAGGCTCTTGCAGACAAGTATCCATCTGAGAACTTGCTCTTAGTCACCCATTGTAAGCTTATGGTTTCTTAGTTTTTTAAATCAAAATCCGACAATTTTCTAATCTTGAAACCATCTTTTTTTTTTTTGATTGGTTGGGAAATTGCAGGGGGAGGAGTAAGTGCTACACTTTACAAGTACTTCAAAGACGAAACTAAGTACTTAGTGGATTACTGTGGCTGTGTTGACTTGAGAAGGCAGATTTCGAATAAAGATGGGATTAGTGAAACTGTGGAATTTGAGGTGGTAACAAGTCATGGAGTCTCTTACAAGGACCACAAAGTCCCAATCCACGGTCCTGTTATAACCCCATCTCCGATTTAGCTCGTTTTTGTTCGTTACGTTATGGCCACAAAGAATTATCATTTGGACAACATTATTAGCTTTTTATTTATCTATAACTAATAAAAGACCATGGCATTGTTTCGTCGTCCCCAATTACTCATCACCACCATTTGTTTAATATCATCCAACTATCTTCATATATCTGCATATATTTACTTCTTTCTTTCTTTATCAGTGAAACATTGAAATTTATCTAATCGAGCAAAAGCATAAATGGTTTCAAATACAAATCAAATCGACGATATTATTTCCGTTTCAAAATAGCTTACAAAATTTAAAGCATTAAAAATGGTCATAAGAAAAATAATCAACAGTTGTGTCTCTAGAAAAATAATTTTCCATCTTTAAAATAAAAAAAAATGTATAAAGAACGAAGAAAGTGAAAAAACAGAACTCCATGTATAATGTTTTCTATCACTTCCAACGTACTCCCAAAGGTCAGAGCACCAAGAATCAGAGCAACAATGGAGTCTGCTAATTCGAATAACGATGGCTACCAAAATGTCTTGATGATGCGTCACGGTGATCGCATTGACCAATTCCAGCCACTCTGGCTCGACTCAGCCCCGAGACCTTGGGATCCTCCGCTCGTTCAGGACGGTATGGTTCGGGCTTTTCGAGCTGGTCAACGGATTCGATCTCAGATCCGTTTCCCGATACACCGTGTCTTCGTCTCCCCCTTCATCCGCTGTGTTCAGACCGCTTCCGAAGTTATCGCCGCTCTCTCCGCCGTCGATTTCGACCCTAACGCTACGTCGTCTAAAGACGTCCTTTCCATCGATAAATCTACGCTCAAGGTCAGATTCAGATTCAGATCATCCTCGTTTCTTGAATGTAAAGCTAAATGACGAGATAGTTTTTTGTGTTGTATGTATGCTTCAGGTGTCTATTGAATTTGGGTTAAGCGAGATGCTGAACACAATAGCTATTAAACCTGAGATTGCTCCAAAAGATTGGAGATTCGATTTCATCATCTCAGATCTTGAAGCTATGTTTCCTGATGGTATGGTGGATCGTAATGTGGATCCGGTTTACAAAGAGGTGATCTTTTCGGGGTATCTCCTTCTGTTTCGTGTTTCTTCATCAACTTTACTCTTCTTCTAAGTACAGTATCTCTGGTTGGTTCTGTTTCAGATGCCACAATGGGAAGAGACTGTGGAGGCATGCACTGAAAGGTTTCTTAACGTGGTGAAGACTCTTGCTGATAAGTATCCTTCAGAGAACTTGCTTTTAGTCACTCACGGTAACCAAAACACATTCTGGTTTTGTGATGTTATGATCAGTTTCAGTCTCTCTTATTACTAACTCATTCATTGTCAAACTGTTTCTATTTTGATTTAGCGTTATTTCTCTAGAAAGATCATCTTTTTCTAATGTTTTCAGTATCCATTTCGTTGGTTTCACTGAAGCAAAGAGTTACTGTTTCAATGTCTTTTGGAGTTGTATAAACCCTTTTTTTTGTTGGGAAAATGCAGGGGAAGGAGTAAGGACTACATTTGCAAGCATTAAAGGCGTAGATGTGTACGATGTAGAGTACTGTGCTTGTGCTGAACTGAGAAGACAGGTCTCTAGTCAAGACGGGTTTACTAAAGCTGGAGACTTTGAGGTGATTACAAGTCTTGGTCAAGCTGGAATCAAGTACCATTCCTTAAGCACCTCTTGACCAAACTCCGGTTTAGTCAACGTCTCCGGAAAATCATCATGGCATTGGAAAACCGGATACTGTCTAATTAGAATTTGCCGGTTAACCTGCCATTGCCCCCTTCATTACAAGTGGGAATATTGTAATTCTAAACTTCAATAAAAGATACAAATTGCCATAATGCGAAACGTTAGTATATAATTGTAAACCAAACAGTTTTTAGTGTTGTCATGTTTGGCTTTTACATTCGAGTAAAAGATAAATAATTTGTCAACAATATTTGATAAAGATCATGATTGATGAAGAAGTCTTTAGTGTTGTCATGTTTCTTTTTTTTTTTTTTACTTTGTACATTATTCAACTACCCCATCCATTAAGGAATGATTCGACTACTATTCAAATTGTTAGGATAAATTGTAAATTATATGTATGATATGGACTTATTAACATCCAAATTGGATTAAGTAATTCATTGTATAATTATCCCATTGAATTTATTTTATACTTTCTTAGAAGTGCCATAGCCTTCTTTCGTCACGTCATTCATCAATCATCATCATCACCCACCACTCTACGTGTCTCCCTTTTTTATTTTGTATAAAACAAAAAAGCCAAAAATATATTATCCTTTTCAAAGACCATGTTAGAGATTTGTCATTAGAGCTTAGAATATACAATACGATGTCGATTGTCGACATTTGGTGTAATTTCCATCGATGGGAGAAAAAAACATTAAACTAATAGTACCAGTTTTCAAAAGTCATTATATATTGTATATCCAAAGTAGAAAATATAGTTTGTAGCCTTCTGAAAAATTAACACAATTTCATTAATACAACAAAAAAGGTAGTAGATTCACTGTGCTAAATTACTGTTAACATTTCGAAATCTCGAAGAATAATGACGTTTAAAAAAAAAAAAAGAATAATTACCAAAAAAAATTTATGATATTTCCTACCAAAAGAAAGAACGTTCCTTATTATATATATAGAGTTTCCATTGTAGTCGCCAAAGAGCACACCTCCAGAGCAAACGAAGAGAAAGAACAATGGAGTCTCCCAAATGTAACAACGATGGCTACCAAAACATCTTCGTGATGCGTCACGGCGATCGAATCGATAACTTCGAGCCACTATGGGTTTCAACGGCCGCGAGACCTTGGGATCCGCCTCTCATTCAAGACGGCAAGATCCGGGCGTTTCGAACCGGTCAAAGGATCCGATCCCAGATCGGGTTTCCGATTCACCGTGTCTTCGTCTCCCCTTTCCTCCGATGTATTCAGACAGCTTCCGAGGTCGTCGCAGCTCTCTCCGCCGTCAATGTCGATCCCAACGCCATGTCTTCCAAGGACGTCCCTTCCATTGATAAATCTAAGCTCAAGGTCAGATCATCGGCGTACTATTATACTCAGATTTAATCACCTGTTTTGTTGAACTAATTGAAGATTTAAGCAGGAATTTTTAAATCTGATTCTGCTCATGATTGACTGATTAGTGTGCTGATCATTTAGTCTATGAAGTTGAGATGCGATGATCATCATCCTTTGATGTTTATTAAGATTGCTACTTGTGGTATACTACAGGTTGCTATTGAATTTGGCTTGTGTGAGATGTTGAACTCAGTGGCTATAAGGCGTGAGCTTGCTCCTAAAGATGGCAAATTTGACTTCAGTATCTCAGATCTTGAAGCTATGTTTCCTGAAGGAATGGTGGATCATAATGTGGATCGGATTTATAAAGAGGTGCTTACTCTCTCTCTCTAAGTCCTTTCAAGTTTCAGTTTTTTTTTCATAATCTTTGATCCCTTGTTGTTACTTGTGTTCAGATGCCGAAATGGGAGGAATCTCTGGAAGGTTGCAGAGATCGGTATGTTAAAGTGGTTAAGGCTCTTGCCGATAAGTATCCTACAGAGAACTTGCTCTTAGTCACCCATGGTAAGCAAGTTCCTCACTTTAAAGTTTTCCTCACCATTTGTATTACTTGTGTGTATCTGCAAAATCCAAACTTGTACACCCTCTCCTACGTTGGTCTTGGTCAATTTCAATCCGTCTTAACTCAATCAAATGTAAAAACAATCCCACTTCTCTCTGATGAACATGAAGTCTGACAAACTGTGCACGGTTTCGATATTGTGACCTTATTAATGGAATTTCAGGGGAAGGAGTAGGAACCACCTTCTCGACGTTCTATAAAGAGACAACTGTGTACGAAGTAGACTACTGTGCTTATGTTGAGCTGAGAAGAGAGGTCCCAAGTAAAGATGGGTCTGTTAAAGCTGGGGAGTATGAGGTGGTTTTGAGTCATGGTCAAGCTGGAATCAGGTTTGGTCAAGACCCTGTGAGTCACGATCCTGTCATAAGCCGAACACCGGTTTAGTCAACAGTTGCCCGTTCAATGTCTCTGTTACTGTATTGTTGGCTGTATTTTGAACTATTCTGTTATGAATTGTGAAACATGGTTTTGAAAGTTTGATTCAATCAACTAAGATTTTCTTCTGCCAAACATATACTTTCACAGTAAGAGGAAAACAAGAAATTGCCATTACATAAGGAATGTAGTTAGATTGTTGCTTGTGAAAACCATCTAAAGACAAAGCTAGTCAGAGAGAGTCTTTGCGTCAGATTAGACCTAAACACACAGGGAAACAATCTAAGAGACAAGAAGCAAACAATTCTAAGGACTCCGAATTGGATCAACTTGATCGAACATGTCAGCAGGGAAATCGTCTAAGAAAACGTCAGGATCTTCATCCTTTGAGACATGCCTGCATCTTCTGGGCGACGGCTCGAAAAACGGCTGGGGAAGAGCGAACAACGGCTCAGAGGAATCAGCTGGTCCAAGTATGTCGTAGAAATAAGGGTCGTCGAGTCTAGCCAAAAGCTCCCTGCTTTCTGGAGAAAAAGGGTTATTTGATTGCTGTGGCTCAGAGTAGAGAGAAGAAGTCGTCGTCTCTGCTAGAACAAGGTCAGTCCCAAATGTGAATGGCTGATGCTCTAGTTTAATACCCATTTCCGGCAATCTCAAGGTTTCATCAACTGTGTCAGATGAGTAAGGAAGAATCTTGGAAGACGAAGAAGTAGCTGCAGTCTCTTCCTCAACCAAACCAAAACCCTGAAACACATACACACATACAAATTGTAAATGATAATCCTTCCTCTCTAAGAAACAAAAAAGGATTTTTTTTTTTTTTTTCTTACCTGAGAAGGAATTGGTTTGACGGTTTTGCCCTTGGTTCGATGAGAAGATGAAGATTTGGGATTGAGAATGGAACTTGAAGATGCATCAGAGGAGTTATGGAGAATCCTAGCGAGCCGCTTTAGTCTGCTACTCCAGAAATTCTTGACGTCGTTATCAGTTCTTCCGGGAAGATACGTAGCGATTCTCGCCCATTTGTTGCCAAACTCCGATTGCAACTCGATCACCGTCCTCTCTTCCTCCGCCGAGAACTTGCATCCACTTTGATCAGAAACAAAAAAAAAACCGTGAAATTAGAGCAAACGAAAACTGAAATTGGAATTGAGAAGAATCAGAGGAAAAAAGTTTTACTTTTTGAGATTGGGACGGAGTTTGTTGACCCAACGGAGACGGCAGGATTTGCCGGTGCGTTGGAGAAGGCCTTTGGATCGAATGGAGCTCCAGTCACGAGGACCGTATCTCTTCACATGGTTTATGAGTACTTCGTCTTCTTCCGCTTTCCATGGCCCTTTCTTTATCTCTTCCTTCCTCGCCGCTTCCATTTTCTTCATCTCTTACTGATAATCAGATTATCGATTTTTATTTTTTCGGATAATTTCTCTTCTTCTGCGGAAGTTTCTTTCGCTTTTGTAGTGACGGTTAGATGCAGTTATCCCCCATTACCCTCCACTCTCAGAACCCCACTTCCCAAGTTTCTCTCCATTTTCGTATTTGACAATATTACCAAAATGTCCTCGTATTATCTAGCCCAAAATTAAGCCCAAATAGACTGAGCCCATGTAACGCCCCCTTATTTTCGATCTATAGTCTATGTACTTATTGGGTAATGTTTCCTATGCACATTTTTGTAACATCTAATTACCAAGATGCCCTCGTATTGTCTAGCCCAAATTAAGCCCAACTAAATTGAGCCCATGTAAGGCCCCCTATTTTCGATCTATTGGGTAATGTTTCCAGGCACATCTTTTTCTTTTTGTAACACCTAGTTCCTTGCACATCTTATGCAACGTCTACGTGATTTTGAACATTGTTAATTAGTTACAATAAAATAAACAAAATAAAAATGTGGATCTTATTTTAATAAGATTGATGGGTTACTTGAATCTATTGAAGCCAGAAATAGAGAGTTCTGCAAATTTTTTTTGTTGCATCGGCTGTATTTACTCTAAACGTGTCTGTCAAATTCGATTTTATATTCACAAAATAGGAAAGCACATGACCAAAAGTAAGCTACTTCTTATTAAACAGCAACTAACACAATAAAGAATATATTACTTATCTTAATTACGATTAGAAAACAAATAAAATGCTATAACATGACCTTTTCTTACAACTGATACCAGTCGTGACATGTGTGGTTTTTGAAAGCTGCATGCATCTAATACCTTCCTCGTTAAGGTAATTGATAACATTTCAAATTGAAAACCATAATTAATTCATGTCGATCCCACTGGGCATCAATAGGGTTAACCGGTTTTAATCTAACTTAATTTTCGAATCTAGAAAAGTATGTATATTTTAACCAATTTTGGGATATGATTACGGTTTTGGAATCGATTCGTTCGTATTTTATCCGGATTACGCACATGTGAATATTTTGCCTATTTATGATAAACATCATTTCCTTCTTCTCCATCTCTAACAAAGAGCTGAAATTTCGAAAGTAAGTAGTCCTTTCTTCATTCTCTTTTCCTTGCACACTCTCTATGGATTCCTCAACACTTGCAATTCTGAGGCATGATTCAGATTTTGCAGACAAGATCGGATCCTCCAATAAGGACACAATGTACAGAATGTTGGATCTTGAATCGGGCACGACTCATGAGTTGAACAAACCGGTTCCTGGGATGTGGCGGTTTCCGACAAATCCTGATCTTTGCTGTATCTACAGAGTCCCAGGCTCTCTGCGTGAAGTAAGCCCTAAAGCGTACACTCCTCAGTTGATACTCATTGGACCACTTCACCGCTCTTTAAGATCACAAGCTCTCAAGTCTCGTGGAGATATCACAAAGGCAAAGTCATTGGGCTACTTAAACACGGAGGCTCACAAGAAGATTTACCTAGCGGAATTCGCAAAAAGGGTTGAAGGGAACAAAGTCATTGAAGGGTTTCGAAGAAAAATCGAGGAAGACGAAGATATGATCAGAGCTAGCTACTCGGAATCAACGGCTTGGATTGAATCTCCGGAGTTCGTGGAGATGATCCTGCACGACTCTGTTTTCATAGTAGAGCTCATGTTGAGGTTTAACCTAATAAGAGGAAGAGAGAAAACAGGGGATCCTCTCATGGACGAGCCTTGTCTTGAAAACACAATCAAGAGAGATCTCATCTTGCTAGAGAACCAACTTCCTTACTTCATCCTCGAGAAACTCTTTGATCCAATCGTCAAAACACTCCACCCGAGCGAGTCACTCCGTACACTTGTTATCAGCTACTTTGAACTGGAGAATAAGAAGAAGATCAGCGAGAAGACAAAGTTCAGACATTTCACTGATCTCTTCAGGTGTGTTCGCGTGGATACACTTCCGGAGGATTATGTAGTGGATTTCAAACCCATTGAAGTTATGCATAACGCGGTTAAGCTAGACAGCAGGGGAGTGAAATTCGAGGCTGTAGATGAAGAGTTTTCGGTCGCGGTCAGATTCGACGCTAAAACAGGTTGTTTGAAGATACCTTGTTTCAAAGCTGATGACGATATTGAGATAACACTTCGAAACGTAATGGCCTTTGAGCAATCGCATCACCCTTACAATGCCTACGTTTCTGACTACGTCACCTTCTTGGATTTCCTTATCGACACCGAGAAAGACGTAGACTTTCTTGTTGAGAAAGGTAACCCTTTTATCGTATATACTATAAGTCTACTTATATCTATATCTAGCCCAACGCTTATTTGGTTATACATATTTGTAATTGTTAGGGATAATAAAGAATTGGCTTGGACACCACGGTACAGTGTCTAAGTTGGTGAACAAGCTGTGTTTGGAAGTCATGGACGATGGCTCTTCCTACTCTAAAATCGCATCGGATGTCATCGCTCATTACGATGACGAATGCAACAAGGCACGTTCCATACTCAGGCGCGTGTATTTCACCAACCTGTGGAGAGGGACAGCAACCGTAACTGCTGCGTGTATATTGCTACTGACTCTTATCCAAACAGTGACTTCGATCATTGACATTATTAAGAAGTAAACCCCCTTTTGTCGAATTCACCTTGGTTCATATGATTTAGCTAGTAAGCAACTAGCAACATCTGTTTTCTCTTCTCAAAAAATAAGTCTATACAAATCTATGCTTTATGATATCCAAATTGATTGTGGTGTTTCTGAGAGTCGTTCGTTAATATTTGGTAACATTATTGAACCTTAAAGAAAAACTGAGATCGAGCAATACAAGTCTTTACCACATCAGCTATAGCTTATGACAGTTCTCTCTTCCCTTTCCCCAAAAAAGAAACCGAAATTTTTTTCAGACAAACACGAACAGAGTTCTGTCGAACTATATAGACATACACGAATCGCTCGCAGCAACTAAGAACACCGTTCCCATGAATGCTGGAAACTACCGGAGAGCTGTTCCTTGACCGTCTCCGATTAGAGTACCAAGCTCGAAATTGTTCATGATAGATCATCCGCCTCTGCAAAAAAAAAAAACCAAAAATTTCCAGAACGCTGTGGTTTATCAAGAGACGATCTTGGTCCAATTTTGTACTCAGAACCTTTAAAAATGGCAAAAATGGCGTACCGGTTATCTGCTTTTCAGGTATTTGAGGAGTAATCCCCAAATTCGTTCTAATGTTAGCTCCCATTTCAATCGCATCTTGGACCTGTGTTGTCGTGTCCAGCGTTCAATTGGATCAATTTCTCTGATGCAAGTAGCGAAATAGATCAATGATTTAACCGATTTTTACTAGAACTAACCGAGTGGATCCCCGTGGCGCTGAGAAATGCGACGGATGTGGTGGCAATCGCGCCGACGAAGAGTGATGCGACACCGAAGGCTTTGAGCGGCATTAAACTCATGTCGCCGGCGTAACCTCTCCGAATACATCTCACTCCCCACATGATTTGGGCTCCGCTTCCGATTGCCCACCACCAGTGTGCGGTTCCATCGAACAAACTGCTCACGCCGCCGCCGTCTTTCTGTTCCTCCATTTTCGCCGTCGATTCTTCGGGGATCGTATAAAATGGGCCAAATCCGATTTTGAGATTTCCTTTTTCGTGTTGTCCTCTCTATCTACGATTGTTGCATGTTTGATGGGCTCAGATTTGGGCTTACGGCCCATATTGTGCATTCATCATTACACTTTAACATCAATGAAAGAACAAAGAAGCATCATCGCTAGGATTTAATTCGAAAACAAATTCATAGGGATATCGCAGTTGGATAATGGTGTCACACTACTTACTAAAATTATAATATATATTATTAGGTCGGGCCAAAGGGAAGATTTGGTATGGCCTAGAAAAATGCTACATTCAACTAATTTGCGTTTGTATTTAGTATTTACATATATTAATATATCATCACCTCACTTTACCTCATCTTCCGGCGTCGGAAGACGACAAAGTTTCTCTCTACTTTGAATTGTATCTTTTTTTTTGGTTTAAGGTTACTTTGAATTGTATCTTAGTTGTGAGCTATTTATCTCCTACACTTAATTGGATTTTAGTTTTAAAACATTATGTTGGGTCTTATTGTTTAAACCACAAAAGTTTTGTAACTTGAACTTGATTAGTATGTAGAGATTAACTTAACATTAAACCAAAAAGAAATAATTATAATTAGAAGAAATCAGATTTCCGGCCATGAAAAAAAACTCACGTTGAGATTGAAAAGGATGAGGATATAAACAAACTAAAGGGAATGATACATACTCTATCCATTTCATAATAAATATAAATCGTTTCAGAATGAATTTTTCTTACTTCATACATACTCTATCCATTTCATAATAGATTTTTAATGCAAACTTTAACACAAAACACCAAATTTAAACTTAACTCTAATAAAAGATAAGAATATCATTAGATTTCGAATACAGTTTATTAATTTGTTTCACCGAAAAAAAAAAGTTTATTAATTTGTGTGAAAAGGTCAAAACTACTTATTATGAAACAAAGAGAATATGTTTACTACACACTTAGTGTTATTTTAATTTATCTTGGTTTTTCTTATTATCAAATTACACACCACTAACGGTCTAACCACTTTTCTGTTTCTCTCATATAATTTTGCACATTATAACAGTAAATCTATTCGTCCGTGTCGTATTAAGTTGATACAATTTTACAATTGTTAATCTGTAGTTGTGCACTTTTCAGAGAGAGTAATTAACAGTTTCTTTGACTTTTCTTTAATGGACAGCTGAAATGTAATTAGAATACAATATGTTTTAATTCACGGTTTTATTTTTGGTAAAGACAACCGTAATTGTTTGTTGTCAATCACAGTCGATCCTTTTCTTTGGAATGAATATTCAACATTGTGTGACTATGAATATTGTATATATGAATCACTAAAGAGTTGACACTTAATAGTACTACTTAAGATTCTTCATTCTTCAACAACAACAAAAAATGCAAGATAAATGTGTGTACATAGTTTAATATATAACGGAGTACAGTTGTAACTAACAACCAAAGAAAAGAAAATAACAATAATAATAGAGTACACTGTTGACTGTTCAATGGTTTCATTGGAAAAGCTGTGTTAATTTTACTATATAAAAAACGATGTGTTAATTTTAGTAAGTCAAATGTTATCATTATTCAAATTATTGTGTTTCTTACTTATAGTGGCGCCGATTCGAATACTACAATCAAAATGTAAAATATATATTTTGCATAAATGTAACCTTACATGTATTTGTGGTTGGCCATGACATTTAATATCCAGACCCAATCGTCTTAATAAAACCTATAAATTTAGAACCAGCTAAGATATTCAATACACATATGGTCACCGTATTTCAACTGTAACATTGTTCTCAGTCGCTCAAATTTGCATTATAGAGCTATAGATACAAAATGATTCCAATATCTTATATATAGTACTAATATTAGTTAAAATATTGAGCATGGGTGAATGTCTGAAAGTGGGCTGCTTAGTAACGTGATTCTCGTGGTTGAATTAATAGATTGACTGTTGCGTATTCCAACGTCCAAGTTAATTAGGACATTATGTCAATTTTTTGTAAAGCAAAGACGGGGCCAACGACATAAAACCTTTTAAGTAATATAGAAAATGGAGAAGAAAAGAAAAGTAGCCTCTCTGCATATTGTGCTAATTACTGATAATTATGACGTCACACAATTCCAATACAAAAGTTTATGGGTTATGAAGATGACGCACATGCGCGATGGTCGGTCCGTATATAAGAGGAGAAACATTTCAACTAATTGTTATTCGATTTTAGGCTTTTCCTTGCATATATAAAAGTGAGAAGAGACGTTATTTCCATTTAATTTCACATGCGGGTAAGTTATTCGCTGAAAATGGTGGACAGTGGACAGTAGATTGACAAATCCGGACCCACTATTAACGAAATAATAAATATTTTTGTTCTTTTATTACACTGTCATGTTTTTCTTTTCTTTATAATATATATGAAAAAGGACAAAATAAAAATAAAATAACTTGGAAGAATATTAATAGCAGCCCACTTCAGGTTGCACAACCTTATTTACCTTTGATTCTCTTTATCTCTCTCTCTAAAATGGAAAAACAAATCAACATAGAGAGTAGTGCTACTCATCATCAAGCCAATAATGCTTCCTTTATAACAACCTCCACCGTCGCCGCCGCAACGTCTTCGTCAGAATCTTGGTCATCCTCTAAAAGACCGTTAGTACTGAAAGACATTAACGATGGCGGTCAAAAACGGCGGAAGAGCAACGATGGGGATGATGATGATAAGAATCCGACGTCGTATAGAGGAGTAAGGATGAGGAGTTGGGGAAAATGGGTGTCGGAGATTAGAGAACCGAGGAAGAAATCGAGAATCTGGCTTGGCACTTATCCAACGGCTGAGATGGCAGCTCGAGCTCATGACGTGGCTGCTTTAGCGATAAAAGGCAATTCTGGTTATCTCAATTTCCCTGAACTATCCGGTTTGCTTCCTCGTCCGGTTAGTTGCTCTCCCAAGGATATACAAGCTGCAGCTGCCAAAGCAGCGGAAGCCACGTGGCCAGAACCGGTTACCGATGTCCAAAACTGTGAGAAATTAGCCGAGCCGGAAGCAGATGAGCTAAGCCACTCCGAGTTTTCTACGGCTCAGTCGTCGGCTTCGAGCAGTTTCTTGAATTCTTCGGACACGTGCGAGACTTCGAGTACGGACAAGGAAAGCAAGGAAGAAGAGACGGTGTTTGATTTGCCGGATCTTTTCACGGAAGGATTGATGAACCAAAACGATGCATTTTGTTATCACGACAGCTCATCCACGTGGCAGCTTTACGAAGAGGATGTGGGGTTTCTGTTTGAAGAGCCGTTCACTTGGCAAATTGACTAAAACACCCTCCCTTTGCTTGCTAACGTATAGTTCCATGCACTATCGATATATGGTTCTAAAGTTTTTAACTAAATTCCACTATATTTGTGTTTTTTTTTTCTGTCCTCTACATTTGAGGATGTTATTAGCTATATAATTTTTGAAAATAATGAGCTCGGTTTGAATAATTGCCTTGTATTTCAAAACTGAAGTAATGTAATTAAATGGCAGTGGCGAAAATATAATTTAAAGTAAACATTCACAGACACAAGAAGGCAACGTTTGATGATAGTGACAGTCTTTTCCCACTCCTAGATTTAGAGAATTTTAAAGAATCTAGACGAATTTTGGCTTGAAGACCCAAAGCATCCCCTTGCGACACATGTGCTAATCACTATTTTGCTGTCTACAACGTAATTAATCTATGTTATTATCGACATTTATATTAGTTTAGTGCTACTGTGCTAGTGAGAATTTAGCATCTTTGGTCTTTGGCTAGCACCTGTTTTTTTTACTAGACAAAAGTTAGTTTAGTGGTGGTCTAGTGAAATTTGGTTATGGTTAATTATCCTACCGTAAACTTCTTTCTTAAATATATTATACATAGTTGATTTCTTTATAGGTAAGCTAAACTTAAGGAACAAGATTGAAGAATATTTTTGTAAATCAGTAAGATGTCATTGCACTCAATCGGTCCGCTTCTCCTATAAAACCACAATACGATTCTTTATCAAACATTTTTAAAATTCTGCTAAAAATATGAAACCTACTACTTCAAGTAATGACAATGAGCTTAGCGCAGGCATAGTAACCATATATATGTCATATTTAGTGTGTGCGTCATTGATGAGACGATGATTGCGAAATTGAAAGTGAAGGAGACATGCTTTTGATTAAATTATCGCTTTATTATATTTAGAGTGGGAATATAACATGACTCACATGTTCATCATTGCACTCTTTTCCTTTTAAAGTTATATAGTATAAGCTAATAACCTTTCGCTTTATATTTTCATTTGTCCAATTCTTTAATTCGCTTAAAAGGTGAGAAAGGATATATGCTATAACAATGGGAATGCTTTTGCCCAACATCTTACTTTCCCCACTGTTATGAGGCATAACACGACTGTTATGGATTCCCAAACACATTCATTGGATCCAATAATAACAGTAGTAATAATAATAACAATGCGTACTTTAATAAAATCGCCAAATTTTATCAAATTGCAGAATAAAATCCTTATCTATAAAAAATCACCATCTCTTCTAAAAAATTTAATCCAGACCATTAAGATCATCACCATATAATATAAGAAACTAAACGATACCTGTAGAAATCGGAGAATTCCGTAATGCATTCCGGAATCTGAATTTGACTCCGGTTACGTAGATATATATCACTTTGATTCGAAACTGGGAACTTGACTCCGGAATAGGAAAAAAACTTGTTGAAAACGACTGATATTCTTAAACATGTACGAAGCAATTTCATATGCATATATATATATATGTATATTCTTTTGTTAGACGTACGAGTTATTGAGGCCACTGATTAAGAAACACATAAAGATAGTGGATGTAGTAGTGAGATCACTATCGATCACATTGTTTCTACATGCATATTAAATTTCTCGTGTAATTTAATGTAAACTTATTCTGTTCACTCATGATGTTAAGGTTTGAATTGAATGTATGTGAGAGCCTCCATTAAAATTTAAAAAGGAAAGACATAAGTATGTTTTCTTCTTCTTTGGTTTAGTGGTGACATAAGTATCTATTTGATAGCAACCGATCTTTAAATTATTGCAATTAAAGTAATTAATATATATATCCGTCTCCAACCGTGAGCATTTTTTTGTTGATAATGGGTTCCTCAGCCGTGAGTTATATACTTAGCACACTTACCTACTCTTTTGTATCACTATCATTTTTTTTTTTGGAGGAAATTAAGATTCTGATGTATGTGGATATATTACAATATAGCTATATCCGTTTTGATACGAATCGCTTGACTTTGGACAATACTATAAATTAAAACTTATAAATGAAATTTACAAACTACAAGGAGCTGAATTTGTCGTTTGGCATCTTGCGTTATGCACAAAATCAAGTCCAAGTATTATTGTAAAAGCACAATAAATTAAAATAAATTGTATATTTAAACGTGCGATCTTTATCTTTGGAATAAAGTGGGCAAAAGGAAAAAAACAAGTAAGCGGAAAGAAGGAAAATGAAAGCAACAGCAGAAGAAGAAAATGATGAAAGATTCATATTGCTCACTTAAATAACAGATTTTCTCACCTCTCGATCAAACGAAATGAAAAAGAAAATCAGGAGAGCATGTGGGGAAAACTGAAATTGCCTACGAAAGTAACATAACACACAAATTAAAACTAGTTGAAAATAATGGAAAATTAAGTTTTGATTTTGTGTCGGAATAATTATGAATAAGTTAAGAGAGCTAATTAGAATATAATTTGAACATTTTTGTCTCCTGCTCTAGTCTAATATATATGTGGTTTGTGTGTACGTCAAGTAAACGAACGTAGAAGTGTATAAGATCAGATTTCGACTGTAATTTTGGCTCTGAGTTTTGACAAGTTCTAGATTTATGCCAACATGCATCTGTCTCCTTCGTAATGAAGTAACAGTAAACAAATCAAATATAAGATTAAATTGACTACTTTTCGTTATAGTAATGGTTATATTTATTGAATGAAACCAAAAAAAGGGTTTCTACGCTAAGATCGAATTCCTCATTTTCGTAAATCGTCAAAAGACCCATTCTTTCCTAGATGTTTTTTATAAGGAGCCCCAAAAATAATTAGTGTTAATTATAGTTTTAACACTTAGGAATTACTAAGCGTTATTCTCACCTAGTTAATAAAGCATCGGCACAGTAGATAAATTATTTTCTGCTTTAGACTACATTTGTTACAATGTTCCTCAAGAAGCTCTTTGTAACTAGGAGCTTCGACCTTAGGCTCTTCATCTTCATCACTAAGAGCTTTGACCTTAGGCTCGTCAAGTTCATCACTAAGAGCTTCGACCTTAGGCTCTTCATCTTCATCACTAAGAGCTTTGACCTTAGGCTCTTCAACTTCATCATTAAGAGCTTCGACCTTAGGCTCTTCATCTTCATCACTAAGAGCTTTGACCTTAGGCTCTTCATCTTCATCACTAAGAGCTTTGACCGGAGACTCTTCATCTTCCTCACTAGGAGATTTGACCTTAGGCTCGTCAAGTTCATACTAAGAGCTTTGAACTTAAGCTCGTCAAGTTCATCACTAAGAGCTTCGACCTTAGGCTCTTCATCTTCATCACTAAGAGCTTTGACCTTAGGCTCTTTAACTTCATCACTAAGAGCTTCGACCTTAGGCTCTTCATCTTCATCACTAAGAACTTTGACCTTAGGCACTTCATCTTCATCACTAAGAGCTTCGACCGATGACTCTTCATCTTCATCACTAGGAGATTTGACCGGAGACTCTTCATCTTCATAACTAAGAGATTCATCGTCACTAAGAAGTTCTTCGGCAGTAAGAGGCAGTCCTCCAAGAGAGAGGCTTGACCAAAGCCATACTGAAGAGATGGCAAGATATGATGCTTTCACAGGCTGTGCTAAAAGAAGATTGATATTTTGCTTACTTTTCAAAGAGATAAAGGCATTAAAGAACTCTGGGTGGTCTGAGATGTCCTCCATGATAAGCAACATATTTAACGGGGAAGTTTCGCCAATAGCCGCGTAAATAAAGTCCACCAAAATCTCTTTACGACCGCCGCCTTTAGATTCTGAAACAAATGAATTCAGAAAGAGGTATAAGTAAGTAAGAGAGAGGGAGAGTGCGTCGTCATCAGGAGAGAGTTTAAGGAATCCACCTGCGGGAACGTGACTCATCGGGAGTCCTGCAAAGTCATCCCCAACCTCAAAGATATCACCATAAACCGTGATTGACTTAGAATTGTGATAACCCGCTCGACAAAGCCCCCATACAATGTTCTGCACAACAGTCTGTGCATCAAGATCGGTAGGGACCGGGCATTCCTTTGAGTCCCAGAAGATGGCGGTACGGGCCCCTGCGAGGTTTTACCAAAAAAGAAGAACGCATCTAAGTATCTAACCACAGATGTAGACAAGCATGAAAAGAATCCAAAACCACAGATGTAGCGGGAGACATCTTACTGCCGAAGTCGTAGTTGAAGCTATAGGTAGACATGGTTTCGATCGGTGGATTGATCGAGACAAAAAGAAATAAAAGTACTTTTTATAGGGTTCGTTCGATCTCTGTGGCTGCGGAAGTCAGACTCCAGAATCAAAAGTCAAGGGTTTCCATCTACACCCGCTTTTCCTAATTTCGATTATACCCTTCTTTTTTTCGTCTTCTTCTAATTAATTATTCACTTTATTTATTTTCCAACATTACAAGCCAACATTAATTTCGCTTGTATATACTGAACAACTAGATGATAATAAAGAGAATATGGTGACACAAAGTCATTAAGATTCATTTTATAATAATGAGAAACTGTTGCTTCGAATGTAAAATGTGATAGCTGAGTAACAATGTATACACTTTTATATGCCTACAATTAGGCCGTGCTCGTGGTATATAGGCTATCATATCGGCTCCATTATCATCATCATCATCATTCCTTTCCTATCTTTTATTCGTCACATCGTATGGAACTCATTTTTTTTACCAAATATGTTTTTAAACCCAAGCCTCCAGAAATCAAACCTATATTACTCTCACAAGGTAAAAAACCCTAAACAGATACTCTTTACAGCAAGTTCGATCGGCAAAAAAAAAAAAAACCGAGACAACACTTGGCAACAAAAGCAAAGCAAGAAAACTAAGGCCCCGAGAGTGATGGAGGAGGAGTTAACCGAGACACGAGTGAGCTATCCACACGTTGCTGTATAGCGTCTCCTCCAAGTGCTAGGCTATCCCAAAGCCACGCTGTCCTCACGGTACCGTTATGCAGCAGTGGTGAGTCTACACGCTGTGCCAACATACAATAGTATCGCTTCCTTCTCAATAGGTTAAATGTTTTGATGAACTCACTATGCTCCGTGACGTCTTCCAGGATTACCAGAATATGTGCTGGAGCACGATTGCGAAGTGCCCAGCACATAAATGCTGATATCATCATCTGATGTTTATCCTCATCTGAAAACATATATACCGACGCAGATCAAGATACATACACATATATATATAAGTAAATGAGAGAGCGAGTAAATGAGAGAGCGAGTGTTTGCTCACCTAAGGGTACGTGGTTAAACAGTATACCGGCTTCGTCCAGGGGCTCCCAGTGAGGAAGTTCATCACCAAAAGCCTGAATGTGGGAGGCATCATCAAAACCCGCCTTCTTCAGGGCCGCTCTAATGTTCTTTGCAACAGAAACAATATCATGTCCCTCAGGGATCGGGCATTTCGCAAGACGGCTGCTTTCCCCGCTTTGAGGTCAAAAAGCATAAGCAATTACCAAAACAAAAACAATCACCACCAGATTATTAAAAAAAAAAAAAAAAAAAAAAAAAACACTGCAAAAATCAGATATAGACCAGAGTATGAAAAGAATCCAAAACCAGAGATGATCTAGCGAGAGATATCTTACCGCCTTTGCTGGAAGAGGAAGCCATGGTTTCCACTGATTGGATCTAGAGAGGATCAGAAAAAAAAACAACAAAGTAATTTTAGGGTTGGAATGTTTTTTTTCTTCTAATAAATAGAGCCCAAACAACAACAATTAGTTTTAAATTTAAGAAAAGGCCCAGAACGACAAAAGAATGAGGCCCAGATTGTTTGCTGGCTCTATCATCTGTTTATTTGACAAAATCAAAACAAATTAAACCTTTAATCGGAAGGGTATTTCTGTAATTTACACAACACTTTCCCCCAAAAACGTTTGTGCGATTTCGCCGCCGATCCCTAAAATCTTTGCGCCACCTTCAGTTTTGAGGTTTTTTAGCCGGAGGAGGTGAGAGAATTCTGCGAGACGAAGCCAAAGAAAAAAAAACAAAAAATCAAAGGAAGAAGAAAGCCCAAGTCTCTTCTCGTCTCATTTTCTCCCATAGATAGGCAAGCTAAGATTTTAATTTAACGTGTTGATTCTAGCCCTAAAAGAAGATGTTTTATCTCGATTGATAATATTGTATTTGCGCAAAGTTTTGATTTTTTTTCTTCTTCCCAATATGCGTTGCTTGCAGATAATGGAGGGGAGGTTGGCTAATATGTGGAGGTTGACTGTGAACGAGAGTAAGTTCGTGGAAACTGCGTTGCAATCTGAGCTCAGAGTCGATGGTCGTGGCCTTTATGATTACCGCAAGCTTACAATTAAGTTTGGCAAGTAAGTGCCCTGACTTCCTCCACTTAGTTGATGCATTTGACTGGTGTGCTCTTTACTCTATTACTGCGTAGTTGTAAGTAACCAAAGAGGTTTTGATCTTGTTGTGAACTAACAGAGAATACGGTAGCTCGGAAGTTCAGCTTGGTCAGACACATGTGATGGGTTTTGTCACTGCTCAGTTGGTACAACCGTACAAAGACAGACCTAACGAAGGCTCACTATCCATCTTCACCGAGTTTTCTCCCATGGCTGATCCATCCTTTGAGCCAGGTCGTCCTGGCGAGTCTGCGGTGGAGCTGGGCCGTATCATAGACCGTGGTCTAAGGTAAACCTCTCTTTTGAGTAATCTGTATTATTATTATCAATGCTGCAAAAACAATTTTGGTTGGAGTAATGGTAGATTGGTCACTCTCTTGGTTGCAGAGAGAGCCGTGCGGTGGATACAGAGTCGCTCTGCGTTCTACCTGGAAAGATGGTCTGGTCCGTTCGCATTGATCTTCACATTTTGGACAATGGAGGGTATGTTTACAGCACTTCTCCTCTCCATTATTTCCTTGAGGGCTTTTGGTTTTTTTGCGTGTTTATGTTACTTTTACTCTTTTATAGGAACTTGGTTGATGCTGCAAATATTGCTGCCTTAGCAGCACTCATGACGTTCAGAAGACCCGACTGCACAGTAGGAGGAGAAAACGGTCAAGAAGTGATCATACATACGCTAGAGGTTAGTCATATTTTTTCGGGTTAGAGAAAAAAAACTTGTTAAGCAGAGAAGAAAGTTCTCAATTTTGAACTTTTTGTTTTCCTTTTGCAGGAAAGAGAGCCACTTCCACTGATTATACATCACCTCCCGATAGCCTTCACGTTTGGGTTTTTTAATAAAGGAACCATCGTGGTAAAAGAAGAATTTGTGTTTTTTTATTGTGAATCTAGTTCTAGTGTGTTTCCTTTTAATTTTGTGAGACAAGAAACGGGATTGTGTCGTTATGCAGGTGATGGACCCAACTTATGTTGAAGAAGCGGTTATGTGTGGGAGAATGACTGTGACAGTCAATGCCAATGGCGATATATGCGCAATCCAAAAACCTGGAGAAGAAGGCGTGGACCACAGTGTAATCCTTCATTGCCTGCGTCTTGCTTCTTCAAGAGCTGCTGCAACTACTAAGATCATTAGAGAAGAGGTAACGTTGCGAAATCTATATAGCATTTTTTTTTGTTCGTTTGGAACAAAATGATGCAACCACTTAGATTTTGTTGTGCTTTGTTTTTCATGGTCCAGGTTGAAGCATATAACCGTGAGAAGAGCTTACAGAAGGTGAAGCGACATCCTACTTTGGCTAAACCTGAAGTTTCTGGACCTATCGTGGTTGTGAAGGAGGGACACAAGAAGTCCGCAGATGAGGACAAAGCTGCAGAGGTATCGCGGGAACATGTCGAAAGATTAAACCTGACTTCAGTCGAGCTAAAAGGTAGCAGTAAGGAAGAAGAAGCTGCTGCCTCTCCTGCCAAATTCAAAGGCAGTCCATCTAGTTGGTAAAATCTCATCCTCTCATGTTCTGTATTTCATCTTACCAGACATCTGAGTCTTTGTTGTGTGGAACAATTCCCAGGGATCCTTACACGGAAGCTATGGATGTTGACTCACTGAAAGCTTCTCTTGCTTCAAAAGGTAAAAAGCTTTCTTGGTTTCCTTCTTCCTCCATATTTTTTATCTCCTAGAGAGAGAAGGAACTGAAACTTGCTCTGATCTTGGCCAGGGGATTCCGTGAGCAAGTCACCGATCAAGAAAAAGATGAACGACTCTGGAAATGCGCAGGAAGATGGTGAGGTTTCAGTTGAGGAAGTAACCGAAGATTCAGGGAAGAAGGGTACAAGACATAAGGATGGAGAGTTGACACTGAAAGATGCTGTCAAACCTAAGAAGAAGAGGAAAAACAAAAGCAGTTAAAAAAAAGTTTCTAATGTTTTACTATTTTGTATGAGCACAGATAAAACCTTTTTTTTTTTTTTGTCTTATTTTAGGGAAATTAAAAAAAGACCAAACCAAAGCAAAAATAGATTCCAGGGTTTGAGTGTAAACCTATTTGAGCTAAAGCATTGTTGTCCCAATCGCTCGTTTACTTTCTTCTTTTATTGAGACTCGGACTGGAGAGACCGATCTTAAAGTCAAACACGATTTGATTCCTGTTAAAATTTAAGATGCCTTTTAAGTCCTTCATTTTGGTTTGTTCACAAACCTTTCTCTTAGACACAAGGTGAAGATCTAGCAAGTTTAAATATTAGATTACATGATGAAAGGAGTTTTGATGCATCGATGGGTACAAGTGGAGCTAAGACAAATTGAGTTTGAGTTCAGTACTGGAGAGATTATCAGTAGGAATGTTTATACAGTACTGATATATTTCGATAGTAGCACATTTCACATATACTATTTAACTTTAGACTCTAGAACAGGTATTTGTTTGAGTTAGGGTTTACTTCAGTCTATTTTACAAACAACTGGTAAAATGAAAATATTTTGGAGAAGCTTAAAAAATGACTGCCAGATTCATGTAGTAAAAAAAAAAAATTAGGCTAAAAGATTTGGAAAATTTATGTATATAGATGCAGTTGTTGTGGTTTGATTTTTTCATCACCGCAGAGGAAAAGATAATTGTGAGAATGTGATTCATATATTTTGTTCCAAAGAAATCGAAAACAAGTGTGGATAAACTCCACTCATTTTCTAGCATCTAAAACTTCAAAACCAATATATATAATATCTAACTTGTCCTTTTTTTGCACTAATTTGGGATTAGTTCATATGGTCTTAGTCGAGTTATTTCTGTATCCTTTTCTTCAAATGTTTCTCCAAATATATTTTTGGCCTTCCTTTCTCATTTGCAGTCCTAATTTGTTCGCCTTCGTCCTTCTTCCTCTTGTATTCTCTTCATTTTTAAAAGATCTTCTGACCGTAGAAGAATCATGAATAGAGAATTATTTATTAATTGCATGATGATAGCCAATGGTGGAAAAATGCGTTACCGTATGGAAGATTTTCATCTCGGTTACATGCGCCAAATATGAGTGCTTATGCTTAGTCTATGCACCAAAATGAGCCAGGAAGTACATCAAAACATGGAAAATACATTTAAATGTTGGAGAAGAGTGAAAGAGATCCACCATAATGGGTTACACCATTTGTTGTTATTTGACTTTTTCATCACCCGAGAGAAGAAGATAATTAGTGAGAATGTGATTTATATGTTTTATTCCAAAGAAATCGAAAACTGAGTGTGGATAAACTCCACTCATTTTCTAGCATCTCAAACTAAATTGTCCATTCTTGCACTAATATGAGATAAGTTCATATGATCTTATATCATCCCCATTTTTAAAGCCAAACCCTATTACATCTAACTTGTCTTATTCTTACATAATATTTACGAGTTACAACAAAATTATGAAAACAATGATTAGAATATAACGGTTAATAAGAATCCAATTATGAAACTAATAATTAAATATAACAATGTGAATTAGTGGTTCTGGAACTACATATAAACTTTCGTTTAGTGCATGAGTCCAAGTCATCCTAACATAAAGGTTTTTCAATTTAATTACATGAGAAGAACAAAAGATTACACATCCCAAAGGGACCGATGGTTAAATAGCCTATCAAAACTGATTCGACTTGGAAATCTACTAAATCGATATGGATCAAGTTGACGGCATAGGATATGGGAAATTTGCACTAATCCGTTCTTATTGCTGAATACAATAATACATATACATACATACATCTAGCTCATTTCCTTTAAAATTAAAGAATGTTTGTCTATGCTTAATCGTGTTATTAGTCCGCTCTTATTTCTCCCGCGGCATGAGTAAATCGTAAGCTGTCCATGAAATGAATTCATACAACCCCTATATTTTATTTCAAAAAATTATCCTACTAGAATATCTTCTTGGCCAAAAATCCCCTCTTTCATTGTCTTGAAACATGAGAAGTGGTGTTTTTCTGGCAGCAAATCTGTGGAAACGGAGACAAAGAAACTGTTATTGGATATTATTAGCCCCACACGCACAATAACCTCTTCAAAAACATATAAAAAAAAACCAAATGTAGTAAAGAGTTAAGATTTGTGGCAATTAGTGATCTACACCTGAATTTAACTAGATGCTCTCTCTGAGTTTGATGGGAAGGTCAAGATCAGGTTCAGAAGGAGTCAAGGGAGAGAAGTAATTATCAACCATGTCCTCTGTAACTTTCTCCAAGCTTGGTGGATCCCACTGCACAGCACCAATCTCCATCGTTAAACCTTAATTACTACTATCAATCCCTTTATAATGACGTGCTTATTATACAGTAATTAATGTCTCAGTGAAAAGATTAAATATACCTTTGGTGCTTCGTCCTTGTCTACCAATCGAGCTCGTACTCCCTTTCACCATTGAGACATTACTTATCAAACCACTCATTACTCTGTTTATCATTTTATATGCCGAAAGCGCTAACATACCTCACAGAAGTTGCCGGAAAAAACTCCGACTGTTCCTTGTAGCGACATTTTGTACTCTCGAATTAAGCATTGATCAAGTGTTTGAAATCTTCCTTCTCGGATCTATTGCATTCGGTTAAAGAAGCTATATATAAGTCGAGAAAAGGAAAAAGATGAGATCTTTTTAGATGTTTACAAGCAAAGTTCATTGTGATACTTACAGATCTCAACGCGACCTTCAAGGACAATGGCGAGGTTTCTTTAAGTCTACGTAGAGTCGTCGTGCACCATATGTCTTTTGTTCTACCAGCCTCGATTTCCTGGAGAAAAACCGTTAATTACAGACCCGAAACACCATCATTTCTACTCGCTAAATCATTTGTAAAGAGACATACCAAAGAATCAACAATTTCTTCCACTGTGTCATGACCGAAGCACTTTTCAAGTAAATCGATCCTAAGAACAAATCGGGAAACAAAGCAAAGCTTAGAAGCTGGTATGAGAATACAAGGCAGGAGTTTCTGTCTCCAGGATTTAAGAAAACAAACCTGCGAAGAACACCAGTCTTTTCTGGATAGGCAACTTCTGCACATTTTTCTAAGGATGCTTCAACAACAGAGGGATCATCAGTCAGAAGCTTCTTCAGCTGTTCTTCCAATACAGGAACCTCCTGTTGTAGGAGAAGAAAGCATATTACTTATTTACTACCTAGCATGTAAGATAAGCTTAAAAGAGAACTGAAAACAAGTTGATTTTCATGCCATCTATATTACCTTACTACTAATATAATGTGTCGCAAGACCACATGCCAGCATTTCTGCTCCACTGAGCTTCAACCCAGTCAGACCCAGATACTCCCCTGCATAGACTCTATTTAATCATCCATCCTAGGAAGCTAATGTATACTACGAAACAGGAAAATGTAAGGATATCCCAAAAAAAAAACAAGTTAGCAGCAAGATTTGTTCTTTCACCTTCCTGTTAAATAAGTAATTTCTATGGTCATTGTCCAAAATAAATTTCACTCCTGTGAAATGACAATCCTAGAGAGAATCTAAGCAGTTCAAGACACATTACAAGCATACCTAAGCGACCAGGTAAGTGGGAGAGATTAAAAGAAGCGCCAGCATCAGGATGAAACCCAATGATTGTTTCAGGGGTAGCAAAAATCTGCAATGTCCAAGAGCTAATTACTGCATGCTCCAAGAAGTTAGAATCCAGCTAAGACCAAGGAGGAAATGCATGGTGAAATGTGGAGAAATAGCATATAGAGGGGAAAATCACATACAGTTCTATCAGTAGCTACACGGAACGTCCCAGGTATCGAAACTCCAGCTCCGCCTCCCATGGTAACACCATTAAGAATTGCCACCTGCATGCAGAGAAAAATCACGGTATAATCATTCTACTTATCGTGATTTTGCCTATTGGTTGCAGAGTCAATGATCAAAAAGTAAAGATCACTTACATGTGGCTTTAGATATGTCCCTAGAAAGTATATAAAACTATACAAAGTCCAGAAAAACTCCCTCATAGCATCTGGGCTACCTACATTGATTTAAGGAGAAACAAGTGAAGCGAATAGAGAGTACAAATTAGATACCGTACAGGTAAGACTAGTCAGTAACGTGACAATGTACACTCAAGTTTTCATGTACCTCTCTTTCTTAAATGATAGAGAGAGACAATATCGCCACCAGCACAAAATGCCCTTCCACTCCCCTTCAACAGACAACAGTTCAAAGAAAAAGGAGTCAGAAGCTTTGTCACATCTCAAGCACAAGAGGAAGAGGAAGCAACAGTGTCTTGCACAAATTACCTTCATCATCACGAACCCGATATTTGGATCCTCTTCCCAATTCTTATAAAGCTTATGCAACCTGACTCCCTATTGAATAGTCGATGTAGCATACAAAAAAAAACAGGAGCGTTACAAAATTCTACATTTGAGAGAGAGAGATCAGACGAGATTATACAATTCCTATCAACGGAAATGAAAAATCCAGGCTCAAGTATGTATAGCACGATTTCTGGGAAAAGATACAAGTAGATGAAAATGTAAATGCATATAGAAACAGCGCAAAAAGAGAGATTACCATGTGAGTGGTGAGCGCATTGAGAGCAGATGGTCGATTGAGAATCGCAGTGCGGGAACAACCGCTTCCTTCAAAGAGAACCTAATCGGAGATTGAGCCCAATTATCATTTGCAAAGCAGGTAAAGGAACGAAGCAGCCACTAACGATGACGACACGACGAACCTGGTTATCAAGATCCTCGGTGGTGACCTTAAGCAAGCAGAAGCTCCTCCGATAACCAAATCTCCATATCTTGTTTCGAACGATTCTCGCCAGCAATCCTTTCGCGCTATGCATTCTTCTTCTTCGTCTTTCTTCGTTTTCCTCTTTCTGCTTTCTAACCAAAAACTCGACTCTTATTTGGCAAAATCAAAAATGGCGGATCGTTTTGTGTCGCGGCCTCGTTTATCGGCTCCGATTCCACAGGGCAGAACCCTCTCGACAAAAGAGAGGTTTCAGGATCGTCTTCTCTGATGACGTGTTCCATATCTGGGCCTGTTGGGCCGATCAGAAGCTAAGTTTAGTTCACTAGATCCTATCATCTGGGCCTCCAGATCACCAAGTCCACTTCCCAATTTAATATTACCATATTAGTCTTGCATCTCTAATCTATTGCTATTTTTTCCTCTATTTTTAGATGAAAAAATAGAGGTGTCATTTTTGTTCTCCAATCCACCTTTATTTTAGAGGAAAAAATAGCAAAATAGATTGGAGATGGTGTTAGAGAGAAAAAAGCTTGAAGACGAAGATATAAAATATGTTTTCTGTTATTGAAAAAATAATACTTACATGTACAATTGTTTATATATACCATGGTCTAACTTAACCGATTATGTAATACATCATAAGCTAAACCATTAACCAGTAGAATCAAATAATTTTGAAAATACGGTAAAATAAATATTAAAAATGTAAATATTCTACATTAGAAAAGATTCTTGCTTTTGTTTCTTCTGTAATTTAAGTGATTCGTGCTTTTGTTTCTCTCTAATTGACAAGCACATATTGTGTTAACCCGATCTATATTCCTCTGAATCGAGACGAGCATCGACATATCTGTTTTCGGCCTTCTCCAGAATCACGGGTTCGTATCTGTTCGCTTTTACTTGTTCATATGAAAGCTTGCACCATTACTTTTAGTTCAGTCCAAAAAAAATGGCATAAAGCCTTGAACCTTTGGTTTCTGTACGTGCTTGAATTGAATTTTATGTTCTGTTTTTCTCTTCTTCTAATGTCCTTTGCTGAATTGAATCTCTCTATCTCTGTTTATTTAGCATTCCATATAAAATACTCGCATCCTTAGTAGCTGAAATCGCTTCATGTTTTAGTTCAGTCCAAAAAAACCGCATAAAGCTTAAGCCTTTGTGCTTGTATTTTGCTGAATGGTCCTTAGTTCGCTTATCATGTTCATATGGTTGCTTGTTACGGTTCCTTCACATGTGTTGCTTCTAGCTCTCGGGTTTCTCTTCCTCGATTCGGCTGGCTTTGCGTACCCATATCTGTCTGCTGTGCTTCTTGTTGGTTGCCCTGTGCTCGAGGAGTTAACTGTCCATCACAAGAACTTTATTGCAACGCCTCACACCATTTGGAGTCCGACCATCAAGAGACTATCAGTTGACAACGATAATATTGCAGAGGTTTGTGATTTTAGCTCAAGGTCATTTGTCCTGCCAAAACTTGTCTACCTCGAGTATTCTGATTTTGCAGTGAATAAGTATAAAAAGATTAGTTTAGATTCCCTTGGTGCGTCTTCAGGCTGTGCTACGAAAAGGTTGTTATTAAGGAGATAGTGTTGGTCATTACTATCTATCAAATTTCAGAAAATTAGTGTTGAGAATCGAGTTTATCTCCTGAAACAATATATATCAACGGAAATCTAAGTATTAAGTAAACTTCACCTGCGATTACGAGCACATCAGTAAAACAGTAAATTAGTGTTGAGACTCGAGTTTTAAGTAAACTTCACCTGCGATTACGAGCTCGATTCCGGAGTTATCAAAATAACCAGTGATCTGATTCTTGTCACCATAAGCACAGATTGTCACCTCACCAGGATAACCATTATTTGCAAGAGCTGATTTGATATTCCGACAAACCGAAGCAGGATCCAGACCTTCAGGGATTGGGGAATCTTCCATGTCCCAGAACACGCCTGTATTGGCATCTGCGACGGCAGACGCATTATCAATCCGATTAGCACCATAAATATCTGACTGTTATATTAATTTGTTTATTATAATATGATTAGTTCTACTTGTTTCGCTTCAGCATTTTTTTAACCACAAGCATAATCTATTTATATAAAGAGTTAAAGACTATCTTTTTCTTCCTTTTTTATTTATTTTCCATATGCAAATGTTGATCCTACCGGATATACAGAGATAGATAAACTATTTCGAGCAAGAGATGGAGAGAGAGAGAGAGCGAGATACCCGTGAATTTGCTGTTGGTCAAGGAAGACATTGTTTGTGACGGAGATTGAGGAAATTACGCTTTTCTCAACAAAAGCAAATAAAAAACTAGGGCTAGATCATAACGCTGCTGCGTGTTATATATTTGTTTGCGGTGAAGATGCGTATTTTTTTGGTCTGTGCAACAACGTGTTTTGTTTTTATAAGTTTGGGCTAGTAAAGTTATATGCTAAAATTATGTGCTTATGTTTGGGCTTTTATTAATGGCTCGTCAATATCGTAGGATAAAAGATATATCCATTTGATAAGCTCGACAACAACAAAAAAATATCATTAAAGTTCTTTTTAATCAAAATTGGGGGCACGCATTTGTTTTTCTTTTTCTTCGATCGAAATTCTGATTGCTTTCATATCTGCTCTTTCCCATGCCACCGGGAAAAAAAACGAGACCGAATATACCCGTTGATACTGTTATTGAGATACTCGAGAGATCTCCAGCGAAAACCGTTGATAGGTCATGCGCGGTGTCGAAGAGATGGTGTTCTGCATTCGCCAAACTACATTTCAAGGATTTGTTTCTGATTAGCTCTTTTCAAGCTTACCTTTTTCAAGCTTACCTTCATGGCTTCGTTTCTCTTATGTACTAATTTATAAGAAGAAAAAAACTTTGGCCTAATGTATCAATTTGTGAAACAATATTAAATCCAGTTTATTCAAACATTAGTTTTGTTAATAATGTGCAAAAGTTGGCCAAGTGCCTTTTTAATTTGTTATAAATACGATTATTTTTAATCAGTTTGAAATAACTAAAAAAGCTAGAATTCTTATATAACTAAGGTATACAAATTTCTTTGATTTTATATTTTGTTGTCGTTTATATTATGGTGATTTTTTCCAAAAACACTAAATCGACAAGTTGCCATATCATTTATCAAAGTAAGCTTCTTATTTTTCATAATTTAGTCGTTATTATTTATTAGTAAAACCAAAGTATACTTTTATGCAATTGTTTTTGTTAATTCAATCACAGTTCAAGAAAAAGAGATAATTAGCGAGAAGATCATCCAAGTGATGTACTCAAAAAAAAATAAACAACAAAGTTGGAAATAGAGCGAGTGATGTTTGGCTGCTGAGCATTGGAATGTTGTAGAATTTGACGGAGAGTACTGGATCTAGTGTTAAGTTTGGTAAATACTTTATAAACAAAGTTTACACCCACAAGTCAATATTATTAATGCTCATAGATTATAGTGTTTAAGGTTTTAGGATGAATATTTGTTTCATGGTATAGTACTCTATAAGTTTGGTATTATGTTTTTTTTTTCGTCAGTTTGTATTAGGTTAATGAGACTAATTTTCTCTAAATAAATATTACTATTGTTTTTCTTACATTAAATATTACTATTGTTGTGTAAAGGGAAAAAGTATTAGGATAATCATACACATTCCCATGCTATCCATCATCATAGACACAGTTGAGGAAAATCTCGCTTCTCATCTTCCCATATATTACTATATATGAAGTACCCTTACTAACTTTAGTTGTTACTCTCTTGTACCAAGGCCTATTTCGGATATTTCAACATTTTGATGTGGTGACGTAATGACCTCTTTTTTTTTTTTGGTAAAGCAATGACGACCTTTTTTGTTACTCATAACAATATCATGAACTTGGGAAAATACATCATATGCACCCAAAAAAAAACCAAAATTTCATGTGATTATGTGATGTACGCTTTAACAAAAAAAAAGATTATGTTGCCGTTCGACAAGTCACATGTTTATCACTTGTTTAAGCGGTACTAGTTTAGTGGCGAAAGAAAAATTAAAGAGAAAGGACGTTGAATGAATTTTGAGTGGCAGAGAAGAAGGTGGCAGCTTTTAGTTTTTGTTATATCATATTTTATTGTAATTTGGTCCAAAAGAGGAAACAAGACAAATGCCTAAAAAATGCATTAACTTCTCCTGAAGAATCTCAGCAATATATGTGGATCGATGTTCGTGACACTGCTTTGCTTGTGACTCAATTCATGTAATTGTGATCGATACTCATATCTGGCCTTTATTTTTAGGCTGTACACGATGAGACCATGCACATCTATTTTTTTTTATCTGACTCCAGTTTATGCAAAGCAATATCACCATTCCAATTTCTAATGGTAACATGCTAATTAAAGATGTCGTCGAACAGAAATCCAACAAACCACTGATGACCACTCTAGCAACTATTTATGTTGATCTTCTAATATTTGTGTTAGGATGGTGAATATTTATATTTGATGATTTGAACATTTATTTTAGCAAATAACGTTTGCAACTAACAAAAACCCCACTACTTGAGCCACTCGGAAAATTTATTATAGCATATAAATCATGTACGTATGAAGTCTTCTTAGATGTCTTTCTACTAACTAGTTAAGTCTAAACCGATTGATTTGGGTTCGGGGCATTCCAGGAAAAACCTGTGACTAGTTATCTTGTTTTGTTTTATCATAATCAGATGATTAACAATGACCAAAACTATTAATCTTTGGAACATGTTTTCCATGTTAATCTTGTTTTGTTATATTATTTTAGTCGACAGATGAGTTACAGTAACCAAAATTATTAATCTTCGGAACATATTTTCTAAGTAAAAATAACTTAGATCTGATTAGTAGACGTGGCTCAAACGGTTTAGCAGAAATTGCTCCAAATTCTTTAGATAACACTTATTGATTCCTCTCTCTTTTTTTTTTGAAACCAACCAAGTTTTTAATACAAAAATAAAAACAGTGTTAAAATGATCGTTAACTATGCATCCTACTTTTAAATAGCGACAGAATAGTGTCATCAAATGACGAGGGATAATACACACATCATCGCTAATTAACCAATCATTCAGCCCAAAAATACTCAAAACTAATTTAAAACACTCACTAACATCATCATATCCATGACACAAGTTACATTGCTTCTCACACTCATAGCAAAATCTACGACATCCCTAATAATATCTTACATACATGTGTCTTATTATTATCTCAGATCCTAATTAACTCTCTATAACCCTCTTAAGTTTTGGTTATTCGAAAACATTACTAACACATGACATCCTTGAGAAGCTTGTACCTGCGAGTGGCCGTTCTAGGAGAAGGTACGCCATTTTTACCCTTATCGCTTGCTGGAGGGATACTACTACTTGTAGTAATTTGGCTAACCTCTTGTTGTTTGATATGGTGGGCAGAAGAATATTCCGACCGGTACGATCTCTTAGACGATCCGCCGTTAACACCGTGCTTTGTTCCGGTTCGAGTCCTCGCTTCACACTGACACCAATCGCAGATCTTGATTGGATCAGCTTGCTCTTTGTAATAGCTACTACAGTACCTATATCAAAATTATGATGATGAATATATGTATATACCATGTATTTACGGTAGTTGTTGAAGCAGTTCTTGTTTGGTTTGACAATATACACATCATATCTATATATATATATATATATAACATACGCATGCTTGTGATTTGATGTATGATGATCATCTGCCTAATTAATCGATATAGTGAATGCACGTGGCACGCAATCTCAGCGTCCAGTGCGATCTAAATCAATTTTATGTTGTTAATATGCACGATCATGATGATGATATTAGACACACATATGTTAATATGCACATATGGTATAGAATCTATAGATATACAAAATATGTAGTAGTTACATACGAGTGTTGAAAGCGATTAAGGCACTTGCTGCAATGAAAGAGCTTGTCGAAGAAACCCACATCACCACACATGCAACACACTCTTTTTTCAAGATCCACCATTTTTGTTTTCCTTAACTAGCAGACAATGGAGAATATGAAGGAGATGAGGAGATGGAGAATGAGAGAGAGAGAAGAAAAATGGAGAATTGATTCTGTAAGGAAGGGGAAAAAAGATATATAAATGGGGGTTATTAAACTTATAATATTCGCAAGTCGGTCCATAAGTAATAATAATTTTTATAAAACCAAGGAAAAAAATATATTTATTAAATATAATAGCGTAATAAGGCAGGTAGAGACCGCAGGTTGCTTTGCAGTCGTTTTCAGTTGGAGGAGCTTGGGAGGTGGAGAAACAAAGAACCTTAAAATATAAAAATCGACTAATAGAAATGACGATTTTACCCTGAAACTTTGCGTGCATTTTATATTCGGGTGTTATTTCTTGGGGACTTTACTTTGTCCTTTTCGGGATTTCACAAAGAGGGAAACTTGTGGGATGTCATTTCTTTGACTTTTTCTCCGTATATAATAGAAAGAGAGCGTGACAGACACTTCCCGTTTGGTTAGAAGCCTCACTAGACACAAATCACAAAACGCATTTCTTTTTTCTTTTTTTTTAACTAATTACTATTTAAAAAATAAATGTTGTAGTTGGTGAAAGAAAATCTGATTTCATCGTGACAGTGAATTGCATATAAAAAAAAAAGTATAGCTAAAAGTATTGACAAACATGAGATATAAATCTAATCATTTTCGGTCTCCAAAATTTTAATCAGTACGTTTGATTTTACTTTGTAGTATGGTTGAATTCGACAGGAAAAAAAATTCATTCGTTAGATAAATATGAAAAAAAAACTGAAGAGATCTACTTTTATGAATCCATGTGTTACACATATGCACTCACAGGATCATAAATTTGAAGAGAGCCTATATATAGACTAGTCAACTCATTCAATTTCTCGTGCACTACATTAATATCTTAAATAAACTTTTATATCGAATCCTAAGTCTTTAGTTCGTTTACTTTCTATATCATAGGTCTAGAAAATAAATGTGACTTAAGAAACTTCTTAGCAAATACAAGACCGAAATTACCATATCCTCATGATCGAATAAACTAATCGTTGTTTGAAATTGCATCACACCATTTGTAGAACACTCTTAAATCTATAACGCGCGCGTGTGTAACGCTATGCTTTCTTATATATATATATATAACAACTTACTAATAAAATCCGTGTGCCATATATATAAGTTTTATATATGCAAGTGAAAAATACTTAATGTTAAACGTTTATAAATGTGATTGGTTCTGAGTTTTTGGAGAATTTTATAACTTAACAAACTGACATGTACTACACACGATGATTAAGTATTAGTTGAAGGAGTAGAGCCCAAACTTTTTTATTGTTCTTGGATGTATATATAAATTTGGAAATGTAATTTTGATGGTAAAACATATTTGTAGAAGAAAAAATAACCAATTCGAGAATCATGCTATAATAATGCCAGTCAACTCTGACAACATTTCTTCCATATATGTTAAGCCAATTCACGCAAGAAAACAAGAACACATCTAACGTGTTCGTACAAGAAAGAAAATATCATAAACCCTAGGCTTTAAGTTCAGATGTAGTTTAGCTTAGCTTGTTATACATGCATCGTGATATTTTATAAAGGAGTTGAATGTAATAAACACACGATTCATTAATGTAAACAGTGAAAAGAATCACTTTCAAGTTCCAACTGCTTAGTAATTACCACTATCTTGAGTTTTCTTTTCGGTAAATTTTGGGTTAAATATGCGATAGATATTCATAGATAAATTGATAGAGAGATACAATGAATAAACTTGAGAAAGTAGGGAATATTCATAAACCACATTAGAGGCTATGTATGTGAGAATATAGATAAATTAGATATGGACATGAGGCTCTGTTCCGTGCATCCCTCTTATTACCTTTAAGGGGACCATTTCTCTGAACACCTTTTTTGTCCAATGATCTTAACCTTACACGTGTCCCTCATATCTGCATAACACCGGCATCGAAATATCTAAAAGCTATTTGCGTTGCCTTAACGGCAAGTTCACTAGATGACACAGCGCGTGCCTCCGTGGCTTCAAATCGGCGACGCAATGGGTCCGGCGAAACAGTGGTGACTCTAGTGACCGTTCACCCGATTCTTTGTGGGATCCACTTCCACGTGTCATCATCTTCATCCACAAGGCGTTGGCACACATCAGTTCGGTCTAGATATTCTCTATAAACATTTTCATCAAAGTCGAGATTTGATTAAAACCTCCTAAACAAAAATGATTCGATCTACTTACCACTTACAAACATGTTTTCGAGTAGTAAACTGCATAATATCCGAACATCAAAATGATTTGATCAAATATACTTTTAAAACTTCATATTAAGTCAAATCCAAGTTAATCAGGATAAAGGAAAGCCATATTCCTTGTAATATGAAATTGGCTAATACCTTGAAATCAAAATTAGAATTCAAAAATTATAACAATGGGACATTGTTAAAAACTTAAAAATCGAATACATTGCGTCATCTCATGAATGGGTTTTAGTTCTAGACTTCACGGCCCAATTCATTTCCTTGACTCAGAGTCATCATTTAACCGATAACACACACACACACACAAAAGTGGTCTAAAATTTTGCGTACCAAATTTAAGTCTGGACCGGGCCAAATTTCTACAACTACATACCGGCTCATACATGATTGATCAGTGCCAAACCGCAGATTACATACCGGCTATACGACGCCGTAAGTGTTTTCTGCTTATACCCGACACATTTTTTTGTGCCACATATTATTTCCAAGTGGTGGTGGTCGTTGTCGCATTTTATGGAGACTAGGCCCCACAGCCCATAACCATATTCACAATACAAACATAAAGGCCCATTTCACATCATCCTCTCGCTAGCCAATCTTCGAAACTGTTGACTAAAAGCTTGCGTTGCTAAATCAGCTACGTGTACGTGTACTTTAGTACTTTGTTGCGGACAAGTCTTTTGGCTGCAGATTCCCCAAAACTAATGAAATAGTTTGTTCTTATTAGATTACAACGGTTCAATGTACGTCACTAGCAGCAAGGAATCAACTTCTTTGTGTTTAGTACGAACTATCTCTAATTAAGGTTGTAGTAGTGTATCTAACGATCCGCAAAACCGGCCACTCTATAGTCTCTATTCGTGTTTAAACTTTAAACACCAAGAAACTGCTTGGTTAAAGATCAGAACGAAGTAAGGAACTATACCAGTGAAATGGTTTAGATTATATCTATAGCAACTACCGTAAGTGGACTGGTTCGTTTAATCCCTCACAACTTAAACCTTTATGCATCATGTTGGGAGATCGATAAGATCGACCATATCAAGATTATAGAAATCAAGAAGGATCTACAATATTATGGATATTTACCAATATCTTAAATTAGGATAAGAACACAAAAGTGTTTAGGAAGAATTATTATTAGACTCTCGTGAGAATAATATTACAAGATGCATATGTTTATATAGAGATAGAAGTAACTTAATTATCTAAATTAATATGTAAATAATACTTTTAAGATAAAGGTAAATTTCATAATTTAAGATATTGATAAATATCCATAATATTGTAGATCCTTCTTGATTTTATAATCTTGATATGGTCGATCTTATCGATATTCCAACACCCTACCGCAATCTCATATGTGGTAACACATAAGAGATTGGATAAATCTTCAGAATACCAGTTTTATACTCAGTCATGAGTAATCGACGTTTATACTTGATAGTAAGGTTCTTCAAATTGGCTAAGATACCCAGTCATTGGGCCATCAACGACGTTTATATCTGGTCGTAAGGTTCATCAAGTAGTAAGGGACAAAACTCGCAATTACGATGTCCAGAAATAATTCGTGATTGCAAAGTAAAATAACAACTCACGAGAGCGAGAAGTCAGATCAAAAAGATGTTACTCACGAGAGTGAGAAGAACATCAAACAAATTGAACGAACTCACCACTAGGTTTATGTTCATAAACAACCACAATCTTTATTAGAAATCTTGTGATCCAAGAAACCAGCAATTATGCTAGCCAATAGAAAAATCAATATGATCAATCATTCACCAAATCAATAAAACAATCTACTAATAGATTAAATCTTACGAAATTTTTTTTTTTTAGTAAAAGCAAAATAATATAAATATTAAAAAAATTCCAATGAAAATAAGATGGAATGAAAGAAGATCAAAGAAAGAAGAAATATAAAAGATAAAATCAATATAAGAATCGATAGAAAACCATAATCCATAAGGATTATGTTCTTGATTCTGATACCATGATAAATTGATGAGAATAAGAACACAAAAGTGTTTAGGAAAAATTATTATTAGACTCTCATGAGAATAATATTACAAGATGCATATATTTATATAGAGATAAAAGTAACTTAATTGTTTAAATTAATATGTAAATAATACTTTTAAGATAAAGGTAAATTTATATTGGTAAATATCTCTATAATCTTGATATGGTCGATCTTATCGATCTTCCAACACATCATATGTTAATTTTAGCTTTAGTGAGCACTAAAATTGTTTTACAGTTATCAAATTATAATGGCTAGTAACGACTACTTATTCCATTATTGATTAGCTCATTGATCGGATTCGGCTCGTATCACTCCCTAATGCCTTCTTTTTTATAAACCACTAGCCATTATTATCGAATATCGTCTTTAAAAATTCTGCATAAGATGTACAAAATGGTTTTGAAAAATGAAATTTAACCACAAAACATGATAGTATAATATCCTCTTTACACAACTCAACACTCTATTCGTATTATAAAATAAAGGGGACAAGAAGGACAGAGGATGAGCATAAGGTCATCATATTTGCATGTTATTCGTCAGAATGGTAACATTATCTCAATTAAATTTAACATATTCATTTATTTACTTAAGAGATGATTAATTGGTAATCAAAGTACGTACTCTAGCGAGCTAACAACGAATAAATTAACATTAATTTGTCATTATGGGCACATGAGGTCGCACGTGTTTACTTTGGGATCACCGCCGTCACGTGATTCAAGAAAGCTAAATGAAAAGGCAGAAAAAGAAAACAAGGAATAGTTGAAGTTAAGCACGATGATAACTTGATAATATTTGTATATTATATCAAACGAATAATCAGAGATTCTTGTTTCACAAAAAAAAGAGAATAAAAGAAAGTAGAGAACCACTACGAGAGCCTCTGACTGGAAAAGAGAGGCTTGGGGA